TAGTCGCTTCGCGGGCGGCGCGCCTAGGGGCTATTCCGTTAGGATCTAATAGATCGCTACCCTTAGAGAGGAAGAAGAATTAGAATTATAAGGGTAAAGATGTAGCAATATATTAGACACCCGTAATCACTCGATTAGAGATAAGACTAATTCTTATAGGTTAAATATACGCTATGCGTAGGAGTTATATATGCGCTAAGCCTACGCTAAGCAGTTAGGTTATATTATACTCCCTTCTCTAAGGTTAGTTAATCTAGCTACCTCTATTAATCCTGTTATTATAAGGGCTCTTACACGGCCCTTATATATATAATAGCACCTAATGCTACTTATACCGGTCGGAAGTAAGTAATACGTAATATACGTGCTCGCTCCCCGGTAGGTATTATTACTTAGGAGAGAACATATAAAGTAAATAAAACGGGGACTTAGCTATTTTATAAATATCTTATACTTTCTCCTTACGGAGTATACGTATAATAGTAAAAGGAAATAATAGTATACTCGAGGAATACGAGAGGCGGAATAGCGATATAGTCTTATTTTCGAAAATAAGCAAAGTAAATATAAAGTATATAAAAAGGGACACCTGCATTCTACCGAGATAAAACCCTTCTTTCTATAAATAGTAGCCGTATAATAGTACTAGAGAAAGGGTATATACTCCGATTATTAATTTAGTTCTATAAAGGAAATAGAATATCTTATAAAAGGAAAAGAGAAGAGAGAAAGAAATAATAAGCTCTAGAGCTAGCTCTATACCTACCTCCGAAACTACTTTAGTACTATTATACTACTTAAAGGAGGAGATAGCCTCTACTATTTACCTTTTCCCTTACTACGGCTCGCCTCCTTCGTACTTACCTTACGGGGGAATCTTATACCCTTATACTAAGGATCTGCCGCATTACCTACTATATTAGGGTTATTACTAGCATTCTCGCTCTATTTATACTTAAGGATACGGTCGTTTAAGGTGTTTACGGAGTATAAGTTCTTCTTACTGTTCTAGATGCAATTTCTATAGGCACCCTCTATTATATACTCCTATTTTATACATTCCTACTATTATTAGCTTTAAACATCTTTATATAGGAGGAAGGCGGAGAAAGAGTACCTTCTAAGGGCCTCTGCCCTCTTTTCGCTCGTTCTTATTTAGGATCGGCCGGCCTTAGTAGGCGGTATATTCCTAATTAATAATATTACCGCTACGAATCTATTAGTAAGGATGCTCGGATCTTAATTAGAAGTAATTATACTAACCGGCTCTAGATAATTATCGAGTCTATAGTATTCTTACGGTCTTTAAATATTATCTACTTCGCCGGGTCCTAGGTCTTCTTAATTTTTAGGGCGTAGCTACTCTCCGTATCGATTATCTCCGCCTATTCCTTAGTAATATAGAGGCTACTAGTCTTAAGCTAGATTATACTAGTTAGTCTCGTCTAGGTAAGGCGATTATCTTTACTTATATTACCGTCGTTAACTATAAGGTATAGATTACTATTATCGTCCGACGAGTAGTATATATCTAATAGGTCGACGTCGCCTATACCGAAGCGGCGAACTTCCTTCTCGGTTATTATACGGAGAGGTAGAATAGAGTAAAGAGGGGAGGATAGGTAGTAAGAGTGCTAATTAGAGTGTTAAATATAGTAGTTATTAGGAGGACTAGGGGAGATAGTAGAAGGGTAGAGGGAAGAGTCTTATAGTATATAAATATTACTCTTACGCGTATAATAAGTTACTAGCAGAAGTATATATATAATAGTAGCATTAAAGTAAAATATAGGTAACCGAAACCCGTAATATATTAGGACCGGTAACTAAGTAATAACGGGACGGTAATATTACACATATATAAGCAAATAACGACGTTTATTATATGTAATTATACGGGCAATTAAATTAATAAGCGAGGTGTGAAATTACTCCACTTAGTGGCGTTAAGCTATATTAGATCGCGTTATTACAGGGAAGTCGCTAAAAGTCCACCGTAGATCGGCCTTGGGTCTAGCCGATGTCCGATGTAGTGGGTCTATAGATCCACATAATAGGAATAGTGATTGTGCAAGTGCTAGACTCAAAGGTTTTAAGCCTTAACAGCTCGAGGCAGCGGGTCAAACTAAGACTGAGTTGTATATATTGCGAGAACGCAAAGTAAAACGCAAGTTCCGCTGGTGAGAACGGTCCGGTCTCTGTGTAAGTGACGTAAATCTGGCGGATGATAACGCACGAAAAGGGGTCAAACTCTTGGCACATCACGGCATGAGCAACCAAGTTGAATTTAACTGCCGAATGACGCATCACGATCATTCGTTCAAGGCAGCATGAGCACGATCAATAACTTGACCATACGAGCATACTACTTTTCAACCTGTTATGTCACGGGATACACTTTCGGCAACAACACTCCTGGTTGCAAAATGCTTACAAAGAAGGTCTCCACATTCAAACAAGGAAGCGCACTTACGAGGCCTTCACTTTCTTAGATTCTACAATAAAGTACACATCTTTGCACACGAACATAACATATACCGAAAATGGCTCCCGACGAAGAAGCCCTCCGCGATGCTGAATGGCTACGAGAACGCATAGCAAATCGTGTTATACCAAATCCYTCTCCGCGGAATGCCATGATCAGAACAGAATCCAGCCTTCCGGACAGTATCGAGCGCGGCTACCACGCCGATGGACACAAGACCTGGGGATTCGTTATCTATCGCACGACCTACGAAAACGATGCAGACTGGGCGGAGTGTATGCGTCGCCTACGCTGGTGGGCAGCAGATAGTATGGAGTACTACAACGGCCAGGATGTCTTGGACCTAATGACCTGGACCATTTTTGACGATCGAGAACAATTTGAGAACATGGACGTTCCAACAATCCGTCGCCACTTTCGCAATTGGACAGAGACTGCAGTTCAGTCCGAGCAGTCGACAGCAAACATGGGTGGATCCCCGCGCTACAAATACTGTGTGCAAATTGACACAGAAGCGCTCAAATCTGTTTTGGGCACCCACCCTCCGCCAAGATCCGACGACGATCATGCAGGTTGGGTGAAATTGATCGACAAGAACTGGCTTCCTCGAAGTGAAGACCCGCTCTGGGCAGGACGACGGCCGGATCCTAATGAGTATGAGCCCATCGACGGAATCACTGATGAGAGGATCGGCTGGGTCAAGGTTCCGCTCATAAGTGTTATGGTGGAGTACTACGAGATGTTTCGGGACCCCAACATGGTCATGAGAGCGCATCGACGACCACCAGCCATTATGTAGGGATCTAATGGCACTCCTGGGATCGCTGTAGACAAGGGAGATCTTGCTCTTAGCAGTTCGGCGGAATCCCACGCTCTACAGAAACGTGGGCAGGACTCTTACGCTGCCTATCTTTCCATTGACGTGGTTTCCATTGTCCTTGCTGWCGCTGTTAAGGAAGTTTTCAGGCTCTATAGAGGTCRTAATGAGGGACTGATTGGTCGAAGTCGATTTGATCGTAGACCAGGAGGCTGTTTTGGACCTGGTATCGACATTGTCCTGGTTGTAGTAGGTCCGAGCCCGCCAGGTCTGACCGGAGATCAGACGGAGCATCCTCTAAAGGTGAAGGCATCATTGTGTACAACTTTTTCAAAGCCCCAATTCGCACCGCGGTTCCTGGGAGCGATAACAATTGGCATCTTACGCGGCCCAGATAGAATGCAACCGAATCCGCCAATTGCTCGTATCGACCCTGATATCATCGCTAATTACTGGAATCAGCCCATTTGCCTACTGTCCCCCAATCGGTGGTCCTGGCGGGGAATCGCCCTCTACATACTAGGGCTGTTTCATGGATGCATTTGGATCCGAGGACTGACCCGAATCTCTTATGCCAACTAAACAGCAAATCAACGGTCTTAATGGCCAGCTTTGCGATATTGTCGACCTAATTGCAATACAAGGAGTAATGCCAGTATCGCGAGACGAGCTCGGGAAGCAGTACAAGCAAATACGTAGCAAGGCTCATTTGACTGGATCGCCACCTCGATACTTAGTTACAATCTGCCAGCACAGAGTGGGGATTTGAGTTTGATAAATGCTTCACCATGCCCTCTACAACGAAACCTTGGCTTCCAACTCGGACATCACCTCATCTATCATCTACTCCAAGACACTTAGCTTCTTCTAAGTAACCTCCCGCTTTCCGTCGGTCGATACGTTCTTCTACCATGGTGTCTGCTGAAGTAAAGACTGCGTGTGCCGGCAACACACAATCAAGCGTAGTCTTGTCACCCGATCATGTCCTAATGACGCTCGAGCACTTTGCGCCAAACCTGGGCGGCTCAAAGTCTGTCCAGAGCAGCGTGGTATTCTCAGGGTACGTCGTGGAGACGGGCTCTACCGTCAGCGCAGTTCGCGCCGGCGAACGGACGCTCGTCTTCGGCAAACCCTCCTCTTTCCAGCAGCATCCAGAAGCTACACAGGACATGATCCTAGTTCCGTCCGAGAGAGTCCATGCCATTCCCAAGACCTTGTCAAATCTAGCAGCCTGCTCATACGCAGGTGCTTTGGTCACGGCGACAATGATACTCTCCGCCAAACTCCACATGACATTCTTGCCCTCGTCCAGGAGGCCCCTACAAGGCCGCGATATCCCACAACCGCAAGGAGCACGCATTGCCATAGTCGGCGGCGAGACGGACCTCGCCGCCGCGTTGATCCAGCTTCTTCGGCGAACAAACCACGACATCAGAATCGTTGTTACCGCCACAATGGGCTCGCAGATAGACTTGTTTCAACGCGTATGCCATCTTGTTAGCCTTGGCGCTTCTTTTGGGATCGATGGCGCTCTTCCGGATTTGTTGGATCACGCTGAGGGACTCAAGGATGAGGCCGGGATAGAAGTAATAATCAACACCACAGATAAGCCCATTCGGGCAGATCTTCTTGGATGTTTAAAGGGGCCCAAGAAAACGGTTGAGTGCCAAGTTTTGGATCGTGACCCAGCGCTGTTAGATTCGTTGGTTGGTGATGCTGCTTATCGGGAATCTTTCTATGCTTTACTTGCTGAGAGCGCGGAGATATTCGCGAGATATATTGAGCCGCCGGATAGATGTGTACCGGAAGAAGACAAGAATGTGTTACGATAGAGTATCACGATGTAACCACCTTGCCACACTGTATCAGCAACGATTGGAGTTCGCTTCAAACAATCTTCATCTCAATGCGAATTGCCACAGCCCCTCCAAGTAGAATGCGAAGCGCCTGAAATCAGCGGCTCGGAAGAGACTATAACCGCAATATCCGAGGAAAATGCCAGGTTCGAACACATATACCGGGCTCTCGTCTGTATAGTAAGCTTTGTCCATACGCGGTGCTGTATCGTCGGTGACTAGATCAAAGCCCATTAACATCTCAACCTTCTCGTAGGGCTTTGTTAATGTGGAATACATGGATATTGAGTGTCCATCTTGTGATCGGAGGAGGTGAGATAGTCTTCTAATCCTAGCCAAAACAGGGCATTGGCGTGATTTGCACTGATTTGCAGCTGAGAGGCGCTAGTGTGTGCCGAAAAACAAATGCCAAGCCTCGCAAATTTTCACTGACCCCCTAATCTCCGTTTCGATCACCACTACCACACCTGAGCAAAACAAAACAAAAAGAGGAGAGACATTCAACATTTGGGATTCCCCAGTGGTCACCCACCTGAGTACTGATCAAACGATTACATGGTTCAATAGGCCAGAGCGGACGGGATGGCTTGCTTTCATGCATCTATGGTCGAATGTGCTGAGTTGTCAAATATTGCATCTCATGAAGCTGATACCAAGAGGCGAGGCTGTACAAGCTTAGGAATACAATATGAGCGTACAGTCTCTTTTCTTTACCATTTACATGTCTGTCTGGGCGATCTATCATCTGCTTCCCAAAATCACACCTCCCTTGCCTGGCATTTGTACCGTCCAAATCACATGCACTCATGATGCCATCAGATCGTATCTAGAGAAGCCACAAGATTCGTGGCTTCAGCAGTACTGTATCATCGTCATGATTAGATATGTTGACATTGATTTGGAACGCAGAGAACTCACCACGCAGCTAGAGCCAATGGAATTCATATTGAATCCGCACTCAGCATCGGTTGCTTTTCCCTGAAAAGCGTGAGTTCAACAGACTAAAAAGGGGTTCGGATGAGAAGCTGACTCTTGGACACGAGCAAAGAATCTCGTCGCTCACAAGACCTGGCATCCTCGGGTTGCACTCCTTGTAACAGACTTGGACGTCCTCATCGATTCTCCAAACACCTGGCGACAGCACACTTGTGTTTCAATCCGAAGAAAATTCTTACCATCCAACACTCTCAAGTATCGTGTTCTCCACCACTGAATCTGGCTGGATACCCAGATCGAAGCAGAGCAATACGACCAGGGTTTGAACTCACACCTCAATGTCGAAGCTTCCCCAGGCAGAGTGCACGCTGATCAACAAAAGTCAAACAAGCCGTGGAAGGGCAGATCTGTGATCAACATTCAGCATCGAAAATTCGCCTCATGCACAGTGTCTGATGATTGGCCACATTGCCGCTCGAACAACTCCTACGGTAAGCCGGCAGGCAGCTTGAACGACGTCAGCCTGCTCTGAGTTCACGCAGCCCGGGTTGGCTCCAACGATGTTTACACTTGCTGGTATGCATTCTGAAGAGTAAGGAACGTCCCACCAAAACCTCACATGCTGTAAAAGAAAGGAGCACAACTCGACTCACCTTTTCCTTACAGCGTGTATTCGTTTCACATCACCGGAAGCTCAGCGGTTCCAGAATCTGATAACTTTTTTGTAGCTTCAGCGTTGGCGGATCAGAAGCAGGCAGACTCGCTTTGCTGTGCCGCACTAGTATACAGAGTATAATCTGTCATAATGTCTCCGACTAAAGAAAGCACGCTGGGCCCGCGATCATCAGCTTTGCATTCTACCCGTGGCCGCCCGATTGTAGCCGTACATGCAGCTCGAGAGCTTCTGGCCAACGCGATTGCATGCACCTACCTTCATGAGCCATCAGTACACCAGCATCACGGCTGCCGCGACAACAGTGAAGAGTTCATGGCGGATCTCAGAGGTCTCGAGCTTGAGCAAAGGGCCACCTTTTTGATCGCTTTGATCTTTCGGGAGAAGCTTTGAGACCTCACCCTTTGTTGAACGGTTGGCTCCAGGTCATATTCTGCCCTCACTCCAGCCCTATCCTGCACAGAAGTTAAAAAGACATTATTCTAAGAGCACACAACTCTGGAGACTAGCCTCAATGTGCTTTTCGAATTCCGACATTTCTCGATTTGTGCTCGTGTAAGCAAGAAACTCGACACGATTTTGTCCTGAAGAGCTGAGCAGACAGCATCTGCCGTGTCCGTGTCCATCTAGGCGTTCGATCAATCGATCGATGATCTGGAAACAATCAAAGGATTTGAGAAGTTGCAACGTGTGCGTGGATGGATCCTACGAGTTGCATCCAACGCTTGTCGCTGTCCCGAAACGGTTTGCCTGGATCGATAGGTTACATTGCATACTTCATATACGAGGCTTCGTAGTTTCGATGCTATCAAAGATTCCTCGATCATTCCCAGAAGCGGCAACAGAATGCGGAGAGTTCCCGACGTAGAGGTTTTGCTGGTGCCATCGGTGCATCCATCGATGCACCATATCTTGCTTGCCTTGATAGATTGCACCTTGGCTTTCTTCCTAACAGAATCAATGCAACCCACGAGGTTGCAGGGACTGAGAATATCATACTTCTTCAGGAAGTTGTCTTCATCGACTCTCATTGGACTCGCGCCTTCGGGGACCCACAGAAGGATTAAGTTTCCTGAGGCACAGCAACAGCAGCAATCCGAGATCAAGATTGAACTAAGCCGCCGACGTCCCCGGCAGTGCTTGATAAAAATGGGTACGCCCACTTCCCTCCAGCCTGAGATCAAAGATTGAAGTCATGACCAAGCCCTTTCTTCGTGGTCAATTTTTGGAGGCCTGCGTTTCTTAGCTTCTGTGTACCCACCCTCGAAGCTGCTAGGAGAAGAAGCTTTTTGCTAAGAGAGCTTACAGCACAGACCAATGTGCAGGAACGACTTGCAGGAAAGTGGTATCCATCCCTCGTTGCCGCCGAGGAGCGAGACTTTTCCTGCATGGGATTCGTGTCAATTTTAAGCAACGAATCGTAAGAAGGATCTYCAACCCAACAAACTTCACTCTAGTGCTTTGCCGCACTAAACCGGCAGTGACGGAAGCTTCGACCGCATCCACTCATAAACGGACAGTATGCTGGAGCCTGGGAGTGGGAAAGCTACTATTCTGTTCTTCTACGAACGGTACATGGAATATGATCATCTACCTCAATCTCTGGGTCATTTCTTTTCAGCTCGCCTTTTCCGACGATATTATCCTCAGTCCTTCTGCAAGACGTACTCAAGCTCAAGAACTACAACACGAGGGCCAAGACCGGACTGCTTTACCTACATCTTGTGGCCTTTTCCTACTGCGGGGAGTTCAAGAAACGGGTGACTACACTGCTAGTCGACTCCTCTGAGAAGTTTACTACCCCGGAGGTACAACTCGTACAGTAAACTGGAATCACGGACTGTGAAGCTCGAGTTGAGAGACACTTCTTCCTAGTCAATGGTACTTCTATTCAAATTCAGGAATTCTCTCGGCAACTCTGCTCGATCGTACCTCTGCACTTTCATGGGACCCGGTTGATAAGTTCGCTTTCTCACATCAGCCGTTAGTCTAGCAACGGCCCTACTTTGCGACTATCCACGAACAATCTTTTATACTCCAGGGTACGGGACGAGATTTACCGAACGGGCCCGGAGAACGGAGAGGCTTGGAATATTCATGACTCTCTGAGGTGTAAGAACGGCAGTATTCCACACAACATACTGTCATCCCCCACGGACCTGCTCCCAATACACGCGAAGTCGAATACAAAGATGCCTCCAGCTAGGGAACCTTCCAGTAGGAAACTTCGAAACCTACGCCTGATTGCCTCCAAGCGGACCTTTCTAATATTCATCGTCGGTCCTACCATATCCTTTGCCTGGCTCCTCTTCGCTTTCACCTACGGACTGCGACTGATTATGCCTACATCTATGCCATATAAAGTACTAGGCCCCCTCATTATGGCCTACCCACTCTGCACCCTTCTCGTACAAGTTCAAGAAGGAGAAGCAATCGCGGCTAGGTTATCCGAGGCGGGATATCGTCAGGTATGGGATACAGCGGGCGTACTCGATCTCTCGCTGGACTGCGCTATCATCGTCGCTATCTACTATTGGATAATTAATCTGAAGGGCTCGGATGATGATGATGATAATCCGAATTTGATATACGTTATGTTATTTCTGAGCTATGTGCTCTTGGTTGGAGGATCATGTCTCGTATCTCTTGGGCCGGTTATCTGGTTCACGACAGAGGCTCAGAGGGATCTTACTTAGAGTATATCGGCATGCAAGTGTAGGATTCAAGGTGGTATTCAGACCAGGGAGGAAGCATGGATTCGATCTTATAGATTCAAAAAGAAAGGGACATGGATGTGTCGGTGAAGACCCTCGTCTGAGATTCCTATCCTTGCTCTATTGACCATGTCTTTATCCGAGCCACACTCCGTCTCCTCACACATTGGGACCTGGTCTTTGAATTCCGCATATTGGAATGGCAGACCTCCTTTTACGCTTTCAATCCTCGCCGAGGACGGATTGAAAGCATATCCCCAATCCACAAATCCTTCGTTCGCTTCTTACAACTCGCACGTGTAATCCGGCATTCAGAAACAACACAAAATACCTTACTTCGACTAATCGATGCACAACCACAAACCTCTCCATGCCTTTCTACTGTAATGCCATGAAGAACGAAGGTATCTACACAAGCTAACAGCAACAGTCCACAGCCAAGAGCATCAAGATTTGGGACACGAAGCTGACGCATACCGTAGACCATGCGAATAATTCACGTCGATCTGGTTTCCATCGGATGCCACCGGGATGTTTTAATGGTAGATCTGCTTCACTCCTGTGCGGAAGAGCGAATGCCCCAGAATGCCTCAATGGGGTGTGATCGGGGACTGCAGACAGCAGAGTTGATACCGAGTCAGGAATAGACAGGTACCTTAGGGCTTGACGAGAACTTTAAGGGAAGACTCTATTCGCTCGTACTGGATCGGCGCAGAATCACCATTGGTCATGAATAGAACGTCGCCTCATGACCATTTCATCAGGTCAGATTTCCCTACATCCAAAGACCATATGGCTAACAACCGCCATGTAGCTCTCCAATGCTTCTATGCTTCGTGGAAAAAGCGACAAGCCAAGCAGAACTACCGTCTTGTCTAGTGAACGATATTGCCAATGCTCTCGGTTCAACCTGTAGCGACAGCAGATCATGGATCCTGCCTGATTCCTTGCACTCAAGTTTTTGTTCGGCACATTAGCGGATCGACCTACTATAGCAACTCAGACTGCTGTGCCTCCGAATGCTTTCCCTCCGATTACTATGCCGCCACGGTGTGTGTGAGAGCACAGCAATTTTCCAGCCGCTTTCTGGCCCAGTCATTGCTCTTATCGAGCAAACGAAGATATACCGACCAAGATCAACAACGTCTCTACATCGCCCGGACAACACCACGAACTACGATCTCAGCGCTTCTTGCATTTGGCTCTACGTGCTTGCTACGTAACCACAACTTCGTGTGATCGCAAGTGTTTCGACAGTCAAGGAACTGAACTTTAGCAAAAAGGGGTAGAATATCGCTTCCTCTTTTTTTTTTCTCCAATCACTATGGCAAAACGAAAGAAGATACTGTATTCCATATCGGGATTCTCTAATGGTTACCCACGTTAATACTGATCGAAAGATTACATAGTTCAATAGGCCGGAGGAGCGGGCCGGTCGACGGTAGGGGGAGCTTCCCCCTAGAATGGGGGCCAATGCGATACTTGTGTCTCCTTTCAACATCACCATGACACTCTAGTCTTACTCTACTGAACGAACTATATCCATTTACAAACCTTTCACTTTTCAAACAGACCACTGCCAGCCCGATTTCACCAGCAACCGAGAAGCCAGCCGAATCCCATTAAACGAGTTCCGAGACACCAACTCCACTGTAGCAAGAAGATCATGAGCCATATCCTTACCGATCGCCTCCTCTATATCCTTCGACACCAAAGCAGCACGCAACTCGAGAACTTCTCCCTGAGATCACAGCATTGGATGGTATAGTATAGTAGGTGACTTTGAAGCCCCATCTTTCCGGACGAAGTCGAAGACCGCTCCGATCATTCCAATCACTTCTGTCGCTCAGTGGTTACTGAGAAGTGCTAGCAGCATTCCATCTACGAGGTCGACGACTACCGCGCCTCTAACACCGTTAGAAGACATACGTCATGCGATCGAGCAGCGTATAGTCTGTTACCTAGCTACAAGGACTTCATGAATATTTGCAACAGCAGCACTCACTACCGAAACCAAAAACCTGGATGCAGAATAGGAACTTCGACAAATGGATAGATACCTAGTTAACACTCGTCGGCTTAAACTCCGACTACAACACGGGGCCCCCAACCTTCCATCTTCCACCATCCTCCCCAACAACCACTCCCCACCTCCACCTCCTCCCCAACAAACCTCCCTCACAATTCAATCTCAATCTCCCCCGTAGCAGGCCGACTCTGACAAATAAAAATCCCCATTGGCCGATCCCCCTCAGGTCCATAAACCTGACCCTTGGTAATCCTCACCTCACAGCTCCCACACACAGCACTCCGACATCCAAAAATAGGTTTCAGACCCTCGCGTTCCGCTAATTGTAGGATGGTGAGGTTGTCGGAGGGGGTCCAGGTGGTGGTGATGTGGGATTTTGTAAAGGTTACTGTTGCTGAGGAGGGGAAATCTTCTAGGTCTTGCATGGTGGGATTATTGGTGTGGAGATGATGAGGGGATGTAGGTTTTTTAGGGTTTTGGGGAGGTAGGGATGWGAGGGAGGGGGGGACAGGGTACATGACAGAGCTGCGCTATGCAGGCTTCAGCTCTTTAGCTAGCGGGAGAGAAGTGAGAGCCAATTATCGGGCAGTTCCAACTTGGTGGGTGGTGAGGGGTCTTCTTCATCAATTGATGGGCACCACATCAATAGACATCAATTACATTGATGACTGTTCGAACCGCGTGAATTTATTGTCGATCGCGACTCGACCTCACCACCACCACCACACCAACATCCAACATGTGATCATTGCCCACCATGTTCTACGACCTCTCGATCCCCTACTCTCCCACCGATGTTACCCTCCCCTCGACCCTGGCCTTTGCGGCAGAACTGGGCTACAACATCATCGCCCTGAACATTTCCCTCTCCGGCACCCTCCCCGCCGAAATCCGCTGCCAAATCCCCGCCAACATCTCCTCTCCCTCCCCACGCCTCCAAATCCTCCGCCGAGTGACTCTGACCCTCACGACGGCACATCCCAACTCGCGCCTCACCCAACTGGGCCAACAATACGACGTGCTCGCTCTGCGACCCATCGATGAACGCACCCTCCAACTCGCCTGCTCCTCCCTGGACTGCGACATCATTTCCCTCGATCTGAGTCAACGATTGGGGTATTTTTTCAAGTACAAAATGCTGAGCGAGGCCATCAAAGCCGGGAAGAGGATTGAGATTTGCTATGCGCAGGGCATCATGGGCGATGCGCAGGCGAGGAGAAATGTCATTTCCAATGCCACGCAGTTGATCCGAGCCACGCGAGGGAGGGGCATTCTCATTTCCAGTGAGTCGGCGGTCGGGGCGGCCGGGTTGAGGGGTCCGTGGGATGTTGTTAATTTGGCCGCCGTGTGGGGGTTGGGGCAGGAGCGAGGGGTGGAGGCTATTGGAAAGGAGGCGAGGAGTGTCGTGGTGCAGGCTCAGTTGAAGCGGACCGGGTATCGAGGCGTGGTGGATGTCGTCGAGGGTGGGGAGAAGCCGGCGGTGGTGGAGGTGGTGGAGAAGGTGAAAGAGAAGAAAAAGAATGGAGACAAAGCACAGAAGAATGGAGGGCAGAAGAGAAAGGCCGAGGATGAGGGCGTCACGAATGGGGAGCAGCCGTTGAGTAATCGACAACGGAAGAAGCTGGCCCATGAAGCAAAAGTGTTGGCTGCAAAGGAGAATGCAGGTGACATCTCCATCTCCGCGGGAAATGGGAATGGGGGTGCAGGTTGAAAGATGAACCCATCCTCCCTCCACCCTCCCAACCCCAGCCGGCGAAAGCACATCTGCTTGGACATGCACCCGACTATGATCCATTCCGGCAACAATCAACAAATGCTGACTGCAAGTAGCCTCCTCATCGCTTCGCACCAACACGATCGAAGCACTTTGCCTTGTACCACGGACAAAGGATGGAAATTCTTCACAGCCAGAAGAATATCTCCCTGTCTGTATGTAGGTAGCATCGTATGTAGGTAGCATCGTGTGAAGAATCAACATCAATCTCAACCAAACCAAAACTTTCTCATCATCATGCTTTCTCTCATCCCATCAATATCATCATTATCAAGATCATCCACCTCAATCCCAAAAAACATACACCCTAGCCTCGACACTCCTCCTAACCTCCTCCCCCTCCCTCCCMTCCAAAATCGGACTAACATGCACACACCTCCCAGCAACCCTCTCATCCTCCTCACTCAGCGAATCACAAAATTTCACCACCAACACCTCTTCAGGCTTCTGTTCGGGAACCCAATACCACTTCTGCTCCGCCGGGTTTTTGGGGGGTAAAGCGCGCCATTGCTCGAGAATGTAATCTCCTGTAGGGGAGATTTGAGAGGGAAGACGGAGGTAGACTTTTGTCATGTCTGAGGGGGAGAGAGTTCTGCTGTCGAGCACGGCTAGGGGGTCTCGTTTTACGGGGGAGAAGATTGGTCGCTGGAATCATTATTAATATCATATTCCACCTCAGACTTCCAAGTAAGAGAAGATAAGGGATAGGGGTAGGATGGAAACATACCCAAACACTATAAGCCGCAAACCTCGGAACCCTAACATTTTGCTCGCCGGCCAATTTTCGCGCTTCGGCTTCGAAGATCGGACGCGCCATTTCGAACATATCTTTGCGTGCGTAGCGGAGAGTTTCTCGGAGACCTTCGAGCGTGACATCTACGTGGGCCATGCGAGAGGGTTCTTGGCTGGATTGWGGGGATGTGCGTCCTCCTACTATTTTTCCATCCGGGTGGATGGATTGGTTAGTTAGAGGTTTAGAAAATCAAGTGGAGTTAAGTGAAGTGCTGAGAGTCAATCATTCCGCCATCGATTCGAGGAAAGGAAAGACAGAACCAACGACGGGAAAGATTTTGGAGGAAAAGGCAGATAAGGTAAAAAACTCACCAAACAATTCCTCCCTCGGAAACTTCTCAACCTCCCGATCAACCTCACTCCCCCTCAACGCAACAACCTCCCCCTCCCCATCCCCCTTCCCCAACTCCCCCCCATCCTTCCCAGCCTTCAACCGAAAATCAACATTATGCACAACCCCCCTCCTAGCCCCCGTAATCCCACACACGAAATCTATACATTCCCTCGCATACACCTCTTCCACATTCCTCCCCACGAATAAATCTTCATCGGAAAGGGAGGAGAATTTATGAGGGATGTAGGTGAATCCTTGGATGTCGAGACCAGCGGGGCCGGGGGTTATTATTCCTTGCAGGGAGGAGAGGTGGAAGTTGTGGAGGGGGGTGGGGAGGAGGGGGGAGTGGGTGGAGGGGGATTGGGCGAAGAAGGCGCGTTCTGAGGCGGGGGGGTGGGGGATGGGGGTTGTGAAGCGGATTAGGCCGGTCGTTGTTGGTGTTTTTGGTTGGTCGTTGGTGTTGTTGTCATTTTCCTTGGTGTTGTTATTGTTGATGGAAGCCATGTTTGTTTTTGGAGGGGTTTGACTTTTTAATTTTGTTTGTTTTTGGAGGAGAAGGAAGGGGAGCTGAATTCTGGGTTTTTTTTCTTTTCGGGGGAGGAATCACGAAAAGGGACGTTTTCGTGCAAGGAGCTATGAGGTGGAAAGAAAAGAAGTGTAGAAGTGGTGCCAGACGATGTAATAATAATAATAATGATGGGGCGTCTCTTCTATGGAAGGTACTTGTACTTGTCGAGGGGTATTCCTCCCGCATGACGAAAGCCCATACATAGTTCTAAGATGCCTGTTCGATTCCGAAAGTTTATCTGAAAGGTAGAAGAAGGAGACAACCCTTCGAGAGCTTTTTATCAGAATATCTGTGCTTACTTGTCATCCATGCATTCAAGCTGTTGAAACTACCTGAATATTCAGGAGATAGGTAATTCGTAGACATGTATGTACAGTGATAGAAAGAAAATACAAGAAAAATAGAAAAGACGAAAATATAGATGAAAATCTCTCATAATCCAACAACAAAAACGATATCTAGATGAAGACTCGGACCCAGAACTGCTGGATGGAGCCGGAGGTATTAGGTAGACCTGAAAGCGAGCGTCCGCTGTGAAATCGCACATGCAAAACCTCATCAGGCGTTGATTAGGATTCAGAGAAGTCAACCGGCTTGCTAGGAGTTACAGAGGAGCGGTTCATAATGAATGATCGAGAGACCAGCGTAAGATTCGTGCCGCGATTTCGAAAAGAATAAATAAGAACTCCTAGATTGCAGAAGCCGAGTGATTAATGGACTGGTGATTTCCCGCTCTGCGAGTTCAAACAAGGATATTTGCTTGTGAAGGTTTGGAGTCTTATACTGAATCATCCATCTATCTGAGGATTCTCACATAGATCTAGAAAATAAAAAAGACGGACGAAACGCAATATCGCACAGATCTACCGAAGTCAAAGTGAGAACCTATCTAGTAGGCTAGAGGCATAGGAATCCAGCTACGATGGTCTTCGTCAGCTATTGGCTTTCATGCCCGGGGCCCATGTAAGCGAGCACACGCTCAATGATCTTGAATCATACACAGTGTCTCTTTATGATTGCCGACATGGCGTTCAGCATGGATAGGCGCTCCTCGTTAGACGATCTTGAGCGCGCGGCCTCCAAGGACTCAGGGGTTAGGCTATGCACAGCCTCCGAACTCAGACTTTTTACCGTCGTTGTGGTAAAAATGTTCGACAAGCCATCGATTAAGCAGTTTTCGATGGCGAGGGTCGCGATATTCTCCGTAAAGGTAGGCAAGGTGATCTGCATTATTTAGCGGCTGGTGAGTATCCTACGGGATCATACGCACCTTGTAGTATGAATCCATGATTGCCAGTGCCTGTAGCGCAACATCTGATCTTGAAATATTGTGGGATCCATGAAGTAAGAGGAATTCCTCCACTTTGGCTTCCCACTGTTTCTGGTTCGAAGCAACTAACCTGCGGTTGTTGTAAGGTCTCAAGAGCTCTTCCACTTTAGCTCTGAGGATTGATCGAATGCCTTCGAGTTCTGCGTCGACAAGCTGAGATAAGATCGCTTGCGCTATGTGAGGAGGCGCGACATGCCTGAGGGCTTGAACTACGAATGCCCTAGCCGTATTCCAGCAAATATCCACGTATTGAATTGAGATCGCTTTCCAGGGCGATGACTGTACTCTGAATAGGTGAGCAACGGCTGCTGAAGATGCCAATCCATGTAGCTCACAGCATCGGTTGTGTTTGAGGTAATCTCGAACCGCTCCTACTAGCTCCGAAGTTCTCACCAGATTAGCACGGTGGGTGGCGGCGGAGACAACCGGTATCTCGAAGAAACTCGCGGGTTTTGAGGGCAGCTGATAAGGACAGTCCAAGGTCATGGTAAACATCATGCCGTAAAGATGTATATGGTCGGCGAAATTATACAAAATCTCACGGAGCTGAGCTCGTAGTCGCCATTTGTGAGCATTTGTGTTCGTGGTATCCTCAATGAATTTGTCATTGCATATACCTTGAACTTCCATTCTGATAATTTTCTCCACCTCTACGCTGATCCAAGTGAGATCTAATCGTCGGCTTTCTTCGTGGTTCAATGCTCCGTCAAGCTCTCGTAGGTTGTGCTTGCAAACTGCGATCTTCTTCTGGATGACTTCGTCCAGTGCCGGAAGTTTCCTTTGGATGGCCTGGACGATAACATCACCCAGACGCTTCCGTAGCGCACTCGAGCCACGAGCACTTTCCGGTATTGCTTTCCACTGACGTGTACGAAAGAAGGCATCTTCAGCTTCGTTGCGCTGTTTTATTGTGTCGTTACGGTGCGCGTGGCCCTCTCGGTTCTTGAGTACGTGCCAGCCGAGACCGAGTCGAAACGACTCGTTCAGAGCGCACGAAATCGCAGCGGCTTCTGCTGGTGATCCGGCTTCTGTTTTGTCCGGTTTGGTGAAGATCCCGAGGGTGCGAACGCCTTCTGGATCGTATGACTTTGCCAGCTCCAGAACTCCCTGATTTGCGACATCATCGTCCGCGGCAATAACAGCGAGAATGATGCTATTCTGTTCGCTCGCATATGATCTCACAACCCTTTCAACTATCTCAATGTTCTCTGTGCCACACTCCCGAGTCTGAACAAGACCTGGAAGATCTACAAGTGTCAAGGAGGGAAGGTCCGGACCATAGACAACGGCCTGGAGTCTGTCTTCGTAGAATCGGGAATGGTGCTTGGGATGACCGTCGACGGCACGAAGAAATTCCTCGGCTGGCTTAATGATGTTTTCAAGGTTCCGTTCGTCGCTAAACACATGGATCGAGAATTCACTAATTATATTCCTCGCTTCTTCGGTCCTGGATGGTGCTGGGATCAGCTTCACCTCTACGCCACTGGTATTTGCTTTGCGCAACACTAGTTCTGTGGGAATACGAGTACAAGTGGTATCCGCCACGGGGAACCGAACTTGTGATATGGCCTCCAAGACCGAGCTTTTGCCGCATGATTGCTTGCCACAAACAATGAGCTGGGGCAAGTCAAGTGTGCCAGAGAGTCCATGCGCACGAAGTTTGTCGATGGCGTCCAAAAGTTCGACTTGGGCCTTGCTCTGGAGCAAGCTGAGGGCAGGAATCGATGACGTTTTCATAGTTGCGAGCGATATCGAAGCGTCGCTTATAGAGGTATCTGCCTTTGTGCTGCAATGACTAGTATTTATACCAGGTCAGACGKATTTTGCTTCAAATAGAGCAGTTGGCGAAGCTCCTCTAGTCGGCAAGAGCAAAGAATGTCCACGCGAGCCACACACCACCGCACATCTTGATCGGGCTGTGAAGCGTAGGCTGAGCACTCGAAACAATGCCAAGCAATGCAAAGTGGGCCAAGGGTGATGTGTGGATGTTCACTCCTCCAATGCGATACCGCATGGCGTGCTATATGCCTGCTCAAGCGCCAACTCACCGGCTGCTGGAAGGCGATGCAACAGATGTGAGAGCATCCAAGCATGCATTGCCCGCACCCGATGAGCTGGTACTCCATGTAGTTTCTGCCTCCTCAAGCGCGAGTTCGCTAGCCTTGAGATGGCTCTGTGGATAAGATGTGACAACGTCCAGCGTGCATCACATCGCCCCAAGAATACCCGAGGGCACCTCGAACCCCACTCCACTGCTGATACTGTGCCGCAACGCTGCAGAAGGAAAGAGCGCGGCCTTCCAACCGATGGAGTAATGCGTGCTGCTTTGAACATCAACGCCGTCAATGAGCAGCCGCAAGACGCTTGACATCCAAAAAGTTTCAGAAGTCAACAGAAAACAAACCCGCATCGAAGTATACCAGAAATCGCAGTGAAGTTAAAAGACTCCCGTCATGGGAGGCGCGGACCGGCGCCAGAAGATTCCGGGGGATGGTGGACCTATGTCGATCAAAGAGGCACAGCCATGCAGGTCGTTGCAGAAGCGCAGAAGCGTCTCGCTAGCAAAGTCCATTGGACGTGCTGTCTACGCGCCGCGGATGCATGGCATAATCGCATGCACAGCTCTCCATATCATAGATCCGAGCTGGCCTGTGATGGGCGCGGGCAAACGTTTTCCGATGAGGGTTTGGGAAGGGAACATGTGATGTCGTGGAGTTGGAGGACGAGGGCGGAAGGTAGACTTCATCAATATTTACGCTAACCGTATTGGGTATACCACATCAGCACTCACAACATGCACTTTTGAATCACATTTTCTAGTGACATGAAAAATGGCGGCACAGGAAAGCAGTACTTCCTCGATGTCTGAAATACTACGAGCGTATCGAGCCGACGTCTGAATTTTCTCAACTCCATCTCCGTAATCATTACTCACTCAACGATGTATCCATACAAACAATCTTGACTTTTTGGTAGTGATGTTTCATGGACACACACCATGCTTGCTCGTCACTTGGACGAATATGCTTCTCATCATTCGGATGAACATGCTTCTCATCATTCGGACGAACATGCTTCTTATCTCTCGGACGAACATGCTTCTCGTTATCCGCAAAACATGCTTCTCATCATCCGGACGAACAGCATTTCATCATCCAGACAGCGATGCTTCATTCCGTCCCAGGTGATATTCATGTTGGTCATCTCAAACCGGCCAAGGTCGCTGCCCTCAAGTTTCGTGTTCGAATCATCATCTCAAAACCGCCGCTCAATCACGACCATTGCCACTTTGACCAAATCTTCATCACCGCCACAGGAATCCTTCACAGTCTGCGCAATGCGCTTCTCGGCAAACATAATCGCCGGTGGTAAAGGATACGGCTTCTTCTTCGGGTCGCACATGGCTTTGATGTCGAGGGTGTCGGCCATGCGACTGATTTGATAGACCATTTGCGGGACGAATCTGATCTCAACTTGAGATATGAAACCCGCCACATCCGCACGTGGTCTCCATTTCTGTAGGTTTGCGGATTCCGTCATGTCGAAGTTTTGGAGTGATTTGGAGGTGCTTGTCTCGAAGACAAATTTGTTCAGACCGTAAAAGAGTGACAGGACCTCCTTCCGAAGTTGCTTGCTCACAGCTGCCAGGAGTGGTTCTTGAGGAAAGCGTCGGATGGTAATCTTACCTTTTCTGCAAGGCTGGATGGGACGAAATTGCGCTGCGATCGGATCCTCTCGAGCAGAGAGCAGCGTCCAAATCTGGTTTCTCACCTCTGCAGGTAGCCACATGAGATGCGCAGGTGGAGTGCGAGAAGGAATAGGTGGGTAGGTGGCAGGAGTCAGCACCTGCGCCTTGGCCTTTCGTGACTTGTTCGGAGATGCCTTCCCTGGGTATACGCCGTGCCTAGAAGTGAAGAGAAGAGGGGTCAGCAGCTGTGTATCCCAAAGGATTCAAAGTGCTCTTCTCTACGACGCTGACAGTACACATGCACCCAGCGACTTTTTTGTGGAAACGTCCTTCATGCGTAGCAACGAAAAAAAAAAAGTGTAGAACTGGCCCTGCTCTCACTTACTTGAAACTTTCCCGACGACTACGCTTCTTCGTAGAAAATTTCGGTTTTGGTCTCCCGGTGTTCAATTTTGGAATCTGCTTGTGCAGGCAAAAGGAGCCAAACTGCAAGCCCGGCCATTTCTGACACGTGGTTGGAGCATCAAAGTCGAATAGCCGCGGTAATGAGTCGTCCATCTTCAGCTCGCCAAATCGTATCATCATGTCTGCCGCCTTGTCTTCTGGGTGGGAGAACGCTTCAAGTTGGTCGACAGCGGACTCCATGATTCGATCTTGATTTTGGAGCCGGTGACGCTCGAACTCGTTGATTGAAATCACTTCCATGGCAGATGGGGATGACCAAGCCCGCTTGTGTTTGGACGTCTGCCGACCTCGAGTTGGTACCGACGCCCGAGCAAACATGTGTGGACTCYCCGTCCAGTGACGATTCGTGATTGGCATAGAACACCGCTGCGATCGATATCTAGCAGATGACAACAATTATGAGATCGCTTGAGAGTTCCGATCAACGGACAAGCTGTCCGGCGTGGTGGGATGCCGTTCTGTCGCCACTTTGTAGGTGTCGGTGTTTGAGATGGAGTGCGTTTGGTGGAGGAAAGTGTAATGCAGTGGAAGGCGCCAGTGATGCACGGTCCCGCGCTAAATTTTAGCGCCTTCTGTCCACCTGACGGGATCACACACTCTCCCACTTCCATCTTTCTCATTCTTCACGTCCACGGCTTCATGCGTGAACGACATGGCAATAATTATGTGAAGACTTCTTGTCTCTGGACTGTTCCATTCGGGTGGGTGTCGATGTCAACCGCTCCTTGGATTTGGACTTCATGACGACACACGCTGCAAAGTGATGCACCGATAAAAGGATGCCTACAAACAGGCCAGCGATGAATATGGCTTTCCATCTCACTGTGGAACTTTGGGACATACCACTGACGGGACTCGATGACTCCAACGTACATCCGACGAATGGAGTGTTGGGAAGCACGGCCACACTCGACCCTTGGTGTACTGATTGTCACATGTCAAGAGCTGGTTCTGGTATCGCTGGCCACATCTCTGAGCCATTGTCCCAGATAATACCAGACATTCCCCAATGCCAAGCATTTCGAGCAGCTATCGAGCTACGACTGTATCTCTCGGCGGCCTGGGCTCATACATACATCAAAGAAAAACGACAAGTACAATCCATCCACCTCTAGGCCCAGCGTCTCGCTGACTCTACGCGAGTACTGTGAACATACTCACTTATTACACACAAATTCGACGCTGACCAAAACCAGCCAAAATCAGTTAGAATTCACMACAACCAACGGACAGCTATAAAGCCATGACGTGGTCCGGTGACAAGCTTCATACTTAGGCTACACACAAAAAAATATTCAGCTTTTTCTTCACACCCGCTGTCATCCCAACAATACTTCAACAATACTGAGTGCCTATATCTAATCAAGATCAGCCGAGAACGCAATGGCAAATGTGTTACACCGCTACGAGTTCTTCGACCGATGCAAGACGAAAGCGATTCGAATCGCTCGATATGCGCGCTCGCCATACCAGCGTTTGGAAGATGATACCGATTCTCTCAGGCTGGAACTTTCGAGCTATCAGAAAGAGCAGATCAGGTCCCCTTTTCGTTTTCTTGAGCTGCCGCCAGAACTCAGGGTTCACATATATGAAAATTGTAAGCACCTCCAACATCTACAGAGCTGTCGATATGCGGATTATCCATCAAGGCAAGACATCCTCAGTCATCCTAACTACGTCTCAAGGCCTCTTTCTCTGCAGGTTTGACGATTCTAAGCCTGCTAAAACACTTGCTAGTAGCAGAGTGGCTTATCAATCAACCGAGAGAGCATTTCACGACGCTGGTCTTGTTGAGGACTTCTCATATCGATAGCTCTGAACATCGATCGCATAGATCGCTACTAATCCTCAACAGTACTCCTAAACAAAGTGAAGCATCCTCACATTCTAGCGACTTGCAAAAAGATCAACCATGAAGCAAGCCATATCCTCTACGAGCGCAATCAGATCATCATTGATATTAGTCCTGACGCGGTCCGGACTTATGGTGTTCGATGTGGCAAGCACGTCCCGGTGCAGTGCCCTACATCCAGCACGATCAAGGCAGCGGACTTCACCACCATTGTTTGGCCTGAGTTTCTGCGCCGAGTGCGACATATCTGCATTGTATCTCAGGAGACCTGGTATCGAGCTGGTTCAGACCCAGCGATCTCCATCCCAATCTCACACGGCGTACRCACAACCGCCATCTGTAACGCCTTGTACTCACTTTGTACAAATCTACGTGGAAAGCATCATGAGATGCTAATGATGGAAGCCGCCATCAAGTTCCAGACGCTCGAAGACATGCGAACTTCRCTATATCCAATGCGATGGCTCGAATTCAACAACGCCTACGCATCACGGCAAAATCGAACACCAATTTGCACCTTTTTCGATCGATATGCTTACTTCGCGGTATCCACTCTTCGATCAGACGATCGCAAGTCGAAGATCGATATCCTCCGGGTTGTTCAAGCGGTCCTCAAGGCGGTTGTCGATGGCCGTCCTTGTTCATCGGTCTCGAAATTTACCGGGAGTGCCGTAGTGAATGCCATGCTAGCCTTAGCTGGGGTCGCCGGAGTCGTTGATCGGGATACGGGTGGCCACTGCTACGACTCCGCCAGAGCTTTGACCAACTTCATCAAGCATGCCGTCAGGGAAATTCGAATCTGGCTGGAGATGATTGATATTTCAATGATGCGCATTGGCTTACAAGCAGGAGTCATGTTCATCCTCCGACTGGATGTAGAGCTTCGTTGCACTCCAACAATTGGAAAGAGAGAAGACGCCGTTAGGAATGCCCGTTTGACGGGCTATCAAATGCGGGCTAGACAGGTGGTGGCACTGACGGACGGACGACTTGAGAGTGAGAAGATCTGTAGATAATGTGCAGTTTCATCAGTGTCGAATGGCGGAATTTGTGTACTGCTAGGATATGACACTAGCAACAGCGCGAACATATCCTCAATATATTCACTTGCAAGCTGCCTAATTCGGCCTAGTCTGAGCTCACATTCGGTCATAGGCAAAGCCGAGGTCCGTCCGACTCGGCAGGGATAACAGCAAGTCCGAACGAAAGTCAATCCGTCTTACGAGTCAACTTCTAATATTAAAGTCAGGACACCTCACCGAACCATCCTCCTGATACATCATCAATCCATCCATCATCACACAGACATGCCATCTACAATCCGGCTGGCCTCGGCCACCTTACTAGTCCTCGTTCTCATCGTGGCAGATGTCTCTCTTTTACAAGTGAGTATCAGGAGACCGATACATGAAACCACGCCTAATAACCTCGACAGCAAAGCAGAAAGAACGGCACCGCCGATTTGCTTCACATCCTGGCCAATCCGACGGATTTCCTCCCAAACACCAAGATACCCCTCAAGATTCCCAGTTCCGGCCTCGCACCATTGGACAACTACTTTCAATTCATGACCGCTTTCTTCTCCACTTCCTTGGATTCCAAAAATGTCCGCGCTCACGTTGCAGGAAACCACCTCCTGGGATCTCTTTCCAGCATGTGGTTTGTCATGCTTGCGGAAGCACATAATAGCTCTCCCGGCTTCTTGATTTCAACTTACATGATTGAATTTTTGGGAGAACTATTGGGAATCGGCATATTCACTCCCATCTGGGGACTTGCACACCTATACTACGTGCCCGCTAGACTGAGGACATCCAACAGACCGGAGACAAACAACAAAGCTCTGGGCTACGCTCTCTTCATCGGACACATCGTCCCAACAGTCCTGATGCTTCGACTGAAACCCGATGGAGAGGGTCTCGCATCGCAGCAATTCTGGACCATTGCCCGGCTCTTCCACCCCTTCTTCGTGTATGTAAGCTGGGCATTCCTGAAGACTGCCATGGGTAGCTCCACTTCCTCCCAGTCCTCGTTCTTCAGCCGACGCAAAATGTACATTTTCGGCATTTTGATCTCGGGGTTCYTCCACGTCACCTCCCTGAGTTGGTTCCTCGCTGAGCAGCTGGCACCCGGATGGATCAAGGAAGATGTTCTGGCGCAGCTCAGTTTCAGCACTATTGTCACGCCAGCCAAATTTTGGGGTGCTGCTTCTCTTCTGAATGTTGCTTGGGAGGATGGTGTTGCCATCTTCTTGCAGTGGGATTACCTCTGTTCTACCGCTGCATTCTTCATCTGGGCTGCGAGCATGTTTGTCGAAGCACGATCTTTGGGTAGGGATGCCACTGGAAGCAGCATTGTGGAGGTCTTTGCTCAGAGTGCTTTGGTCACGGTTCTGGCAGGTCCAGCTGCTGGTGCAGCTTACTTGCTGTGGGAGCGCGACGCTGTTCTTGCGGCGCCGGCAACTTTGAATGAGAAGAAGTCGCTATAGGAAGAGATGGTATGGGTTATCAAGATATATAGTGATGATTACTGAAATACTTTTTTGGTCGTCTATTGGAACCACCGGACCAGCCGATGGCCCACATTCAAAACCCAGGTGTCAACCTAAACAACTCAATCCTCGAGAGCCATATCCTAAAAAGTCCCGATACTCTTCCCGTTGTACACACCATCCTTCTCAATGTATTCCTCCACAGCACCCATGTAATCATCAATCAAGCAGAAATTCCAATACGCAGACTCTCCATCCCTGTCAATTGACTGCGCATACGCCTCATCCACGGTCTTCTGCACAAAAGTAAGATACTTGACAGCAATCTCCTGATCGCCAGCAGGGATGAGTTTGACTGCCGCACACCTGGTCGGTGTAGGTTTGGCTGCTGTGCGGAAAGTTGCTAGGGCGGTTTGAGCGGTCTTGAGTGCTGCGCGAGAGGTATCGAGGGTTGAGGTTTGTTGGTATGAGGAGCGGCTTTCGAGTTCTCTGGCGAGGGATTGTAGGGAGGAGCGGTAGATGGTGTATGTTCTGTCGATGTCGGTTCTGGAGTAGCCGGATGATGATGAGGGTTTGTTGTTTGTGTTTGAGGTGTAGGGGCCTGTTGCTTGTCTGTTGTTTGAGGTTGGGTTGTATCCGCTTGCTGCAGGTTTCCTGTTTGAGGGTGGGTTGTATGTGCTTGCTGCAGGTCTCCTGTTTGAGGGTGGGGTGTAGCTGCTCGATGCAGGCCTTTCGAAGGCTTCTGGAGTGTATGCATTCGATGCGGGTCTTTCGAAGGCGTCTGGAGTGTATGCATTCGATGCACGTCTGTCGGCCGCATCTAGGTCGTAGGCATCGGTCGCGACTCTGTCGGCTGAATCTGGGTTGGTATATCCGGATCCGAATTTAGCTGGGATGGGATCTAGTCCAAGGGCTTGCTTTGCGGTTGCTGGCTCAAAGACACGAGGAGAGCATCTGGCGAYGGTAATTAGAGCGATGGCCGTGAAGGCGAAACGAAAGTACTGCATTATGATCGTGAAGGCTGGTGATTTAATGAGAGACTGTAGGGTGAGAATGAGAGACTGTAGGGTGAGGGTATCGAATACTATATACATAAGATGGCTGATATATTGCCAACAAGACATGGGAGGAGGTAGGACGTCCCGGGAGATCCCTCTGGGGTGAGACTCTGCCAAGGCGAGTCGTTGAGTATAGCTCATCTCATGAAGTCGTCCGATTCGACCTGACCAAGATCTGTATGGATGTAAAGAGGATGAGACATGCTGCGCTCAACTGCCAGACCGCAGACTTGTTGATCTTGTGGCTGTGAAATGTGAGTAGAGAGGTGGGGAGAGGGGAGAAAGCGGATCGGCACTGCTGGGCATATCGGGAGAACACTGCCGCAAAGCCGGATACCAGCAATCCAAGGGACTGATGAAACTAGATGTGCAAATGTCTTGAAGAACGAGATGAATTCGAATACAATCCTCGGGTCTTCCGTTCTAAATGTATCTGAGGACTTGGAGTCCTCAACCCAGCTGGCAAGCAAGTTGTTGGTCCATAAAATGGAGGCCAACCGCAGTCTGTGGAGCATCGCKAGTGACTTCCAGGTATTTTCGAACATGCTCACGCATCAAAATGTATGCTGCCACCCATTATGAAAGCCAGCAGGCCTTCATCGTGCGGACGTGTCTAGTTGATTGAAGCAATGTCGTGTAGCACTCAACCTAAACCAGCCGTGTACCTGGCATATCCGGGGTCCTTGGCATGCAATATATGAGACCCGAGACAGTTCTTTAGTTTAGGTAACAATGGTTGTTGATCTGTAGATACATCGATAGCGATTCGTGATGTCTTTTCATTGTGCAGGAGACCAAGAGGCAAGCCGCAAAGTGAATTGAGGCTAAAAAGCTGACTAATCTGTTTCGACTTCAGCACTCCATTCCGCTGCATACCACCACCTCCTACCCCATCACCCTCACAATGCCGCCCCRACGGCTACCAGTGCCGCGAGGCACTTTCGCATCGCATGCAAAACACCTCCAGCAGAAGCGTTTTGCTTCAACAACGCCGGCGCTCCCAGAATTGAGCGTGTGGCGCGGCCTGGAGCCCAATACCCGTCTCGGACAGGCCATTACAGGAAGCATGGAATGGCAGACATCGACCTACTCCTTCAACAAGCAGAATATCAAAACTCTACCCGTCGCAGCGGTGAATGTGGAGAAGTTGATTGAGGCGTATGTGACGATGAAAAAGGTGGACAATACAGGCAAAGACGCGCGAGCAATCCGCACAGCACTATCGGCCAGACGGAAAAGCGCGGAGAAGATGTACGTCAGCAAGCCACGAATCAAGGATTTCGGCAATAGGATTGAGATGACAGTCTTCGTCTTCGATGGAAATGCATTCGCCAAGGAGAACGACAACAGACGGCCACGACCAGGACAAAAGGACAAACCTGCCAGCTCAGCAAGCTCCGCCCCACGACCCATCTCCAAAGATAGTCTCCTCAACCCTGTCCAGCAAGAAGGCCTCCAATCCCTCATCGCACAAATCTACTCCAAACCTGTAGAGCTCCGGATGATCCAGCTCCGCAAGCCTCACCTCGACGCCGACATCCTCGCAGCCTACGTCGCCCAACGCCTCTCCGACCGACGCAATACCCCCCGCCGAGTCATTCGAGACGCGACTTGGAAAGCGCCGCTCCCGACTGCACAAGCTATAGTAGATCTTGCGCAGAAGAAGTTGCAGCAGCTACCGCAAAAGTTCACTTTTGCGGACTTCAAGATTGGGAATGCGGCGCGGACGAGTGCGACGGGTATTGTGGATACACTGGGTCTGAGTCAAGTTTCGAGCGTGCAGGTTGAGGCTGCGGGTCGTTTGACGAAGCGGTTGACAGCCAACAGGAGTCAGAGGAAGATGGCGAGACGAGGTGCGAATGCCAAGGGACCTGGGTTCATGTTGAGAGGGTTCAGGAAGAGTCATGTGCAGTATGCTTTCCGAGGAGGCAAGAGGAGAGTGGGTCAATTCGGTATTCGTGTGTCTTTGGGACATACGTGAGCATTTAAATATAGATGCGTTGGAAGGATATACACCAGACTTAGGATGGGCTGGTCGATGTACAAAAGTAGTCCTGATACCTCAAATATCAATGTGTACAACATCAGCCACCCGGCAGATCTGTCCTTCCCCACTGGACGTAGGCTACTGTTCTAGACGTCCGCGGCCTGGAGTGCAGCATGCTACTTTACCATATCCCGCCGGAATGCCACTCCGTTACTCTTACCCGTACGAAATTTCCTCTGCTGTAACGGTTCGTTGCCTTCTTAGTCGAAAGACCTGACCTCCTGCTTTCGAAAAAGAGGCCGAGGTGACTTGGAGAAATTCACGGATCAACAGGCGGCATTCGAACGTGGTGATATGCTGTGTGCACAGTATTATTGCCTCGCCTAAGCTACTTCACAGTCCCTATCCATAAAACATACGCGGATGCTCGAGAAGTTGAACATTTTGGCCCGTCGTTTAAGACTCTCGCAGTCGTCCGAGTAGCTGGCCCTTTGCCATCTCCAGCAGGTGCCTTTGTTAGTAGCGACGCAGCCTCACCATGGTTGCTTGCCACTCTCCAGTCAATATCCATGTTATCGCGAAGCCATTAATAACGTTGAGATCCTCATCTTTTGGTCCCGAATCTTTCACGGACACATATCCCACCATCCGATGCGACAGACTCTACTGGACAACCTCAATCTCTGGCGTCGTCCTTCYCGCCTTCTTTCGGGTCTTTGGCCTGTGAGTTGGCGCTTCGACCTCGATCACATCGAAATCGGTGTCCTGGTCATTGACGGGCTGGGTCTTCCGAGATGACCAGGATGCATCTTGGAGAGCCTTGGCCTGTGTCGTCGGAATCTTCGCCTTCTTGGCCGGGGCTTCGATGACCATACAATCCGAATCGTAATGTGGCTGCACAGCTTCCTTCGGAGTCTGGAGCTCCCTTGGCGATGCTTGGTAGGCAGTTGACGACAAGCTTTTCTTCGCGCTCTTCTTGGCGGAAGATTTGGACTTCTTCAATGGATACTTTGCCGATGCCTTCGCAATCCCTTCTCCCGAGATGTCGAAGGTGAAGCAGCCACTGCTATCGATGTCCGCGAAGTAAAGAGCCCGCTCCACAATGGCCCTCCAGAGCATTCCCATGTCGTTTGTTTCTAACAAGTGCTTCTGGATGCTACCTTCGAGAGATTCCGAGATCCGTGGCGCAAACTGGAACGAAATTGGCGAAATCGGACCCACTCGATGAGACTGATTCTTCACGATTGGTGCGCCTCCAGTCGGGTTCGAAGCGATGGACATCAGGCAATGAACCAAAACCTGGGGTCCAGTATTTAGCAAGACGCGCACCTTGCGCAAGTACTTGGCATCATCTCCGATGAGCTTCACCCATTCGTGAGCAGCAATGCGATTCGCGATTGCAACCTTATCTTTTGCGCGAGTGGCGTCATCTCCGATCAGAGCGAATGTGTTGCTTCCGTAGTATACATTGAGCGCTTCCGTCCGGATCTCACGACAAGTCTTTGCAATGGCTGGAGTACCTCCTTGGGCTTTTATTCCACGCTGGATGCCAAAGATGTTGTATCTCGGTCGAGGAAATGTCTTGGCTGAGATGGTCGGGTCCAGCTCGTAGAAGTCAGTGGTGATGACAAGAGCGTAGATTTCATTCCTCAATTCTGGTGGGAGGGTCAGGAGGAGATTCTGACCGGGCGATGTGGTCGGGGCCATTGGATGGAATTCGGGTGGGTTGAAAGAGATGAGGTTGATCGAGAGCTCGCGGATGGAAAGTGAAGGGCGCTAGCGCGGCGCGGGTCTATCCGTGCGACGTCACGTGCTCCGCCGCGGCGACGGCAGGTGGTTTGTTTGGTTCACTTTATTCCAGTGAAGTATTGTCAGCGGCACTTCTTCCGGCCACCTCTTCTGCAGACATATCTTCCGACACTCGACATCCTCTCCCTGCTCCGACGACCACGACATCACACAACTATGGAATAACCCCGAACATAGCCTCCAATATGCATTCCACCCAGGAAGATGCCACGTTCGACACTAAGCACGCCAAGCACCTGATCAGTGATAATTCTGCAGATGATGCCGCGCGCAAATCGCTGCCACAGGAACTGGTGTCTCCAGACTTCCAGGTCAGTACTGCTACTCTCCCGAGAGTTGCTGAAAGTTCGCCTTTGCTAACATCCTCTCAGGGCTCCACTAGATGCCGCCTCCTCGAGCTACCACCCGAGCTTCGCAATGCCATCTATGAGTATACCCTATCCCAGGGCACGGGTGGAGTAGTCATCAAGCTCGGAGGTACGAAACCCGAGACACGCCATCCGTTCGGATTGACGGAGACCTGCAAGCAAATCCACCAAGACTGCGGGGACATGATCTACCGTTTGAACACCTTCACGTTCCACACCAACATATGGGGCAACAAAACGGTACCCTCCAACAACTTTGATTTCGTACTCGCGAAGCAAATGGCGACCAACAAGCTTCAATCCCTTAGGATCCACCTTGGCGATGACCCTCTCACCGATGTTCCAGAGGACATCCGGGATTGCTGGCGTCCGGTCCAATCGTCACTTCGGAAGCTACGCAAGAACGTGCCGGTGTTCGAGTTGGCTTTCAGCGTTTACGTCGGGCAGTCCGAGTGCGTAATCCGAATAGCGAATGCGCCGAATGCAGTGGATGAGCTGCGCAAATTCTGGACATCTATTCCGCGGTGCTACGTGGGCGATGACCATCGTCCTTCTTCTCGGAGTGGCACTTTCGACCACGTTCTTCGAAGCTTCTTTCCGTTCTGGGCCGGCAGGATAATGTGAGCAGTCGAGTACCCATTGGCAGCTATTCGGCATACTCTCTTCAACCACCTTCGGACGAGACTTTGCTCTGACTCGGCACTTCATCACAACACTGCAGAGCATCGTTCTCTGCGGGCGAGATAATGCCTGCAGAATGGACTCTACTCTGCTTACTTTCTTTCTTTCTCAAAAAAGTTTGGCAACCCGATTATTGGCAAGCGTATCACCGATTCAATCATCACGCTTAGGCAAGGTATATTCGGCTTCTGGCTCTCCTGCAGTGGCATTGGCGATTTCGACGGAGCGTTGGAAGTAAGATCCCAACGCGTACGAAGCTTTTGCGTTTTCAGAAGGGTCTTGAAAGGGATGGATAACGGCCTACTTTCCTTTGTGGAACATGACGAGCATTTTAGGGGGTCGAGGTCTTCGGACTGCATGATTGGTTCATTATTTCGTATGACCATGTCTCTCTTCATCCACAGGATCATCTTCACCTCCTCCGCGTTGTTGTTTGTATTGGGTTTTCTCGACGGCTCTGTCTCGAAATTGCTGTTCCTTTCCTCAAACAAGACTCAAATTACGTGCTCCGGTGGCCTGACATTGATCACATCGACTTGTACTCATGATATCGAGATGTCAGCTGGGCATATTCAGCGACTTTCGTACCAAGTACAAGCGTAGTTCCATTGTCATTTCAGAAACCCACGAGAGCCCGCGCTTCCTCCTTGCCAGACGCAGCCACTGCGAATCCTTTGCAGCTGAAAAACCAACGTCCTGCCTCCGTGTCGTTACTTCCATCTCCAAGGTAATACTCCTCTACATTCCTTCTCACATTCATATACCTCCTGGCTTAGCAATTTTCCCTGGTAGCCGCCACTGAAAGAAAGAGCTTTCAGGCCCTCGAGGTAAAGCAGACTCAGGCAGCGCTCCAGTATCAAGCCAATTCCGATACTCAGACTTGGAGAATTGATACCATTCGCACCACTCAGGGTCTTTGCCGAAGCTTCTAGTAGCATCGTCCAGATTTTCAAAACGTACCCTCCACTCCTCGGGATGAGAAATCTTAGCATGACGTGAGATGCCATTGACGCCTTTGAGTATGTCCCCGTGTTTTGTCAAATTGGTGCGACATCCTGGCCGAGCGCAGCAGACGGCCCAAGCATCCCTTTCTCCATCTTCCCCGCCTGTGAACAACATGTTTCCGGGAACGTCTCTGGAGGTTATGTGGATGGGTCTGTGGTTGACRTGGAAATCACCGGGTGCATCGACGTGTATTGTGCGATCTTTTGGGCCTAGGAATGGGCTGGCAGACTTAGGATTGGTACTTCCGAGCGAAGACGTTGCGTTGGGAATGTTACCATGTCTTATTGTATCTTCGTTCACGTCTGTAGTAGGACCAGTTGTCGTAGTCGTCAGATCCACGACAGGATCCGAAATTTCCTTCGAGGTTGGCGGATCTGAAGACTTGATGGTAGGAAACTCGAGCTCCAACTCCTTTTGGCATATGTTAGTGATGACAAACCTGTCAAGGGACTGCTATATCGTACTGACCTTGTTTCTCTTTGCCAAAGCTTCGAATCGCTCTCTTCCCTTTCTGATAATGTCTCCCAACATCTTCATTTCCTTGCGCACCTGCTGCCGCTCGACAAACCTCGCACGCTTGATTTTTAGTTGACGATCGTCCTCTTCAAGTTGTGCTTTGCGTTTTTCCAACGCCGCCTCCTGGTCAGTCAAGAGTACATCCATGCCTTTGATGGGATGGTGGCTGTTGTGAGACGTCGGGGGGAAAGGAGTGTAGATTGCTTCAGACACTCRCTGAGTGGGCTTTGAATGCCTATACTTTATGACCGTGATTGTCAGCAAACAACTTTTCGAAGCTTGTCGCGCCCTGTGCTGCATTGACAAAGAAGATGGGAATTTATAGCGTCGCGAATCCTTCCAACTGTCGTGTGACATCGAGGCAGTTCTTTATTGCTGTCCCTGATCTGAAGAGATTGCATACTCTAGCTAAAATTGCAGGTGCTCCCACTTCAATCGTGCGAACTTCATCTCCACCTCTTGCTCTCCCTCCTCTCGACATCATTGGGCTCCAGCCTCGAGACTCTGTACTAATACCTCCATCCATGCTCCGATTTGCCTGACATCGATCTCGTAGGAGCCTACCCTGCCTCCTCTGGGAAAGCAACGGGGATACGAAAGGCATTCCGTAGGAAGATGTGTTGACCGAATACAGCATTTCATTGGTCTCTTTGCTGGTTCCTTCGCAAGTCTTCATAAGGACCGCGTGATATTGCCTCTTGTGGATACACGGTTGTCGGTTAGCTACTCAGGTCGTGCTAGGAGAGTATTTGACACCCATCTCATTCGAGATAATCTCAATGATGCCTTGCAAGGCTATTTCCAAATGACGCTCCTGATCTCCGGCATTAGCTATTGAAACAATGAATGTCATGAAGTGATTGATTGACTAACTAAGGAACTAAATGGCTGAAGGCCAGTAGATATACCGTAGGGATTAGTCAGTTACTGGATCAGGTAACTCAAGTGAGTGACCAGCCACAGTCCTTTCAACATTAGTCCTGAAAATGGAGATGTTTTATTGTGTTCATATAGCTTTTTCTAGTTCAGGAGTAGTCGCAGTAGACGTCGAGCAAGTTGAACAAATCTCAGGGGTTCTCACACTGAGACTTTGTGATGAATGGATATCTCCAGTTTGAAGAATATTCTTCGATGAGTCGAATCACAGCTCCGACGCAGTACGGAATCGAACAGTACCATGGCTAGTATCGCTGGAAGGTCCGGCGACTCAGTGGAAGCTTTTGCGTGTTACCAGCTGTAAAACTCGTGGGTCAGCTGGTCAGCTCAAAAAGAAATCCATCCAAAAACGACCCGTTCTCCGTGTTCACACCACTCTTTTACATCAAATTTCATCTCTTGAAGAAAAAGGTCACTCCACAGAACCCCTTACCATCACACTCAACATGGAAGACTCACTATTTGGCAAATTCCCAGCCGAGATCCGTGCTCAAGTCTGGACACTGACACTACAACAAGAAACCCCCATCGAAGTCGACGAGTGTGGCCACCGAATGCGAAGTTACAGCAAAATCAAGCCGAACCTCCTTGCACTCCTTCGGACATGTAAGTCGATCAACAACGAATGCAAGAGCATGTTCTACGCGCTGAACCATTTCACACTGCAAACGCATCGATCCGTGGCCATTCGTCTGTCAGTTCAGAGATTGGTCGAGAGTATTGGGCCGGAGAATGCTAGACTGGTCAAGACGCTGCATATTCATTCCAGCGTCGATGTCGATAATACGTTTTACACGACGGAGTACCTGGAACAGCACCTAGTTGAAGCTGAGAAATGGTTCAACGAGGCCACGTCTTCGTTTCATCTTCCTTACGATTGGGGGGAGCTTAAAGTAACAGCCGGTATCGAGGCCAATCCTTTTGTCTGGAGGACATTCCACATCGATGCTTGGATCAGGGCTCGTGCGTTGGTGGATCTCTTTAGAGGGGGGGCTCGACATTATCCGAAAGTGCATTTTTTCTTGGCAAAGAGTTACTACAATCTTGTCAGGACGCATGCCAGACGGGGGCTGCCGATTTGACGCGTGTTGGTCGACAGAGGCTCTGCTGCAGATAGTGCTGAAGACGATGAGGGGAAGACTCAGCGAAGCCAACTACGCTACAACACTCAGTCATGGAGATATTTGTAATGGTATTATTGCTCTTTGCTTCGTTCAAAGGACATCTAGCTTCTCATCGACTACAATCGATTCAAGTTGAGGGACATATCGGATCTCAACGCACAAAGCCTGATTCCTCAATCTCTCCCCGAAACCAATGTCAAAAATGCTCGCTAATTCGCTGTCATACGTAGACTATCTATCGGCCATTCCAATACTACCTAGCTCAACTACTCTCGTGATGTATTGACAATAAACAGCTGCACAATAGAAGCATGTCCGATTCCAATCTTATCAATCGTTAGTACACATTTCCCGATATCAAGGATTCTCAGGATGTTACTTACCTCCTCCATTGTCCAGATCGGGCTCTCTTTCCCTCTTGCTCGTTCAAAACCATCGTATATGACCGTTCCGCGGTATATGATCCTCTGCAATTTCTCCGCGATTCCAAGCTTATCGGAGATTCCTCCAGCTATCTCTGCCGTGGTTGTCTCATCTCTGGCTTCGATGGGGATGACTTTCCCGGAGAGGGTTTGGAGGAAGAATTCGAATTGAGCGTCTTCGAAGTAGATTCCGTGGGAAGCTGGGGGCATGGGAGCAGCGGGAAGAAGATGGCGATGAACGGTTATGGTTTCGTTGGGTTGTACGCCGTACTGAGGAGACGAGTCAGGTGTGCTGAAAGTATGTTGAGGATGATATGGTGGTACTCACAGAACTTAGCGTTGCGTCCAGTTGATTCAATCTGTATCCTCTCCAGACCAATTTCTGCTGATCAGCCGGTAGACGAAATAGTCGTTCGACTTTTGTCTGTAGACCCATGACTGTCAAGTCCCCATATACTGAGACTTGGTAGATACTACCTTGAACATCTTGAATCTCCACATCAAAGTCGTTCTGGAATCCAACACTAGGTGGGGATCCCCATTCCTCCTCCTCATCATCATCATCATCATCATCATCATCCAACAGCGGCGTCTTGTCTTCTTTGATGCTGGTACTTGAATTCGACGAGGATGATAATACCGGGGAGAAGATTTCGAAAGGATCAGATCGTTGTGATGATCTCAATGACTGTACTTCTGATGAGCCGTCCGAAACAAGTCTTAATGTTGATGATTCGATGGGTGGAGATTGCATTGAGAGGCTGTAAGGAAGCGACCTGATGGCTTCGATGACTGCACTGCAGACGGTCGCGAGAGCATTCTCCAATCCGGGTTCGTTGGTTTCAATCGATTCAAAGGTGTATCGCATACGTCGTACGGCCACAGCAGCTTCCAGTGGGATGGACACTGCGACGTTGATGGACATTTTTTTCTTCTCGAGGATGGGTTGGGTGAAAAACGAGTGTGGAAGAAGGTGATGTGAGCAGTATGTGACGAGGCAGTCTTTCTTGTGAAGAATTATATCGTTGCTATATAAACTGGCCGTTTCACAGGGTCTCTGGTCGACTGTCCTGGAGACTCGTGTGTGTAGGTCAACGGCGTACCGCTGCACGACGCTATGCCTAAAATGGGAAATACAATGCATGTTCGAGCCAATGATGTGACGAAACACACAAGTGAAAGGAGGGCTTCGTTCGAAACATGGAGAGCGACTCATCAGACCTTTGCTCCTTTTGTTGAAGCAGATGCGGTATTGTAAGTCAATGTTTCTGCGTACCATAACATCGCTGTGTCCTGCGCCATAGTGTACTTTGAATTTGCTTGAACAACAGTATCTCAATAGCGCCACTGCCTGACGGCCCTTCCTTGCATCTCATCGATGAGGTTCCAGTAGCACGCATTGCTTTTGGGGTCCCTATCGCGCTGTATACTGCCCCTGAGGCTCGTTGTCGCTGCGCCTTGGGTGGCGTTATCCGTTGAAAGACGTTGAACGCATGCGTTGATATCGCAACACTCACGTCTTTTTGCTCCGTAAATACTTCTGATGTCTCTGAGATGTTCTGCTTGGTCCAAAGATCAAAACTTCCGACTCCTTCGCAAAACAGGGACGGAACTCTGGTCTCGTCTTGGCGCGAGGGTGAGATGGAGTGGCAAAGTTGTCGTGGTGTATTTTCCCTTGATATTCTCAGATCCTGATTTCCATGCATCCCAAATGCAGTCTATGTCCCGACAGCTGTGCACGCTGAACGCAATAGCCCATGCTAGAACCTTCAGCCCGCGAATGTCCTTCTCCGTCAAGATAGCTGGTCTTCCATCCCGCGTATATCCTGCCTGCATACTCTTGACGATGCTCGCTGGGCTGTCAAGCTCCACACCGAAACGAGCAAAGGTTCCTGCGGAGAGCTTGAAGTCGAAGGATGCAGTGACATCTGTCACTCGGGAGAGGAAAGATTTGAACATGTGCCGCCAGACTCGATACCAGGCCTCAATCTGGGAGTCAATCTCTCCCAGGTAAATGTCAACCGGCATTTCGAGCTTGCCCTGCTGTCTCTCTTGATGATCCTTAACACATTGTGAAAGTTCAGAGAGACCCCTCACAATAGCATCTTTGTCTCTTTCGTTTAGGACTTGATGCTCCACGCGGATAGATTGCGGTTTCTGGCGTAGTTCGGACCATTCCATGGAAATCTGCTTGCATGTCCTCGGTAGTGCGCCTTCCGCATCGCAGGCTGCTCTGCGAGCCGTTACGATTGGACTGGGATCAATGAGCGGGTGGTATGATTTTCGAAAGAGATATCTACGATGACGAAATCGAAGCTTGTCTCTTAGCAGTACGAGATCTACATGAGCAAGATCTACGACGATGACCGTGGAGATTGTGTGTTTGTAAATCATGTCGCGTAGTTCACGAGGTAACTCGAGCAACCGACATCTATCCGGCAGCGGGTCGTCGATCTTGTGTGCAGCTTCGTTGCTGGTAGTGATGGAAGACTCATCTGACTCGTGCAGAACGCCCGAGGGATCCGCGAGTTGCATCATGCTGTGAAGTTTTCGCCGCGCGGGGAATGTGGCTGTGGGACGTTCGATATCCTCGTCTTGGTCCAAGGTTTGCAATATGTGTTCTTGGGAAGTGTGCGCTGAACGACGAGTGTAGTGCTGWTTCCGATTTTGAATATCGAAAGACTCGATGGTGGTGGTGTTGAGGTGGTGAAGCTTGATGGGGCGTAGTATTTGAGCAGACGAATTCCAGCTGAGCGCCGAGTTCCACACGTAAACAAAGCTATGAGCCAAACTACCGGATCCGCTCCGCTCCGTTCCGCATGACACCTAATCCTTCCTTATGGATTTATTGGTTGCTTTCTTGGCAGATCCATTGCAAAAGAATTGTTCCCACCGAACGGGATCCGAGGGAACGGCCCACCAAGCATGCATGGAAATGCATTCTGGATTCTACCTAGCGGCCCTGGTAGTTGTCGCAATCTAGGAAATTGGTGGTACCTACTGTATACTGCTGGTGCGTAGCCCAAGCAGGTTGGGGCTTCCCAGCCGCTGATGACGAATAGACCAGCTTCCGATATGGTGGCTTCTGGCCAGGACAGAAATCTCGGGATCGTTCCGAGATGATCTGGAAAATCACTCTCGGCGTATTCGCTGTACCTAAAGCGGCTGGCGGCGAGAAGGGCCATGCTCATCATTGCCTGAACGTACGTGGACTTGCAAAGACGGGAGAAAAGAAAGAACGGCAGGCAGAAGCGGAGGCCGCAGCAATCTAGGCACCAACAGAGCTTATCACATTTCGTACCCTCTCCACCCCAAAAGTTGACGACGAAGCTGACACCCTATCTGCGTGACAGTATACCGAAGGATATTATCAAGGGATTTAGATAGTCTTCTCATGAAAGCTCCGGGCAGATCAGGCATGAAGGACGCTACCTCGCTCACCTTCCATCGAAGGGGCGTCTCGYCAGCAAGAACGCAGACGCAGACAAGKAAGCGGCCTTTAGCCTTGGCACTGCTATCGAGGGCGGAGATACGAGGTCAATCTATCTGTTATGCCCAATGATAAGGTATGATCAAGGATGTTACAATAGCCCCGGTGGACCAGTATACTCGAGAGAGACAGCATGTTCAAATGTGAGAGATGAGGTGAAGTCGATGCGATATGTGCATGCATCTCATTTTCGGTCTCGCTTTCGGTCCGAGAGCCGCTCTGAAATGTCGTCATCAATTTAGGAAAGAACGCGAAACGGATCGCGTCGTCTGAGCGTCATTGCATGCATTGGCCTCCATTCTTCATGTTCTTCCATGGCAAACGTACATACAGCATGTAGCTCGCTCTTTTCCTTCAATCATGCCGCCCTTCGTTCCTCGAAAGCGTGAGCACTCGCCAGCTCCGAAATCCTCACCCAAGCTGCCAAGTACAGATAAGCCCGCGCGCAAAGCCAGTCGCTTTAAGCCATCACTCTTTGATTCCGCCGATGCGCCTACAACTACCGTCAAATCCGCCGAGGAGACAAAGAAATACCTAGAAAGTCTGGACGACGATGAAGAGAGTGAAGAGCTCAGCGATGTCGATAGCGACGAATTCGAAGATGTCGTTGCGCCAGCTGCGAAGAGGCAAAAGAAGGCAGCTGAGGGGGAAGATGATGAAGACGAGGATGATGTGATGGACTGGGAAGACGCCATCTCTGCAGGGCCATCGAATGTTGAACAAGTCGAGCCCGAGATTGGTGATATTGACATATCCATGAAGGACGACGGCACAGGCTACATTGAGCCCTTGGTTTCTTTGGCCACGGGCAAGAAAGCGCCTTCGAAACGGGAACGACAGATTCGCATGTTGACGCACTGTCTACACGTGCAAACGCTCCTCTGGCACAATACAGTCCGTAATTCCTGGCTCAACGATAAAGAGGTGCAGAAGACGCTGGTCGACAATCTCTCAGAGGGCGTCAAGCGAGAGGTCAAACGGTGGCGGGAGAGCATGGGAATGTTGAGCGCAGAAGAGCTAGAAGCCAAGAAGCGGGAGGCGGCGAGAAAGAACACCAAGGGGAAGAAGAAGGGCAAGGGTAGAGAGCGAGACTGGGGAAGTGAAGCCACGCATGCTGAGCCGGGCGTACCAAATTTGAGTCAAGGAGATCCGCTACTGCGACTCTTGAAGGTCTTGACGGCCTACTGGCGGAAGAAGTTCACAGTCACTGCGCCGGGGCTTCGGAAGAAGGGATACATGCCATTGAGGAGGCTCCGAGACGATATTCGTGACTGGGAGAAGAATCACGACGATTTTGAGGAGTTTGGCGAAAGGATTGAGAGTCGAGAAGCTTTCCGTGCGCTCGCCAAGAAGTGTGAGGGAAGCAGAGATGTCGGAGCGCAGCTGTTCGTCGCTCTGCTGAGAGGTCTAGGTCTCGAAACCCGGATGGTGGCCAACCTCCAGCCTATAGGACTCGGAACAAGCAAGGGGGAGGAGGCTGATCCGAAGTGCACGAAGAAGGAGAAGAAGGCTGACACAAAAGCCGAAGACAAGGCTGATGCCGATGAGGCGAGGGCAGAGCTGAAGAAGAGTGCTCAAGTAAAAGGTCGGAAGCCAGCGAGAAAGAATGCCACACGAGGCAGCAACGCAAAGCCCATTAATCTCGACGATTCCAATGCCGAAAGTGACCTGAGCGATCCTCCCTCTGACGTAGATGAGAAGAAAGTAAAGGCCAAGTCGAACACGAACAAGTCTACTTCAAGACCGGTGCGGGCGAACAAGAYAAATCTCAGCACTCCCAACGACTCGGACAGCTCTCCATCGCCTTCTGATGTCGGAGTCAACATCTCTGACGATGATGACCTTTCAGTCATAGACATCACACCTGCAAACCCTAAGAAGTCCGGCAAGAAGTATGATCGCGACCTGGCATTCCCAACCTACTGGACTGAAGTCCTCTCATCCGTCTCAAATAAGTACATCCCGGTCGATCCAATCGTTCTCAGTACCATCGCATCCAATGATGATCTACTTCAGACCTTCGAACCAAGAGGGAAGAAAGCCGACAAAGCCAAGCAAGTCATTGCCTACACCATCGCCTTTTCTTCCGACGGGAGCGCGAAAGACGTCACGGTCCGCTACTTGAAGAAGCATCAGATGCCTGGCAAAACCAAGGGCCAGAGAATGTACGCCGAAAAAGTCCCCGTCTACAACAAGCGTGGCAAAGTCAAAAAGTACGAAGACTATGATTGGTTCCGAACTGTAATGTCCATGTACGATCGTCCGGAAGCAAAGCGCACAGCATCCGACGATTTGGAGGAACAAACGGATCTGAAAGTCTTCAAGCCGGTCAAAGAAGCGAAGGAGGTGGACAAGGAGAGCTTGGCATGGTACAAACAGTCTGCGGAGTTTGTACTTGAACTCCACCTCCGCCGCGAAGAGGCACTAGTCCCTGGAGCCGAAGTCGTCAAGACTTTCGCGGCCGGCAAGGGTGACAAAGCAAAGACGCATGATGTCTACCGCCGCGATGATGTGGTTACTTGCAAGACCGTGGAGTCATGGCATAAAGACGGACGCGCTGTCAAGATCGGCGAACAGCCGATCAAGTACGTCCCGACTCGCGCGGTGACACTCATCCGCAAGCGAGAAATCGAATCGTCGTTGAGAGAGACGGGACAGAAAGCTATGCAAGGCTTGTACTCCAAATCGCAGACTGAGTGGATCATCCCTGATCCGATCGGACCTGATGGAAAGATTCCGAAGAACGCCTACGGAAACATGGATGTCTACGTCCCCACCATGGTTCCTAAAGGAGCTGTACACCTTCCATTGAAAGGCAGCGCGAAGCTTTGCAGAAAGCTGGGAGTCGACTACGCGGAAGCTTGTACGGGATTCGAGTTTGGAAAGCAAAGGGCTGTTCCAGTGCTTACAGGCGTTGTGGTGGCAGACGAGCATGAAGATCTTGTGCGTGATGCATGGAAGACTGAGCAGGTGGAAATCAAGAGAAAGGAAGACACAAAACGTACAGCAGTGGCTTTGGGTGTCTGGAGGAAGTTTCTGATGGGGTTGAGGATTGTGGAGAGGATGAGAGTGGAGTATCAAGATGGCGGTGGAGAAGAAAGCAACCCATTCGTGAGAAGGGCGAAGAAGGATGCCAGTGTTGCTGCAGGCGACTTTGAAGAGAGTGGTGCCGGCGGATTCTTCAAGCCTGGTCATGAAGAGGAGGAGGTTCCGCAGCATCGAAAGAAGGATCTAGCTGTGGATGATGATGGTGGTGGAGGTGGGTTTCTCGTCGAAAGCGAAGATGACACCGGTGATGTCGATATGGATGCCAGCGGTGGGTTTCTCGTCGAAGACACTGCAGACAACTTCGCACGACCTTCCATATCAACCACGACGCCGATATCACTGCAAGACATGCACAAGGCTGTGTCTGACATTGAAGAGAATCTGAGTGAACCAGAGGAAGAGGAAGATGAACTGCCGCCTCCCGCGAAGAAAGCAAAGAAAGCCGCACCCATCAAACCGAAGCCCCGCGCGCGAGCTGCGCCAAAGCCGAAGTCAAATCCCTCAAGACAGCCCGCCAGAAAGCGCGCTGTCACTCCGCCCGAGGACAATGAGGAAGAGGACTCCTCCCTCTCCGACGCACTCTCTGAAGAAGGTTCCTCTCCACCAGCTGCAAAGTCCCACAAGTCCCCGCAAGTCGTCGTCAGGAAGCATCAACCTGTGAATGGAGGACGAAGGAGCAGCACCCGGACTGCTGTGAAGAGTACGCCGGTTAAAAGCCAGTACTTCATGCACGGATCCGATGACGATAATGATGAAGAGGAAGAGGAGGAAGAAAGTGATGAAGAAGAAGAGGAAGTCGTGAAGCCCCGAGGGACTACTGCGCGGACTAGGAGAGGGAGATGATAGTGTCGTGTTGCGTAGAACGTGGCATCTCTGCGATGGAGAGGTGATGATGTCGCGAAATTCTACAAAAGGAAGACTTTGCAGCTTTCTACGCGGAGAAGAAGATACCCAATTATATACACTAATTTACAATTCATCCCGCTCTCATGCCACAAGGGCCAGCAGCAAATTGAAAGCGACATGCCACTGATTTCACAAGCGATACATCTCAATGAGATCTTCTCTTCATTGGCGACCTTCGGGATGTCCTAGGCGTCTCGTTTTGCCACGTCGTCAGGTTTATGCTGTGCTTGTGCTCACTGCTGTGTTCTCAAAATCCAGTATATGTAGTGGATGCCTCGCCGGGCAACGATCTGTAATACTCCAAGGAAAGTATACTGGGGTTCATTGAACTACTATATTCTGACTCATTCACTTCCAATTTTATTCAAGCTGATGAGCATATATCTTCCTCCCTACTTTCCCACTTCATCAACTTTAACCGGCTCCAACACACCAGCACGCCAAACCCTCTCCGTCTCCAATTCCAGCTTCAGCGGCGCAAGTTCACGAATCTGATCGAAATGACAACTTCCCCATCTCAAATACGCAGCAAAAGTACCCTCTTCAATATCCGCCTGCTCATACTCTTTCTTATTCCAATACGTAGCCAACCACCATTCTTCCGTCCCCGGAGATCCCGTCGACAATTTCAAAACAGAGGAATTACTGAGAATTTCATGCACCAAAGTTTCCGCTTCATACCAATCTGCATCTTGGACACAATCCGGTCCACTGCGTTTTTTGGAGAAGAGTTCCCATTGTCGCTTCCCATTCCAGAGGGTTGTTAATTGATGTCGCCACATTTCTTGCGGCATGGCGATTCCGAAGATTTTGGTGGCCCAGTATTCTGGGCCGTTGAATCCGTCGTTGGGATCTATTAGGTGTCGGATTCGCTCGATGCAGAAAGTTTGGGAGAGATAGTCTGTTATGGGACCCATGTCTGGGAAGCTCACTGGGATATCCTATAGATAATTTGAGTATGGACTCCGGGGAAGAGGAGGAGGTTGGCGACTTTACCTTGTTAGGGGTATGCAGCGTTCCCATATGTCGTAGTAAAGGATGCAAGTGAAAGCCATCCTGATTCGTCGCTCCGTCCTCCCACAACGTTCGATATACCTGGTAAACGCGCTGCAGAAAAGGATTCTGGGCTCTAGTTGCAAAGAACCCATTCGCCATGGTCAAATCATTATTTTCGTAGCCTGCAAGTAGGAATCCTGCCAGTTCATATGGGGAATTGGGATCTTCAATCTTCTTCCAGCAGATATCGTCCAAGTGGCGGAGAAGAATCATTCCGGCGTCTAGCCAAACACCACCGTATTCCAGGAGAAGCGGTAGTCGGACAAGATCTCCTAACTATCAGTCAGCACACCATTCCGCCAGTTCCTTACATATCATTCAAAAGGCAGACAAACCTTGAAATTGTCCCGCCTTTTCACTATCCATCCTCCCCTCTCTAAACACAGCAGGAAGATACTTCTCCGCATCAATATAATTATAAACATGCGTCTCAGACCCCGGAACAAGATCCGTGAAATGTACAGTCCACTCCGATCCCATGCGTCTCACAGAAGCAATGACTCCACGCTGCACCCAAGGTTTCATGGATTTCCAGCCTGTATTCCAGAAGTACCAGACATTCTTTTCCGAAGTGACGGGATGTTTCTTTTGAAGATATTCGATAATTTCTTCGTCGGTTCGGGAGTCTACGCGCTCTTGGGGAATATATCGAAGTCCTTGTGGTGCGGTATCTGGCTTGCCTGAAGTTGCGTTGTCTGCTACGATGGCTTCGGCTTGGTTGGATTCCGCGTTGACGGGTTTGGGGAAGTTATCGGCCATGATGAGGGGATGGATTTTAGAGGTCTGGGATTTCCTCCGGGTTGCTCTTTGTAAATAACGTCGATCCCATCGTTGCAAAACTTGGAATTCAGCCGCACCTTAATAAAGCCAACAGTATCGCCATACTCATTATGGCTATCCCGAAGCTCCTAACCTAAACAAGTAACTTCGGGTCTAGCTGGGCCGCATCCTTCGCGGGATGTATCATGGAGAGAGGAAGGAAGCCAATCAGAGATTGAGGGGTTGCTGAATGTCTCGGGAGGTTTATTGAAGCGTGTGCCGCCGCGGTTAGTCGCCGTGGGGTCCAAGTTTGAGGAGCTTGTTACGTGCCGATCTTTCAGCTGAGCCCCGTTTTTCATACTGTAGACGCAGCACACCATCAATGTCAGGCGTCCCGGTTGTAGGCCGAGATACGGCGTTTCGAAGACTTCGCTTGTGGACGGTACTGGATGACGCCTTAGCAACAGCTGGGCCGGTGGCGGTGTTAGCTTTAGTAGTCTTCTTTACGGCTGGACTGCTTTCTTGTGATTGCTGCGCTATGTTGGAAAATTGGATAATGATGCTCGGAGTAAGCGTGATCGTCCGAGTGCGGGACAGTAGGGATGACCTAAGCTAGGCATAAGGGTTAGGGTTGGGGTAGTGGATTTCGCCAACATAGCGGCAAGTGTCTTCCTTTGTCGAGGAATCACCGGAGGATTTGATCCGGCAGGCCTATTTATTAGGCTTTGATGAACTTCCTAAGGTACAAGTCGTTCGATGCGTCGTCTTTCGAGCAAGATACGCATCTCCTGATGCAATCACTAACAAGTTACTCATGGCCACTTCTKGATGTAGCCACTGGGCTTAACAAATATCGTCTCATCCTCAATTTTGCTGCCAAAGCATGTCGTTAACGATCATGCGGTGGATGCCGACCCAGAACCAATCAATCATTTGAACGCCGACAATAAGCYGCCCTACGACCACACGTGCAGCTGTACAAGTAGGTAACCTCTTGCGACTTGACATCTAGCATATGCGTTCACTCTCCGTCTGGCAAGTTAATCGATGACAGTGACGTGGCATGACGACGGCGGAAGTCGTCTTACTGTATTACCGAGAGTTCCACAATCGAGCCTAGCGGCGAAGATCGGAGCTAGCGCGGTTGCACAAGTGAATGATTCTGAGAACATCGAAGTAGGTATCGCTCACGTATCCTGTAGTGGAAAGATGAATGTTTGATGCATGGTAGTCATGTTGTCTTAGAGTAATCCGGAGTAGCAAGTTGCCCACGAATAATAGAGAGAGATCTCAGTGATCGCGAGTGTTGAACTCGAAGAGATCTTCCAGAGCTGCCCAAGATTTCACGGAAAACTGGTATCCACTGTGGCTAGAACGATTAACTGCATGAAATACTTGAGTTGGACTTCTAGTCCCCGAGTAGCTACTTGACTCCTTCATCCTAGCGACAGCGAAATGGGCGTGGCTTGAAGGTCCGCGTCGTCTCTCGCAGCGTCTACACCAGCAGCTCAACCCTCCTCTTCGATGAAACCTTTGATATCCAAAGAAACCTGGCTTCGATGAGGGGACCGTATGCAGATGTTAATGCTTCGGGTCAACCCATAATCGAAATGAAAACTGGCAAAAGATCGGCTGGTCTGTACAAGAGCTTCATGCGAGGCATAGAACAGTGGGTATCCATTGAAATCCCTTGAACTTGGACACCACTTCAAAGGCGTGTGTGGTGATACCCGCAACGATGCTCGAGGACGTGCAATCGCTCGGTACCAACGTGCGAGTTTGGGGTATCAACAAAGTGGGAGACTTTTTCCTGCTTCTCATATAACAATCGTCTTTCCGTGAGCGAAGCTCCCTGTGGAATTCAATCTCATTAACCGACGACCATACTTCATCATGGCAGATTTCGCCAAGCCTCATTCTCCCCGACGCAACGAAGAAGATAGCGACGTCACCCCTCATCGTCTACCACTAGCACGACGACTACCAGATCATGTGCGCAATCACTTTGTCGCAATGCAAGTCGATCTATCGTCTACCGCCGCTTACGCACCACACCACGTCTGACGAAGTTATAGATGTGGCGAGTTCGTTGGAACTGTCCTGTTCTTGTTCTTCGCTCTAGGCGGTACGCAGGTTGTCAACAACCTGCCAATAACTTCCGACATCAACGGTAAAGCGCAGGCTCTTCARTATATTGCTCTGTGTTTCGGATTCTCGCTTGCCGTCAATGCTTGGTAAGTTGTTCGAAAATGACTTCGCGTCTTCCTATACTGACAATCAAGCCAGGGTATTCTTCCGTATCAGTGGAGGACTTTTTAATCCGGCAGTGACATTTGGACTCTGCCTGATCGGTGCCCTACCATGGGTTCGAGGTGCCCTTCTATTCGTTTCACAGGTCCTAGGGGGAATGACAGCTGCTGGACTCATCTCTTGCATGCTTCCGGGTCCACTTTCTGTAGAAACGACCCTAGGTGCCGGGACCACAGTAGCCCAGGGAGTATTCCTTGAGATGATCCTCACCGCCGAATTGGCAAGTTCCTCGAGCTCGCTCCCCAGATATATTTTTGGCTTACTTTCAATATCCAGGTCTTCACTATCATGCTGCTGGCAGTAGAGAAGCATAGGGCGACGTTCATCGCACCAGTGAGTCGACTTGAGGAGGGACGACTTCAAAGTCTTTGACTAACCCGTGATCAAACAGATTGGTATAGGCCTAGCCCTGTTCATCTCTGAACTCGTCGGTGTCCTCTTCACAGGAGGGTCGTTAAAGTAGGAATGATACGCTCCATCGATCGGAGGATTTAGTTGACCATATCCACAGTCCAGCTAGGTCCTTCGGGCCAGCAGTCGTCAACAGAAGCTTCCCAAGCTATCACTGGAGTAAGCGTCATACCCAACATGCTGAATGCTGCGTCTTACCAACCAAATAGTCTACTGGATCGGACCTCTGTTGGGTTCTGCTCTGGCGGCCGGCTTYTACAAGTTCATCAAAGCTTTGGAGTATGAGACTGCAAACCCAGGTAAGCCCAGCTGCTATAGAGAAATAAGATGGGCATCTCGCTGATGCGATGACCAGGCCAAGACGCTGCCGGGCCACACGATGAGCATCGTCACCGCTTCAGAGGCCGCTTCAGCAAATCAGGCCCCGCTGGACAGCCACATGGTGAAAGCTCGGCTTCAGGAAACCGCAGGGAAGAGGCAATTTCGCCCGTCTGAAATGCTGGTAGAAATAATATCGGTGATCGAATTGTATGTTGTCGGAGAAGTAATTAATAATGCGATGATGCGTCGTCTCGTGCTCATCGGCAATATGTTGTAGCCGATACTCGCTATAATGACCTCGCAGCTACATTGCTGTAAATGTTTCAAGCTTTTATTTCTTCCTCGGAAATCGGTACCTCAAGCCTCTTGTGTTTTCTCGCAGTAATGAAATCGTGAAGGAGGAACGACAACGCAATCGCTAAAGCCAATCCAGCGAGCCCAGTTCCAAGCCAGAAAGCTCCTCGAAACCCTTTGAGCACTTCGGTTGGATTATCGCCGGAGCTGACATTCCTCTCCACAGTTCCAGCCATTCCTGGAGAATGTTAGCTTTCCGTGAGTATTAGACGTGCTTCTTCATTCACGAACCTAGACCAAGACTTATCGAATAATTGACCAGCGTGTTGACGATACTAGCAGCGGCACCCTGATGCTCTTGAGGAAACCTGTTCGCGAGGATGATAGTGCAAGCTGGGAAGGCGGCGTCCTATATTCATCACGTCAGCACCGTCTAGAAGTTTTCGTATGTTGATGTACTCACTATTCCCCACGGCTCAATAAGCATAGAGACRAAGGTGATCGCCCAGTAAGTCTGCTCGACAGGAGCAATGGCAAGCAACAACGTCGCGACAACGAATGCCAACATGGCATACGATAGAACGAAGCTTGCACTCGTCCTGTGCAGGGCATATCCTGCAACCAATGCAGCGATAGTGCCCGAAATGAGAATTGGAGTGAATTGAGCCGTCACGGCCAAAGGTGTGTAGCCACGCAGTTGAGTGGAGAAAACGAAGTAATAAAAGTCCCAGATTCCTGCAGGTCATTGTGTCAGCGCATACTACTCCAAGATAAATCTCATGATATGCTCACCAAAGCTCATGAAGCCACAAACGATCACGACGAGGGTCAGAGTCGCTTCTGTGTCAAAGTACTTGGTAGGTATCAAAGGATACTCTGCGCGCCCTTCCCACCAGACAAACGCCGACAGAAGCACTACCCCAAACGCCAGTGTGATGCCGTTGTAAGCAGCAGCCCATCCCACGACATAGGCCTGATTCCAAGCGAAGTTGAACAGCACCAATCCGGGAACAGCAATAAGACCACCTACAGCATCAAGCCTGGCAAGCATATGGTCCGTTGGTCGTACCATCGTCGACTTAGGAAGCGCGTATGCTGAAAGTACTCCAAGCACCATACACATCAAGCCGATTGTGTAGAAAGCCCATGACCAGTTGCTAGTAAGCTGTCCAAACAAGGCTCCGAGGAGACACCCTCCAACAAATCCTGCGGGTGCCAGAGTTCCTACGTTGATGTCAGTCTGCGTACCATGAAGTGTTGAGTCATCTTACCAAATAGTCCAAATACTATATTCTTCTTTAAGCTTWCCTCCGGGTACTGTCGTCCCAGTATCGCAATTGCATTAGGGATGAGCATGGCCGGTCCAATACCTTGCATACCCCTGCAAAAATCGAAAAATATGACCTGTCCTGAATACCTAAAACCCGCTCACGTTAGCTGCCGTTCAACTCACTCGTCGCATCTCAGTCTACATACACACTAAGACCAGTGACAATACTCCACACAGAAAACCACAGCCAGCCAATCAAGACGAGGGTCCTATGGCCATATAAATCTCCAATCCTGCCAAAAGGGAGTACGAAAGTGCCAACAGTGAGCGCATATGAAGCAGCGAACCAACTCTGCTGCGCACTGTCACCCTCAACACCGAAACTCTCTGCAATGGGCCGCAGCCCAGCAATCACTATGCCTAAGCATGCTTCTTGCACCGCTTGTGTCGTGCTCAACGTGACAATCAGCAGAATTTCCTGGGCCCTGGAAATCTCAACTTTTTCGTCCGCAAGTGATGGACGCGAGTCATCGCCGGGAGGCTTGGCCGCGACGTCGGATTGAGGCATGGGGAACGACGAGTTAAGGGGATTTTCGCCTCAAGAACAAACCAAGGACATAATGTAGACTTGTGTCTTGATGTTTGGCGGTGATGATGTGGCGGCCAAGCAATTCAAAAAATGCACCATTCTGGACAACGAACACCGAGGCGCTGTTGTGTGCATTCTTCAATAGGCAATTATGACGCCGATTTCCATTACTCCGGCTTGAGTTGTRTTAGTATCAACTCTCACTCGATGATTCCCAAACCTTATAGCGTCGATCATGGAGAATTCTTCTTTCCAGCATCCGTTCCCCCTCTTACTGCGGAGAAGGCAGACAATGCAATGGAGCGACTGGATCATCTCTCAACAGTCACCTTGCGGAGCATGAAGTGACTTTGAATATGTCTCGTGGTAGCGGTCTCCATAAACACTCAAGGCCGCGAGAAGGCAGCTTGAAGATCGGCCGTTTCGTGACCTCGGGCCATGGGAGGAGGAGAAAAGCGAATTTTCATGATTTGATCGTGCTGTCGAGGGAAATTATACTCACTGAAAATCATCCCCGGCACATCTAACGATCCATCGACATCGTTCGCGTGCGAAATTCAGTTATTCCAACTTCCCCTCACTTTCTCACATACTCGTTCAGGCGTGCAAGCCAACAGCCGATCGTGGCGCCACAAACAGCGCCATTGCTATCGCGATGGAAGCACACCGTCCAGTCGCCAGGAGGTTGAGCATCCAGGCCTCGTGGGCAGGCCAGCAGCCAAACGTCCTCCGCAACATACCGCATCAGATGTGCCGGGCCATTTCGGCCATCGGCAAGGTATCCACTGAAAAAGCCATACAACACAGTTCCCTCTCCGGTACAACGGAAGCTACTCTCGGAATCTGAGCAGTGATACTCACCCAGATAGTCCTTTGTGAATGATAAATCCTCCGTCTCCGGATCAGGACGCTTCGCAAGACGCTTGGCGCGAAGCACTCGATTGTCGGTAATCCGGTTAATGTGCAGAACATCGCCATCGATGGAAGCCTCCATAGCACGCGACGTAGCAGTCTTGATTCCAGTGAGTTTCACCGGAGCCCTTGCCCGGTCGTAGCTGATGCTGATTTCGCCATCTTTACTCCCGGCTTCCACCCTCACCAACAGCTTCGTGTCCTCGTCCAAGAAGCTGCCCATCCACTCCGGCGAAGGGCTCACCGATGCGGTGGTTGGCTCTTGCAGTTGCAATGCACCTTTCAGAATCAAGTCGGCTGCACCACTGGGGTCCGTCTCGTGATTGAGCATCACTACCACGGAGACTTCTTCAGACGGTGCGTGAACACGCATGAGACGGAATCCCCTCAGTGCTCCACCATGTCCAAGCCATTTCGTGCCCACAGTCTCTCCATGAGCGAGTCCGAATCCATACCTGGCGGGAGTCCCATCTTTGAAACTTTGTGGTTCTGCGATCGTCCTGTAAATGCTCTTTGGGTCACTCCAGCTGCGGTGGAGCCACTTCTCGTACGCAATCATGTCTTCGAGCGAACCCACAACCCCTGCATCTCCAGACCATTCCATTCGGTTGATTGCTGCAAAATAGCCAGTCTGTTCTGTACATTCGTATCCAACAATAGGGAGAGGAAGTGCAGCATTGTTGGGGCACAAAGAAGCCGTCTCCATACCTGCTGGAATGAAGACGCGTTGACTCAGAAGCTGACCCAGCGATTGACCGGCCACGTTTTCGATTATTCTCGCCAGGATGTGGAAGTTGACATTGGAATAGGAGTACTCAGTGCCTGGCTCAAAGTGGAATGATCGAGTCCGGTTCAGTGCAGCAGTGGCATCGTCAGTAGCACTGAATATGCCATCTGGTTTGCTGCCCCAGAGAACTGTCTCTGCCCAGTAATCTCGAATGCCTGAGGACACTAAACGAAGAAGTCAGCTTTGTGCTGTTGATGTTGGAAGGGGACAGGACAAACTATTGCAAAGTTGCTGTATCGTGACCTTGCCAGCAAGCTGTGGCAGTCGCGTCTCCAGCTCTGTCTGCAACTGCGCTGTGACATCCCCACCAGCCTTTGCTGCGGGCGTTGGATCTCGAATCAAGTCGACCATGACAAGGCACACCATCTGCTTCGATATGCTGCAGATTGGGATCTGAGTGTTTGTGCGCATTGGAATGGCACGATCCATATCGGCATAGCCCCAGACATGGTGAGTAGCGACCTCTCCCTTCTGTACGATTGCTATCGCACCGCCAGGTCCACGGATCTTGTTTTGAGCATTCCTCAGCACCTGGTCCAAGTTGGCTGACATTGTGTGGGTGAGTCTCTGCTGTGACGAGAATTTCAATGTCTGCAGACTTGCAAGGCCGAATGATCTAGCTATCAGTAGGCTCACAGATCGCATGTATCAACGATGATTAGGTGGAAGGAGTCACATTGATGGTGGAAGAAGTGGAACACGCTCACGTAATCACCCGCGTCGCCTATCGCCGGCTGAAAGTTCATCCTGGATGATATGTCGTGATAGCAAATGAAGAGTTAGGCAGGCAAACCTGGGAAACGAAGTTATGATGACACTGGTGTATCTACACGTGTCTTTCACTTGCGAAAGAGCTGCTTTACTCTCATATACTAGAAGAGAACCACCTGTTTACCGAATGATTGTGTACCGCAAGCTGTTGTAACGGCAAAGTTTGCTTTTCATACGTATGCTTCCACTAATACATCATATATCATCACTCAACGATACCATCTAGAGCCACCAAGTGAAAGACTGCTTGCACTCGAAGAAATCGGGGCCGGAGTGGCCACCGTGGTAGTCGGCGGCGTCACACCCGATGTGGTCGTTGTAAAGCGAGCAGTAAGTTCTGTTGATTCGTTAGCATTGCCCTGGTACTTCTTCATTATTCTGACGCGTTCACTCACCCGTGTGGCTTGCCGTTCTTGTGTAAATAGTAAGCGTTGAACATCTGGGGAACTTGCAACGCGTTGGCGGCAATGTTGATGGCCTTCTGCTCAAGCGCGTACTTGCTGCAGATGAGGGCGTTGAAAGGGCCAGGGAAAAACTTGGCTCCGAGCCAGTGCTTGGGCGAGTTGATGGCGTTGCCGTAGCAGTTGGTGTCCTTTGGCGGTGGGGTTTGGCACTTTGGTGGAGTCTCTGGAACGGTGACATTGGTCTTGTCGTATCCGTCGGATGCGGTGATGACGACCTGGAACTGCTCCTTTGTGTAGCCAGTGTTGGTTGCGGAGGTCTTGTCAATGGAGCTTCCCCAGAGAGTGCACTTGAAGCTGGTCTGCGAGGGAGGGTTGGGGCAGCTCTGTCCCCAGACGGTTGGGTAGCCAGGGTCGTAGGTGGAATCGTTGTTGGTAGGGTTCAGCGAGGGATCACGCTCGGCGTAGATGTTGAACGCCGTGCAAAGATCGGTGCAGTCGCAGTGAGCGGCGCACTCGTTCACATCGTAAGTCTTGAGAGTGTAAAGACCAAGGTAAGATTGGGCAGAAGTGGCGCCGTTAAGGTCCTTGAAGACCTGGGTGTATTGCTTGTTGTTTGTGGAAGGGATGACAGTGGGCGCAGCCTGAGCAGACGAGTGTAACTTGCTGTACGCCTGATGTGAAGAATCAAAAGTCAGCAATCTTGAACTCAAGCATGTTGATCGTCAAGATGTAGATGGCTTACCAAGAAAGCAGCAGGAGTGTCAGGCTCGGGAACAGGGCCGTAACCGTCTGGCTGTGGTGCGCAAGGGTCGAGGGGGTTGAGGAAACCGCAGTATGTGCCGGCCTCGGGAGTGGTTGGACATGGCTGGTTAGCCGTAGTGGTGGAAGTAGCAGCAAGGGCTGGATCAGTGGTATATCCGGTGGCCAGAGCGGCGTAGTAAGGAGTGTAGGCGCTGAATGAGCAAGATGTCACCGCAGGCGCCGGTGCCTGGGTGGGAGTAGTTGGCTTGGGTGGTGATGGAGGGCCGGTAGGCTTTGGAGGCTGAGGCTTGGGTGCGGGCTTGGTGGGCGCGGAGCATTTGTTGGGGCTCACGAAGCACCAAGGGTCATAAATCGGGCAACATGGGTTGAAAGTGCGCTTAAAGAGCTCAGCAGCGTCCTCACGCTTGGCGAGACCAGTCTTGGACGCAGCAACAGGAGCCGTTGTAGCGGCAGTAACGGCGAAGCTGGTGTAAAGAGTCGCGGTCTGCTCGCCGCCTCCGTCGGCATCAATGCCAGATGGGCCGCTGGCTACGGTTGGAGCAGCAGCAATGGCTGCGAAATCAAGTTGTTGGGGTGCAGGGGATGCGTAAGCCACCGCTGCAAGGGCAACGTTGGCAAGAAGGACCTTGTTGATGGCCATTTTGCTTGAGAAGAATGAAATGTATGGGCGAGAAGGAAAAGTGACGAGGGTGATGAGGGATGAAAGACGTTGGATCAGCGGGCTTGTCATACCTTATATTCTTCCTCGAGTCTTTCTAGAATAGCAAGCCTGATGCCTTATGCTTTGCATAGCTCCATTGTACAGCAAAAGGCTCCACTTTCTTAACGAAGGTGGAGATGACTAGCGACTCACGGCTGGACTTCCGTCCATCGATGCAAGAGCGCATGCAACGTAGCTTGAATCGTAGATGGTCAAGACCCAACGTCCTGGCTTCCGGTATCTTGAGGCGAGCGGCAAAGGCTTGCCAGAGGCAGGTTAACTTCTAGGCAGACGGGTTCTCGGCTCGTTGATGATCGAACTAGGACGGTGGGGCTATAACTGGAGTCGAGGCTAGCCGACTCAGCACCGCTGAAGTGGCTCCGTGTCGATGGCAATCTGTGCTCCGTGTGGACGTTGACAACACCACGTGAAGCTACGAAGTGTGGCTAGAGCCGCCGGCGTTTCGCGAYCTCATCGAGCATCTCCGCTCGGCATTTCAGCAGAGCTTGGCATGCTAAAGAGGTGGCCCGCTTAGAAATGGAGGGAAAGTGGTGCTGTGAAACATGATCATCAAGCGTGATCATCATACAACGTAAGTTATGAATCCACGTCACCAGAGGTGACAGATTCCTTGGAAGGACCCTGTCTCACCTGTTTGCAAAACAAAGATGCGCCATGTGGTGGGTAGCGTGGAGTTTCGTCTGCTGGTTCCTGGTGGATTTACTCGCTAGACTCGCTATCGCCTAGTACATAACCTTTGCAAAAGGGGGTCGTCGGGGTCTACGGACCTGTGGTCTACCACAACTTGTGGCTGTTGGGAGTGGGCCTTTGGCCTTGATGCCGTGTGCCTAAATGCACAACGACATGTCGACCGCATGACGGTCCGAATCGAAGGACAGCACTGAAGTGGGGCAGTGCTGTTCACGGCTGGACCGCGTTGCGGTGGAATAACGCATCATCGACAAGCGACAGTTGCAATCTGGCACGCCGGCACGGTGTCATCAGTCTGGAACGGTGCCATGCAGAAGCCACGTTCAGAACAGGAATCTAAAAACCCCTGGGGCTGTCTTGATGAGGTCCAAAAGGGAAAGCTCACGACTCTCTCTTGGCGATTTTCTTGTCTCGGCATGTTGTCCGAGTCTATGCGAACACGGGCGCTCGTCCAGAGTCAAATTACACTCCAACGGTCGATAGATCGGCATGTCGGACACGAGCCTTGCCATCTGTCATATATCGCATGGCCATGACGATTTGTAAAAGTTGCGTATCCTCGGCCATCAAATAACTCCRGCCTTGACGATTGGCGAGTATGACAGAGCGCGTCAGTGCCTGGACACCTCAGCGAGGATACGACGTGTCGTCCAAGACCGAGTTGCTGGAAGATAGGTCATACCGCAGAGGTGTCCCGCTCTTTTCGATGTCAGTGTAGTCGACAGATAGACAGGAGTACGTCGAAACAAGCGTGACACCCCTGCAGGCTGCTGGATTGACGCTTCCCCGCGGCGAACCCAGCAATATCAATCCTCTCGACCTCTGATTGGTCAAAGTCCTTCTCGAAGAGACCACATCGGAATCATCGAGATGTTCTCGATCCTGTAGCATTCTATCTAATCATAAAACTCTGACGTGCTGGTCTTGATGTTGTTGTTGTTCGATACAACATTTACGAGGAAATCCTATCAGGAGAAAAGATGGGTCTTACGCTCTACAACGTGCATCGTTCGCTGTTTCAGGAGTTGGTGCTAAGCCGTCACAGCGATGGTGAACATACTTGGAGTTGCCGTTTTCCTGGATCGTATGGCGGCACCAGGGTGTAGGATCTTGGTCGCTGCACAGTAGCTTGTCGTCCTCCAGTGTAATCCGCATATCGATCCATTTCGAACACACTCGGATAATTCCCCCGGCAGCCATGTTCTGCCTGTCGTCTCGTTTCTTGGGTCGAGTACTTGCCTCGACACCACTCTTCAATCCACCCTGGTAGAGGAGGCCAATCCTCCTCTCCACAACTGGCAATGAAGAGTTTGTAGCAGAGCAGTCATGTACTGTCCCAATACCTCCGCGTTGCCAACCTGCTGCCAAACCGGCGGCCGACGCTTCCTGGGCGGTTTGGCAACGGGCATCAGCGGGGGTCGATTCCACATCCCTCTAAAGCCGACAGATATGGAGCCTGTCACGTTGCTCTAACGGGAGGAACTCAGACGCTTACATCGCCTCCACCAATGCCGCAGGTCACGGTCAGTGTAATACTTGTATTGGTCGCAAGGCTAGGCGCACTTTGTGGGAAGCTTTTGGTACCCCGTTGTTGCCGCGAAACGAGAGTCTACCAGAGGCGACGACGAAGAGCAGACCGATTGCGTGCAGCCCACGCGCCTGTCAAAGGATGGAAGCTACTATTGCAAATTAACGAACTTGACCAACCCATTGAGCTCTTTGAAGCGCTGGCCGATTGTCAGGAAGGCTCGTCTTCCTGACAAGAAATGCCGGATCACCTTATCCAGTATGTCATCGAGCCAGAACCGGAGGGTCTGGCCCACACCGTGAGTTGTGATCCATTTTCAGTGCTTTCGGATTTCCTGACACGGTTCTACAGCGAAAATTGATGGCTACCTTACTACAGGTGACCGCGAAGGCGTTTGGACTGTGGATATTCCGTGATTTTCGTGTTAGCTGCCGGAGCAAGTGTCTCGATTTCAAGCGCAGACTCTGTTCCAGAGCTTGTGTGTTCGTTGGTCCGGTATATCGCAGTCGTCGATGTGGTTCTTCATTCGTCGTCCAGAAATGGTATGGTCGCACCGGCGAACTCTGCGACATCTCCATCGCCTTGTTRTCATACGTGACTCATTGCTTGTTGGACGACTCACCCTCGCTTCTCATCTCGCTTCGGTCAAGATGATGTCGTTGCTGATGAATGTCCTCCGCAAGATGTCCGCGTCGTCGGCCTTGACAATTTTGCCCGCCCTACCCGCTTGGGCCGCCAGATGCCGATGACAGCCCGGGTCCACAAGCCGAACATCGGAGAGCTATCCGATGCTTCATAGAGTTCCAGCTGCCATTGCAACGCCGGGCCAAGAATACCTGCCTCGTCTCAATCATTTTCGACTCACCACAACATCTGAATAGCCCGCAGCACCCTTGCCCGGCTAGTCCCAATGTCGGCCCCCTTCGTACGAGCTGTCGGGAGGACGTCCACGTTGAGCTCCTCAGCATGTAGCTCAGCATTCACCAGACAGACTCATATATCACTTGCCCGCCAGGCACTTCCCTCAACACCCCTCACTCCTCGACGAACCTTTACCGACAGCGTCGACAAAATCACCATGAACGCCATCAAGCAGAATTGCCGCAAAGTCAGCATCAAATCCTCCAAATCATTTGTATACCCCAAACATTCCCCACTGACAAGCCCTTCAGGTTATGTGCATAGGCCGCAACTACGCCGATCACGTAACGGAACTCTCCAATCAACGCCCCAAACAACCCTTCTTCTTTCTCAAACCCCCCTCCTCCATCCTCCTCCCCACCGAAGGTCCCATCCTCCGTCCCTCAGGCGTAGATCTCCACTACGAAATCGAACTCGCAATCGTAATGGGCAAGACCGTCCGGGATCTCGACGAGAACGACGAGAGCGCATGGATGGACGCTATAGGTTCATACCTCCTAGCCATTGACATGACAGGTCGCAATGTTCAAGACGAAGCGAAGAAGAAAGGTTTACCGTGGAGTATCGCAAAAGGGTTCGATACGTTCTTACCAGTTTCGGGACCAATTGAGAAGAGTGTGATCAAGAATCCGCATAATGTCGAGTTGTGGTTGAAAGTCAATGGGCAGATGAGGCAGAATGATAATACGGWGTTGATGTTGTTCRGGATTGGGAGACAATTGGCGGATATTTCGAAAGTCATGACGTTGGAGAAGGGAGACATTGTGTTGACGGGTACGCCGAAGGGTGTTGGATCGGTAGTGACCGGAGATGTACTAGAAGCTGGTTTGAAGGTTGATGGGAAGGAGGTGGAGAAGGCGAGGATGCGGGTTGAGGTGGCAGATCGGGGTGGAAAGTATGAGTTCGCTGAGACATAGTGAGAGACATGATCTAGAGCATTGAGAAGTTTCAGGGCGGGTTCCTTGATGAATACCTGATCAATGATGATCTCCAGCCCGACGGATAATCTTTCAAAGCAAGCTCCCCACACGGGCCGAGGGCGTGATACAGGGCATACCACTCCAGCATGCTCATCCAAGTTTCCACTGCCACAACCACCCTGAATCCTCCTCAAATCGGAATCGTCTCACAATGGCTTCCTTCTCCGTAAAATCCATCGACCACGTCGTCCTGACATGCAAGTCCATTCCCGCCACAATCGACTTCTACACCAAGCATTTGGGAATGAAGCACGAGAGCTTCACTTCGAAAGGATTGGAGCGGTATGCTCATCATGACATGTTGCCAGCATGCTAAAAGGTGCATGCTAATGGCTCTGTAGACACGCTCTCACCTTCGGTAACCAGAAGCTCAATCTCCACCAATCGGTTCGTTGGACGAATTTCTGTGTCGAAGTATTTGCTTGGCTTACAACATGTTCAGGGTGCAGAGTTCGAACCCAAAGCAGGACATGTCCAGCCTGGGAGTGAAGATCTATGTTTCATCACCGATCATCCTATCGAAGATGTCTTGAAGAGCTGGAAGTCTGCTCAGATAGAAGTGAGCTCTTTGGCCATACTGTGTTCAGGATGCTTGGTTGCTGACTTCTTCTAGATCCTAGAAGGCGGTGAGATCGTGGACAGAACGGGCGCAGTAGGCAAGTTACGGAGTGTGTACTGTCGGGATCCGGATTCGAACCTCATTGAGTACAATCGCCCTCGGCATTTCGGCGTTGTAGGATCCATGGCTAACATTACTCCCAGAGTTTCCAATTATGTCTGATCCATTCGCTCGATAGGAGGTGGTAGCTTCTTCAGAATGTACAATCGAGGTTCCATTCTGACCGAGGGCCAATAACCTTTGGTGAACTTCTCCCGAGCGTATAGAGCAATGTTTTGGTAGAGATCATGCAGCTTCTGGCCTKTCCCTCCCAAAATGTCAGGTAGTGGCAGAATGTCATCTTCGACACCGGGTCGCACAGTAACACCTGCAAAACTTGTGACGGTACCTATACGTTCCCAGCTGCCGATGATGCGCTCCGGTTTCTCGGCCAGCACGTAGTCGAATTGCTGCCAGAATACGGGATCAAGAAGAAGGTCTTCATCTTCCGTCTTGTCGTATGTCCAGAGGGGATGTATTTGCTGAAAACGAGAAACGCCTGTTTGACAAGCCAGATTGTCCATGTAGATCCGCGCTGGTGTATCCGCGTCAGTCCCGGCGAGGAAGTGCAGACGCTGCAAAGCTTCGCCACCCGGATAATTGAGGCTTGAAAGGTAAAGCAGCCCACTGCTCACAGCAAAACAGGCAACTGTCGATATCACCAGAGCGATACTGTWCAGTCTATACAGCTGCGTTTTTGCTCGGCGCGTCCAGATCCAGCCAGCTCCACCGGCTGCCACAGCCGTGAAAGCAGGGACAGTGTAAATAATGAAGCGCCACTCCTTGTGTGGCAACAGACTGTATACAGCGATGAACACGATCTGCGGAATCAAAATGTCTCGACTCGCTTGGATGTACATTGCATAAGGGATGCAAACAAGATAGCTGAGAGGATTGAGCAGTAGCCGTGGGAGGGCATTCAGGAAATAGAAATGGAATGGACTCGTTCCCCATTCTGAAGACTTTCCCAGGATGGTATTGTAATAGAACCCCACCCACTCAGGCCAGAGCGGGAATTGCTGCCAGAAGAATGAGTCGACCGAGACTGTTGCTAGTAGACCAATGGCGGCACCGGCCAAGCCTGCTGGAATAACCTCTTTTGTCAAGGAGATGTGACCCTGGAGTAGGAAATAGGCCGTTTCGGCTGCGAGGAGGATTGCGATCTCTGAGCGGAACATGATGCCCGCCACAGTCAGGAGATAGAGAGCCAATTTCCTCCTCTTTGCACTACGTTCCGTCTTCCAGGTTCCAGATTTGACCATGATTAAGTTGCGCAAAGCCATGTTGGTCAAGATGAATGCAAACATGTTTGGCAATGTTCTTGATGCATAGAACATTACGTGAAATTGGCTTGCTTGGAGAAGCACGAACCACCTTCCAGCTGTTCGACCATAAGCATTATCCACAGCAGATTTGACGTGAAGCAAAGCAGCGGCATTGGCTAAACCTAAGATCGCTCGGATCAAAACTTGAGTCTGAGCTGGAGATGACAGCAAGATCGCGAAAGGCTTGGAAACTCCAGCAAGGACGAGAGCGCCAACAAAAGTTCTTGGGACTGAGCCTGGGAACGAAACATGGTCGTATGATGAGTTCAACCTGGCTGTTGAATTTGAGAACGGAACTCCATTCGTAAGGATGTCGTGAGTTGCCTGGATATTGAAGGACTCTTCGACTTTGGTGTATGGCGCACAAAATAGATGCAAGAGGATGATTGAAGGCAATAGGAGGTCGAATGTCAGATCGACTGGAGCCAAACGTCAGCAGAGGTTCTGATGAGGAAGATCAAATGCCATCTAACCCATCGTCTTGCCACCCATCGCAGTTACCCGTTTTCCGATGATCAAACCGCGTTATGTCTTACTTGATCAGTGTGGTTGTAGTGGAAAAGCAGCTTGACATGTGAAAGACGAAGAGGTCCAGAAACAAAGTTCAGAGGTCTTCCCTTCCTTCCAAGATCGACACCTCGCAACAACTACATAGGTATCACATCCACCTCACCAGAAACCAAGATCTCCTCCCTTTACAACCCAATCTACCRCCAAACACAATGGCGACCCTCTTCTTCAGTTTCGGCGGTTTATTCCAGGGTATCCCGCACCCGCACCTCCGTACAATTGCCTCAAGGCCACTAACACCAGCATCTCTCAGTCTCCGTCCTCCTCGTAAACGCAATCGCAATCCTCTCCGAAGATCGCTTCCTCGCACGAATCGGCTGGGGTTCATCCCAGCAATCAGAACCTTCCTTTGGCGGCGGAATGCAAGATGCAAGCGTCAAGTCCAAAATTATAAATCTTATAAATTCAGTGAGGACGCTGATGAGGAGTACGCACACACACATCCTGCAAGAAGACAGCAAGGCTAACGGGTACGACGCAGTACCTCTGATCTTCCTTAATGTTCTGATCATTGTGTGGGCGGTTGCGTTTGGTTGAAAGCGTTCGGAAGAAAAGGACACGATATGACATTCGAGCGGGATGTGAAGAGCCCAGAGCCGCGCCGCGGGAGAGAGCGCAGAGGACAGTGACGAACAGACGCCCACGGGTGGAGGGCTGGACACGATGCGCAAGCGGCGGAGCAAGCATACGTTGGCAGTAAGGAGAGCATCTCAACGACACAACCCGAGCTGTAGCTACGATGAGAGGTCTCACGGGGTGATGCGATTACGCGACCAGAGGTTCGGTATCCCGACCACAAACAAAGTGACTGTCAACGTAGCTTATGTTAAAGCTTATGTAAAGAGGCCATTGGCCGCGATACCACATCAATCGCGCCCAGGAAACATTAGCCACTACTATAATAATAGCCCGGACGAGAGTCCTCGCCGTTTTTCCCATATGCACATGCGCTGTGTCACGCAAAACCATCTTTCGGCATCCGTCCATCCTCAAAGAACAGTGGACTTTTTCCTTCCCAGACTGAAGCGATTCTTCTTTACCTTGCCCTCCTCCTGAGCAGGTGTATTTGTCCTCGAAGGCGGTAGGGGCGGTAAAGCGGTCGCCATATCAGCAGCCTCACCCCTCAACGCGCCGTTAGGCTGTGTTGATAACATCGTTTCCATCCCCGTTGTGCTATGCGACGACAAGTGCCCATTACCCATCCCGTTTCTTTGCGGCACCGGTGGCAGCTTCTCCTTGTCTTTTCCACCTCCCAGGAACTTCGACTTCCCTCGTAGACTGATACTGCCATTGCGGAATCGCGAAAGTCCAAGACCACTGCTTTGTTGCTTGACTGGCTCGCCTCGGACACCAGCCTCCTCAGCAGCGGTAGCTTTGCTTTCTTCCAACACCCTTCTCATTTCCTCGTCTGCTTTGCGGAAGTCTTCCATTCGTTTGGCGTTTGCGGCTCTGCGTTTCTCTTCTCTCTCCTTCTCTGCCACCTTTTCGGCCGCCTTTCGCTCCTTTTCTTCCTGCTTCAACTCCTTTTTCGATTTCGAGACGCCGTTCGGCGAAGTGAACGTCCGCTCGAGCGGCGTTTTAAGTTGTAGTGGTGTAGTCGCAGCGTGCGCAAGCGGGCTCATGTGCTCCATTTCCGGTGCACTGGGGGTTGCCGTGGTGTGAATATGGTGGAGTCCGTTGCCATTCCTCACACCTTGCGACATGACGTCTTTAGCACCATCGGCATCGGTTGTATTCACCGGCRCCGTGTTCTTTGCCATTTTGGCTTGCTTCGCTTCCGCATCCTGTTCCCTCAGCATATTCTCGAGTGTTGTCTCTTGGTAGAACAGCACATAGGCGCACGAAAGCTGCTTGGCATCCTGTACGCCAGGAACGGGCTCACCACCAAAAAAGTGCGTAACGTATTCTTTGCTCACAGGTTCCACCAGCTCATCGTCAAACAGCATCCAGCCGCGTTCAGGTGTTTTGATCACGCTCACGTAATGTCCATGATATGGACCACCTCCTATGTGAACTACCACAGCGTAGAGCTCGTATAGTCGGTCTGGATCTTCGGTGTCCTCCGTCGTGTTGAACATGCGCAGGTAAAAGGGATAAACCACGCGATGGAAGAGCTTCTGCAGCCTCTGCATGTCCTCGGTCCATTTGAAACGTTTGAGATGCAGAGCAAGAATGCGAGGTAAGCGCTTGATCTTCATCCTCTTCTCGGCCTCTTGCAGACCACCGCAGGTGTCGCAATGGAACTTGTTGCGCTCGCACAGCATTTCCTCCTCTGAGAACTTGCGCAAACAAGATGTGACAGACGAATGTGCTTCCAAATCCACAGAAAGATCTAAGAAGGATTCATCCCGTTGGGATGTGGTCTCACAGGTCAAGCAGCGAGTCTCAGAGGTCAGCAGGCCTTCAAAGATATCGTGCACCCAATTCGTGTCCAAGACAGCTGGCGCAGCCGCCTTTGTTCCTTCTGCAAAAGTGACCATATCAGTGGAATCCGGCGGTGCCTCGATTGCTAGCGGCGCTAGAGGATGCTGTTTCGAGAACAGTTCCACGTTGTCCACCACATCATTCAGTAGCAGGTTCAAGAACTCGTGCGCGTCTTGGTGCGCTTGTGATCGGAAGACCTCATTATTGTTCCTTAAGATGTCCAGAAATCTATGTGGAACGGCCACGCCCGATCGTGACTTGTTCCCAATGATCGCTTCAAACAAGTCTCTCAGCGCTGTGAAAAGCGTCTCTTCCATCCAGTATTCAGCCGATCTGGGCGTTTGTAAATCCAACACTGGCCCGTTTGCCAACGCGAGCTTCTTTCGATTATCAGGATGATCTTTGCTATCCTCCGGCCTCTGGCCAGGCGATGCCGGTAGGTTTTGTTTTCGTGCTGGCGAGTTGACGTTCGGATAAGGCGTGAATGGTGTCGTCGGTGGTCGAATAGTAGGACCGCTGGGCTCAACTTGACGAAGTCGATCGAGGACGGCGGGCGATGGGAAGTTTACCACGCGTTCCCGAAAGGGCGCCGAGTAGTATAGACATTGTATTATGGAGTTGCAATAGCTGAGAGGATATGTCAGTGGGTAGTGGGCAGACTAGGCTTCAATTCGCATACCAGGTCGAGCCGTACTGTCAGAGTGTTAGCTGTGCCACATGAACAGCGCTGGTAGAGGGAAGACACCATACATTCTCGAATCCAAAGAATTTATCACTGCCATCGGATCGTATAGGCCCGGGGAAATCCGCCAAGGACTTCTCGAGCGCAGTCGGTACTGGCGCATTCGGGTCTTTCTTCGCGGGCGTTGCGCTTGTTGTGGCTGTCTGCGTCTGTGTATGGCGCCGTCAGCCTCGTAGAGAGCGCAGGGAGTGTCCCGTAACATACCGAGCCCGTTTTGAAGCTCTTGAAGAATGACATGTTCTGAATGTCCAGCCGGCTGCGCGGTGCTGCGCCGCAGCGCTCGTTTGCGGAGACTCAAGGAGTATTGGATCTGGTYCGTCTTATCGAGACTCGACACTGCCACAGACAGAAGCTGTAGACCTCGTTTGAACCATCGGGAGAGTTTGGAGTCGTATCTGTGGCTTGCAGTATGCAGTATGTGCGGAGTTTGTGACGATTCGGCGGGTCTATGTTCCAGCGGTAGACTGTGACGTCGCCAATGGAGACTCTAAGCGAGTTGCTTGTGGACACATGTATCAATCACGAGTGAGTCCGTGAAGGTGCTCAAGGGAAGCGAAGCAAAGCAGAAGATAGGATCGTCGTCGATACAGAGCACGAGGTCGAAGAGGTCATACCGCTGTCACCGAGGCGGAGTAAAGGCCCGTGTCTGCATGGAGAGGTAAGGCCGGGACCGATCTGGGGCGGCGCGGAAGGGCGTCGGTTGAATGTGGCGGTTAAAGAGTGGCAGTCGAATCCTTYGAAGCTGCATGCGACGATGCTTGTGATGGGTGTATGGAGTATTGGCAGGGCGACAAAGGGTCTTCCAAGCTCCCCCAGTCTCAATGTCATCGGATGGTTCTCATGCACATCGATGCCACCAAAAAGCCATGTGGCAAACCACGTGCGAAGCCTAATTTGGGCATCGGTCAAGTCTAAGCGAGGCTCAACCGTGTGTGTGGGCTGTGAAGGCTGTCAAGGCAAACGTGATACAAGTACTTTATCATCTTCTTCCCGGCATGTCATAGCTGTGACGGCATGAGGCGTCGGTACTTTGCCCATATTCATGTTCATGCATCTTCTTCAAGACCTGACTCGTTGCCAGATGCTTGATTGCAGCCAAGACTTCTCATCAGACCGCCCTGCGCAGCAACCAWCGATCTTGCGTCTCATATGTTAATCCTTGGGTATACATCAATACGATCATTACAACACTCCCCAGCTCACATGTAGACCAACAGAAAACATAGGCTCATGTTCTGCTCTCGCGCACTTCTGCCTGCCGTCTCTCTTCCTCCTCCACAAATCTCTCCCAGACAGCTATATTCCCCTTGAAGAAGTCAATGTTTGCACTCGCTAGCCCTCCCAGTGCGTCTCGGAACTCTGCCGCTTTTATTCGTTCGAAGTCTGAGATTTCCTTGACGACCTCCTCATCGAACGCCTCACTCGTCTTCTTTGCATTCTCAACTTCGGTGGTAAGACGACTGATCTGCACCTCCAGCTTTCTCTGTCGCTCCCTGCGTGACTGCTCGTGATCTACACCGCGGACGTCTTCGATCTTCTGTCGGAGAAAGCCAGATRCGCCGACAGATCCATGGCTTGCGAGGGTGTCGCGTTCCTGGGCTGCCTTTGTAAGATAGTCCGTCAAGCCTTCAAAGTCGAGTTGTTTTTGCTCCCTAGTTTTGAGGAGCGACTTGACGGAAGTGATGTATGCTTCCATATCTTTCAGAGAGCCAAGATAATCCTGATCTGTGTGTTCTTTGATTAATTTCCAGCCTTCGCTGGTGCTCTGCACGCTCGCAGCAAACCTGGTCAGCTCGTCTTGAACGCCTGGTTCCAGTGCTGCCAGCTTTTGAAACTGGACAGCAAGATCTGCGTAATCGGATTCGAGATCACCCTCCCTCTTTGCGACTCTGGCGACAGTCTTGCTGACCGTCAAGAGGTCATCGTCTAACTTTCCAGCCCGGTCGTTGACATCCTGAAAGCGCTTGTCCGTCTTGTGCGGTTTTGTAAACGCGTTCAAGAAACTGTCTGTCCAGCTTTCAAGTACCGAGCTATTACCCCCTTCACTACCGCTCATGCCCCGGTTGGGCCGGCTCTTCATTGTCGCATTCCAGTCGCTTGACTCCAGGAATAGTGTGAGAATTGTGGCTCGCCTCAGCACCGGATGTAGTGTTAGACGCTTGAGGAATCTCCCCAGCGAGAAGGATCGCCGTGCAATGAAGTCTGGTCCAAATCTGTCCCCTCGCACGTACATCATGCTGTGTTTGTCTGGGAGCGGCGGCACCGCGCATTGCGGATACTCCTTGGCAAGGGTTCGATAGAGGAATACAAAGTCGGTGAATCGCCGTCGTACGCTGGTGTGTGATGACTGGAACGACTTGAAGTCTGTATCGGCCGTGACGAGGTAGGAAACATATGCATTTTGGGTGCCCTGACCCTCCTTCTGAGGACTACTCACAGTACATTCAAGTCGTCCATGTGCACCTGGTCCCGCCAGATCCTGCACTGTCGCATCGTGGCCAGCCTGTTCCCAATCTGGGTTGTTGTGGTCGTTACTGCTGCTGGCCTCTGCGTGGTCCATGTTGTGGAAGCCTTGCCAGTCTCCCTCCGCAATGTCGCACTCTTCAATTACCTCAAAGTCCGAATCGGAGTCGTAAGCTTCGGAGTCAATGGTGAGCGCTATTGACGACTGTGGTGAGGACGGTCCGCTGGTGGAGGAGGCTGTTGCTCGGTGAAGGTGATCTTGGTTGAGAGAGCTCGACTGTTGCGAAGTCCAGACAGCAGGAGCGTCATGCCCTAACTCTTGATCGACTAACTCTTGATCGACTAGCGTCTCGTGCTCCTGACAATGCCCCGCCGTGACTTCGTCAAAACTCCGCGACACAGCATAGTCGCCCTTCATCGCGGTGGAAGAGAGAGAGAGAGGGTGACGAACTGGACTTCGAGCGTTCTATCAACCACTTTGGATGACAATTGCTGGCCGCGATTGCAGGCTGTGGGGTGATACAAGACCACAGCCTCGTCTTCCTTGAAGAGCAGATTCGGAACGCTTCGCCAGGTAGGCTTCAGAATGGTTTGTCAGACGGCGAGCATTGAAGTGCCACAACTCTTTGCCTGAATAGTCGACGCTCTGAGATACGATGCATGCAGGATCTCTCGTTGACGTTGTTTAGGCTTGAACAAAAGTGGACCGCATGAGTTGGTAATCTCGCACTAGCGAACCAACAGCAGGCGCTATTATTTACATCTCGTCTGCAGTGGTTCTTCTGTGCTTGTTGCACTGCGGCATGCTACTCCAGCTCGTCTTTTCACCATGCTAGACCTTCTATCTACCTCCAGGGTGGGCTGGGCCATCGCCCTTGTCATTGGCACTCTGGTACTTCGATTCTTACAACGCCTGCATTTCCAACGAAGTCTGATGAGAAATTTGCCAGGACCGCCTCATAGCTACGTCTTTGGCTCTTTGCTGTCCGTGGCAAAAGTTCTGGCGACACAGCCATCTAATGCCGCACCCCAAACTTTCATAGGTCTCCTTCGAGAGTACTACGACCTGCCCGACATCTTCTACTTTGATCCCTGTAACAACACCTGAACGCAAGAACTGCATCCAGACGAGCCGGACTGATTAACAAGGCAGGGCCTCTAGGCGATCCCGTGATGGCGATCTTTCGCACCGATATTGCCAACGAGATCCTCGTCAAGAACTCTCTTCCAAAGGTACGACAATAAAGACATATTGTTTTACAGGCGCTAAGTGGCTCACGCAGCATCCGATCGTGGATTCTTTCATGAGCAACTTCGGTGGGCCAGCGAACCTAGTCTCCAGCGAAGGAAAAGTGTGGAGGAAATGGCGTTCGGCGTTCAACCCTGGTTTCAGCAATAGCCATCTCATGACCCTGGTCGGGCAGGTTGTTCAAGATTGCCAGGTCTTTGCGGACATCATGAGTGATCATGCCAAGAATGACGATCTCTTCAGGTTGGAGCCCGCTTCAATGAAACTCACTGTCAACATTATCGGCCGGCTCGTTCTGGGTCTAGACCTCAACGCCCAGAGAGGTCGCAGCGTTCTCCTCGATGCATTCAGTAGTCAGATCCGATGGCAAGCACAAGGCGCACAGTTCCAGCCTAGTGAGCTTTGGGATATTCGAAGGCCATTTGTTCTGCGTTACAATATCTGGAAGATGGACAGATTCATCACCGGGAAGCTTGAGGAGCGATTTGCGTCCTCCACTGATAGAGGCAAGACCAAGCACATCGTCGATCTTGCTCTCGAGGCATACCGAAAGGAACAGGGCATCACAAGCGATCTTCGCGACATGAAAGATCTGGATCCAGAGTTCAAGCGAGCCGCGATCAGTAACCTCAAAGCGTTTATGTTTGCTGGGCACGACACTACAGCTTCGGCAATCACCTACTCGTACTACTACCTCAGCAGGTATCCAGAAGTAATGGCCAAACTGCGAAAAGAGCACGACGATGTCTTCGGTCCAGATCCAACCACAGTAGCCGATCAACTGCGAAAAGACGGTCGCCTTTTGAACAAGTTGGAATACACGCTAGCTGTGATCAAAGAAGTGACACGTCTAGCACCGCCGGCGAGCACCGTCCGCAAAGCACCTCCTGGGTGAGTCCATGATCATTCTGCGTTGTAGCGATCCTTCACTCATACACTACAGCTACAACCTTCACGACCCCATAACCAACGAAATCATCCCAACCGCCCACTTCATGATGTGGCCTGTCAACGTGGGCATAAACCGCTATTCCAAGTACTTCCACAATCCAGATACCTTCATCCCCGAGAGGTTCCTCCCCGGGAACACCACAGACAACAAAGACGCATGGATGTCCTTTTCAAGAGGTCCRAGAAATTGTATCGGCCAAGAACTCGCAATCATTGAGCTGAAGACGCTTCTTGCGATGTCGGTACGATCTTTCGACATTGTTCCTGCTTATGATGAATTGGACAAATTGAAAGACGACGGAGCAGGATATCCTAATTTGACTACTGGGATCTTGGAGCAGTTTGGAGAGAGAGCTTATCAAGTTCAGATGGGAACCGCGAAGATCTCTGAAGGGCTACCTTGTAGAACACGGCTGCGGTCTCATGTTGCGTCATGATTGCCGGGAGAGAGAGACCCGTCGAGCGTAGTTGCGACAGTGACGGCTACCTTACTATTTCTCGCTGTAAGCTTAAACCATATCTACCATATTTATGTCATCTTTTAGCAATCTCTCTCATCTCACTGACACTTCTCGATCCTCACATCATCGCTTTTCACGAGCCAGTTCTGCCTGATAGTTCCGCAGAATCGTCTCGTCGTCGGGCTGCACAATCGTTCGACGCTTCGGTGGCTGCACTCGAATGGTGTCAGGCTGGCTGGTCTCGGATTGGAACACCTGGCCTGGCCTGCTTGCTTCAGGCTTGGACTCCAAAATCTTGGTAGCGGGTGACGTCGAGGACGATAGAGGCGATGTGAAGATTCCAGTCAAACCTCTGCGGGATTTTTTCGCGGGTGGAGGCTCAGGCGTGCCTCCGCTCGTCTTTCGTAGGCCACCAGCCTGCAACACTTCAGTGGCCGCTTGATCATCCTCGAGGTCGAGAGGACGCTTAGAGTGGGACTTGTGCGCCACTGGCTGGGTCTCGTCTGGCTGTATGAATCTCCGTCGGGGCGCAGGAGCCACTTGTTGGGCATTCTTCCTTGGACGACCAGGACCTCGCTTTACTGGCGGGGTGGTGAATGTGCTCGTATCATGCTCATCGGGCTGCACTATGGCTCGGCGGGGTGGAGGGTCTGCTTTCGCAGCGTCCTTCCTCGGACGACCAGGGCCGCGTTTGACAGGTGCCACAGCCGGTAACGCTGTCTCTTTGACTGAAGGCGCTGCAACTCTGACAGGACGTCCGCGACGCTTAGCGGGTTCGGTGACGAGACTAGGGATGTCAGTGAGCTTTCGACATTCCGGATAGACCTTCACTCCTTACCTGGGGACAGGCTCATTCTCGTCCTCGCTCGCCGCTTCCTCTATTTCGACCCATCCTTTTCCACGACGCACTACTGGAGCTTTCAGCCTTGCATCTATCAAAGGCTCCTGGGTCTCGGGAATAGGGTCCTTGATAGCGGCAGCTGCTCTTGTAGATGCTAGCTGAGTATCCGCAGCAGCTCCCCTCAGAGCCGGCTTGCGCTTGGCTTTCGGTGCGGCTTTGATGACTGCCTTTCTCGTCGTCTTTGGCTTCGGGGCTGGCACTTGCATTGGAGCTTGAGGTGAATCTGCTTTGTCCTCCTCTGGCTCTTCGAGGAGAGCAGCCGGAGGAGCGACAATAACAGGGGCGGGAGTCGGGATAGGTCTCTCGGCCAGCTCCTTCACCTGCTCAGCCAGTCTGTCATTGCCTTCCCTCGGGAGCTTGCCCGCTTCATCAAGTTTCTCCAGACTTGCTTGCGCAAGTTCCAGGCCAACCTTATCATTCTTGACATCCTCACTCAGTCCCTCTAGCATCTCCCGAATCTTTCCGATCGCCTGTTCGTCGATTTTTCTGCCCAACTTCAGCACACCCCTCTCATACTCCCTCATACTTCCCTCCACATCATGGATGCGCTTCAGCAGAGCCTTTTCAGTCTCCACTGCACGCCTCCCCTCCTCTTTCAGAACCCCATGATCGCGCTCAAGAGACGAGATCTGGAGAGTGACGGCCTCGATCTCCGCACCTACATCTTCGAACCGCTCCGTCACTTCTCCCCGAATTTTCTCCATGGCTGCATGCCCGCCATCATCGGTGAGCTGTTGAACCTTCTTCGCGATAATAGCAACATCGTCCGAACGAGCTGCGCCCGCCGCCGCCGTTGTCTGAGCTTCGACGTCGGTGATCGCAGCTTCCAGCTTTTTCATGCGATCCAGAAGATAGCCATGCTCTCGCTTGAGCTGATGCGCCCACAACAGCGAAGTGGGCGACGATGGTGGCCGCTGTGGTGGCATCACGGCTGCGGGGTGGATGCAAGAGAAGTCGCCGTTCGAAACGATGGGCGAGAAGTTGATGAAGTGAAGCGAGAAATTTGCAGCAGGAAGTCACACCTACAAGGAAAGAGCGATGCACATTACTTTTTATTTTTAACACTTTGATTGCACTCTACGTACTAGATCAGAGTGTAGCCGCATCAGAAACATCGTAAAAGCGTGCAGCATAGCCCATGACTCCCATAGAAGGAAAACAGAAAGCAGTTTTGTGCGTGGAACGTCGTCAAATCCTTCTTCATGACGGTGCATCTCCATTGCAGATTGCGCTCAGCACGCAGATTCAAGGCACACGGTACGCGTAAGCGTTGGCCTCAAGCAGGTGTAATAGGTGTCTCTCGACTCGACAAGGACGARACCGAAAAGCTCGGGATCAGTGGGGTCCGGGAGACGATTTTGGGTGTGATGTATTCGAGCGCTTAGATCAGGTCTGTGGGAACGGTTAGCAATGTATAGCAAGCAATTATAGTACGACTAGAACATACCAGCCACGTTCATGGGCATCTCTTCGATCTGGGTGCTGTAGAACTGCTCAATCTCACGCATCATGCGCACATCATCGGCGGTGACGAAGTTGATGGCGACACCCTTGCGACCGAAACGACCACCACGACCGATGCGGTGGATGTAGTTCTCGCGGTTGGCGGGAAGGTCGTAGTTGATGACAAGGGAGACCTGCTGGACATCGATACCACGGGCGAGGAGATCGGTAGCGATCAGGACACGCGAGGAACCGGAACGGAACTCCTTCATGATGACATCACGCTGGCCCTGGTCCATGTCGCCGTGCATGGCGGAGACGGTGAAGTCACGAGCAGTGAGCTTGTCGGTGAGCCAGTCGACCTTTCTACGTGTGTTGCAGAAAATGACGGCCTGTGTGATGGTGACGGTCTCGTAGAGATCGGAGAGGGTGTCGAGCTTCCAGTCCTCCTTCTCGACGGCGATGTAGAACTGCTTGATACCTTCGAGGGTAAGCTCGTCCTTCTTGACCAAAATGCGGACAGGGTCGCGCATGAACTTGGTAGTGACCTCGAGGACGTCCTGGGGCATGGTAGCGGAGAGAAGGACGACCTGGGTGCTCTGTGGGAGGAGCTGGAAGATGTCGTAGATCTGCTCGGTGAAACCACGAGACAACATCTCGTCGGCCTCGTCGAGGACAAACATCTTCATGCTGTCGGTCTTGAGAACGCGGCGCTGAATCATGTCGTGGACACGGCCGGGAGTACCGACAACGACCTGTGGGCCGTCTCCGAGCGCCTTCATGTCATCTCTTACGGAGGTACCACCAATGCAGGCGTGGCACTCAATGTTCATGAAATCACCAATGGCGACAACGACCTTCTGGATCTGTTGTGCCAACTCGCGGGTGGGTGCGAGGATCAGAGCCTGGCAAGCCTTGATGGAGGGGTCGATCTTCTGAAGGACGGAGATGGAGAAAGTGGCGGTCTTTCCGGTACCGGACTGGGCCTGGGCGATGACATCGTTGCCTGCGAAGTTGTTTGTGAGCGGGTGGTGTCGGAGGTGAAATCGAGGAGAAATACATACCCTTGATGACGGGCATGATGGCACGCTGCTGGATGGCAGATGGGCGCTCGAAACCGTATGCGTAAACTCCACGGAGGAGCTCGGCCTTGAGGTTCATCGCGTCGAAGGAGTCGGTGGTCTCATCGTAGTTGGACTCGATCTGACCTGCGCGCACTCGTCGTCAGTTTGCTGTCTCATTATGCGGTGTGCGCCTCTGTGCGCGGAGGTGATTGCTGCATCTTGCTCCTTCTCGGTCCGCCGCTCGTCTGACCGCGCATGCGCCTTCGTCCGCGGATTGCACGCCCTCGAGGCCGATGTATGGACGGAAGATGGGGGAGAAGTGTGAACATACCAGCATCGATGTCCTCAAGTCCCTTGTCAGCCATGATTGCGGTTCGGTTGCAAAGGCTCACTCGCGACGCGCAGTGAGCTGATGGGTGGGTGTGTAGTTGGTAGGTTGGGACTAGATATCAGGCTGTCTGTAAGGACAGAAGATTCTAGTTGTGAATGTGGTGTGTTGGTGGGCGGTTTGGTTGAAGAAGTGGAGTTGGAGTTCAGAATTTTGAAGATGATGAGAAGAAATTCGTTCCCCGCGCTAAAGCCAATTTTTGACGGTTGGGCCCGGACCTGAGTGCCACCTTCGCCACCAGACTCACTCTTTCTGAACACTCTGTGACTGGGCAGTCACTTTCTTGAGGATTCGGTTAACAGCATGACTGTACCTTCGAGGCATCCTGTGGACCACGGTAATGCCGCGGAGTCATTGTTGAGACCGGTAAAGCGGATGAAAATGGCACAGTCATCGAACGACCGCACCGATCCGGACGAAGACGGCACAGTCACATCTGTCAAAAGGCATCCTTTGGGCGTGCGGCCATCTGGAAATGCGTACACATCAAGCGTCAATCTGAAAGACTCATGCGGACTTTTCGCCACTCTGCCAGACGAGCTTATTGCCCAATTTCTCGAAGGACTTGAGCCTCCCGATCTCTTGRGACTTGGAGGCACATGCCGCGCTTTACATGCGTTCACGAGGAACGAAGAGCTGTGGAGAGCCTTATTTGTTGAGTAAGTCTTTCCACGCATGTACAGTCTAGGTTGATATCGCCTTCTGAGGTGAATCGCTTCAGGCTATGTTCACAATGCTAGAAGGTGGACATCGAGCAGACCTTCGTAGTCTAGCAGCGCACCACCTCAATTCCAGCTCGATTTTTATCTCAGCGCAATAGCTGAGCTTTTTGGTAGGTCGCCTCCTGGAGATTTCCAGTGGAAAGGTACATGGAGGTCAACATACCTCTCTCAATCAGATCTTGAGCCTCAAGTCGACTGCTCCAACCTGTTCTCAGACGTCTTGCATCGACCTTTTTTCTGTGCTCATGTCTCTCTCGATCCTTTCACCTCCAACATTCCCAAGCAGAATGAGATTGCACGCTTAAAGAATCTCACCTATGATGAGTTCGCCGCAGAGTGGTACAGTAGGCCGTTCATACTGACGGAGCCGGTCAAGCAGTGGCCTGTGTACCAGAATTGGTCTACTGAGGAGCTCCTGAAGAAGTACGCGGATGTAACGTTCCGAGCTGAGGCGGTCGATTGGAAACTCAAAACCTACGTCGAGTACATGAACAACATTCAGGATGATGAGAGTCCACTCTACCTATTCGATCGCTCTTTTGCTGAGAAGATGGATCTGAAGATCACCGACTCTCCAACTCCAGATTCTGACTATTGGCCACCGACCTGCTTTGGACCAGATCTCTTCTCTCTCTTAGGTGATCAACGTCCCGACCACCGCTGGCTCATCATCGGTCCCGAGAGAAGCGGTAGTACGTTGTAAGTTCCAATGCCCTCTAAGCCCCACACCACTATAACGCTGACTTCCCCAAGCCACAAAGATCCAAACGCAACAAGCGCGTGGAACGCACCTTTAAGAGGAAGCAAATACTGGATCATGTTCCCCTCATCCCCCTCCCTCCCACCACCACCCGGCGTCTACGTCTCTTCAGACCAAAGTGAAGTCACAAGTCCTCTCAGCATCGCAGAATGGCTACTCGGCTTTCACGCCGAAGCTCGCCGCACACCTGGCTGTCACGAAGGAATCTGTCGTGAAGGGGAAGTCTTGTACGTACCCTCTGGCTGGTATCATCTCGTCTTGAACCTGGAACCTAGCATTGCTTTGACCCAAAATCTGGTTCCGAGAAGTCGGATCGGAGCTGTACTGCACTTCTTGCGCGATCAGAAGCAGAGTATCAGTGGGTTCAGCGACGATGTGGAAGATCCTTTTGCATTATTCGTGGAGCGGCTGAAGGAACATGATCCGGAGCTTCTTAAGACTGGGTTGCTAGAGGCAGATAGATTGAGCAAGACTGGGAAACGGTGGGAGGAGTTGACTAAATGTACTCTCGATGATGAGGATGCTGGCGAGGGCGGTGGATTCTCGTTTGGGTTTGGAGGTGGCGACGACGATGATGAGGTGCCTTGAAAGGGTAGGACTGTACTGTTGTGAACATTTTGAAGGCTGGCATGTGCTGTGTGCATACACATGCAGAATAGTTTGGGTATTCAAGGCTTCTACTTGTAGGTTTGGTCCGCTCCTCTAATGCATTCATGAGCTCATATCGACCCTTACAACAGAGGGTTGGAACGGTATTCAGGAGCCTCGCTGCTGCTGCCCTTCTTTGCGCCCTCATCGGCCTCGGCACCATTGGCGACAGGGACGTCCTCGTTCTCCGCGAGCCACTTCTCGGCCTCCAAAGCGGCCATGCAGCCAGATCCTAGCGGCTTAGTTAGCACGTTCTTCATGCAATGACACTGACATGGCTTACCTGCTGAAGTGACAGCCTGTCGGTACTTCTTATCCTGCACATCACCAGCAGCAAATACACCAGGTATGTTCGTCTCCGTTGTTCCAGGGGTGGTCAGGATATATCCATCCTCGTCCATCTTCACCTGGCCCTTGAACAACTGCGTCGCAGGGTCGTGGCCGACAGCGTAGAACAATCCGTTCGCAGGAATCTCTTCAATCTCGCCAGTCTTGTTGTTCTTGATCACCATGCTCTGCATCAACCCCCGAGGGCCGTCCTCGCCCTTGATCTCCACTCCCTGAGTGTTGTACCTGATCTCGACCTTTTCGTGGTTTTGCAATCTCCTCGCATTCGTCTTGCTCGCGCGGAGGAAGTCCTTGCGAACGAGAACTGTGACTTTGCTGGCCTTCTTGGTGAGGTACAGTGACTCCTCTACTGCACTGTCACCTCCTCCAATAACCACGAGAGGTTTCTGGCGGAATATGGGGAGGGAGCCGTCGCAGACTGCACATGCGGACACACCATTGCCCCAGAACTTCTCCTCGCCGGGCAGATCAAGTCTTCTTGMCTTTGCTCCAGTAGCAATGATGATACTGTCCGCAGTGTGTGTTTCCTCCTCGAGCGTCTCCTCGTCGCCCATGGGGTTCAGCCAGAACTTGAATGGTCGGCTTGACAAATCCACCTTGCCCACGGTTTGAGAGACAATCTCAGTACCGCACTCCAAGCTTTGTTCACGCATCTGTTCCATAAGAGTGCCACCCTTGATCATCTTGAATCCCGGGAAGTTCTCGACCTCATCCGTGGTCGTGAGCTGGCCACCAGCAGCAATTCCTAGTGCCATGAAACCCTCATAGAGGACTGGCTTGAGATCGGCACGAGCAGCGTAGATTGCAGCCGTGTGGCCACCTGGCCCAGAGCCAATGATGACAACCTTGGRGTGCATCTTTCGGGTCGTACTGGCGGGGCTGTTCGGTCTATATAGCGATCCTGCGGCCGCAAGAGGAATGCTGATGCTTGAGCGGATCGGGATGCCTGCGCGGCGGAAGGCGTTGGAGAACAGTTTGGCGGGAATGAGGTGGATGTAGAAGATCTCGGTCGTAAGGTAGGTGGTGTGTGTATTCTAGAGAGTACAAAGAAATATATAATCCGAAACCAAAAGATTCTTCCGCAGCTTTATCATCAGACCGAGCTGATCTGCGCGGATCAAGGGTCTCGATTCTCGAATCCCGACCCGAGTCGCCCCCCATGAGACATTTGTAGGGTTATAGACCTTAGGGTTGGGGTAGACCAGTACCGAGTTCCACACCCGACATTGCAATGACACGCATAGATWTATCGTGTGCACAGTTGCCTACTGTGGCAGTGAGCCGAGAGAGTGGATGTTGCATTTCTGTCTGTGTATGAACATGGCTAGGTAGATCTCGAGTGACAATTCTGAGAAAGAACGCCTCCATCTAGCACATGCCAAGTAGATGTTCAGAAGCCCGGAAGAGAGGACATCAGATTCTTGTAGATTCTCTTTGCTGAAGGAGGCCTGTGACTAGATACTGACTTACGAATGGGATTGACCAAAATCGAGAGGCCCGAATGACCCCAGGTAAGGTTGCCTCTGTGGCTATGCAAGCACCACCACGCCCACACCTACAAGTGAACAAAGTCCGGATTATTTAGCTTCCTGTGCTCGGTCAGTGCGATTCTGCAATTGCAATTCATTACATCGACGTACCCTCCAATCCCCCTCGCTAAATCTTCAAACGGCTCATGTCGTTTCGCATCCCACACTACAACTTCAGGAGATTGTCCGAGATCTGGTCTTGCGAGAAACTCGACGTACTCATTCCACACAGCCTCACGACGCGCAGCGCGTTGCCAGCCGGGCGTCTTGAAAGTTGAGTTCGTCATGGGCCGACGGCCAGCATATCGATACCAGTCCCCCTGTGAAAACGACTTGAAATGCAGAGAAACATCACTGGATCTCCGATCCGGCCGCAAATGTCCAAGCAGAGTTTTCAATTGGATGGCTTTGGCCATTAAATCGTCTGTTGGATAAATCGCCTGTCGTACATCAACATGATTCATCCATTGCATGAGGACTGAATCCTGGAAAGGACCAGCTACTATCGCTGGTTGGATATCATGCCGCGGTGCGTACACATCTGGGCTCATGATGTCAAACACAAAGAGAATCCACTGATAAATACATCCATGGCGTCATTGTGTATCTTTTTGCAGGTACGTAAAACTGCTGTAGAGTCGACGGAGAAGCCGGCGGGCTTGACAAGAGAGAATACTTTCCAATCTATGTCTTCTTGAACGATATTGAGGTGTACAACGCCATCTGTGGCTCCTCGTGAGATGAGTGCACCCGTTTGACGATTCAGGATGTTTTTGACCAAAGGTTGCCGACGGATCTGGTAGGACAGGATGAGCATCCGGATTTCGGTGGGAAGCTCGAGCAGACGACAACGAGAGGTTGTCTCCTTAAATCTCGAACTGGTCATCGTGTGACTCTGTGCCATAGTTGTACATGTTTTAGGAGCCTCCATCGGAAGCATGGGCTGGAAGTCCTTTGGCACAGCGAATGCAAGTAGTTCTGGAATGCGTCTTGCAAAGTCGTTCTTCTCTCGCTGCCGTTCAGCGAGGATGTGTTCGATGACAACGCACACACGAGAGTCAGGATGCTCGAGAGGACTTTACGAGTTTTGGAATTGGAAAGGATGATGTAGAAGGAAGATATATGTAACGAAGAGAGTAGCGACGAGCCTGCTGCCGCTCCACAATGCGCCAAGTCAAATTCGGGGCAATTTATCTCCGTAAAGCGCCAACATAAAGCATCTGATTGGTCGAGATATCCACTGGCCTGGAACTGACTTTGAGACTACGCCAATCCGACACGACGGCGCGTCCATTGACGTGACATCGACATCTCTCAAACACTTTCCCAAAAACTTCATCTCACCATCACAATGGGCGGACTCAACCTCAAAGAATGGCAAAAGCTACCCGTCAGCCTATCCGAGCTCTGCATCAACACCACCCTCCGATGCGGGCAATCTTTCCGGTATTGCCTCCAAACTCGCATATGATTCATACCCCTGAAAGTAGCTAATGCTGTTCAGATGGCGCAAAAACGACGCTGGAGTATGGTCAATTGCTCTGCATAACCGAATACTCTCACTCCATCAGGACCCAGAGTATCTCTACTATCGCTCTCTCCCACCCCCAGCTTTTGAATCATACTCCACATCATCACTGAGTCCCGAGGAAGACACAAAGTCAGACACCTTAGATCTCGTCCGACATTATCTGAATCTCACTCCCAACCTCACTGAGCTATACGCACAATGGTCCGCCTCAGACGCCAACTTCGCCAAAAAAGCCCCCAAATTCACAGGCGTTCGCATACTACRACAGGACGCATGGGAAGCACTTATCGGGTTCATTTGCAGTTCCAACAACAACATCGCGCGGATCTCTCAGATGGTTCACAAACTTTGTGTAAACTACGGTCCTTTACTTGGTAGCCTGGATGAAGAGGTCTACCACGATTTCCCAGAACCGCAAGCACTTGCTCAGCCAGGCGTGGAAGCGAATTTGAGGTTACTAGGGTTTGGGTATCGGGCAAAGTACATTTACCAAACTGCATGCATGGTAGCGGCCAAACCAGATGGATGGCTTGACTCTTTGCGGAATCCAGAAGCGCCGGTACTGGGCACGAAAGCTGGAGATGGTGGCAAATGGGCTGCGGAGGGAAGGGAAGGCTACCGCAAGGCTCACGAAGAGCTCCTGACTCTTCAAGGCGTCGGTCCGAAAGTCGCAGATTGTGTGAGCTTGATGGGCCTGGGTTGGGGAGAAGCGGTACCCGTTGACACACACGTGTGGCAGATCGCACAGCGAGACTACAAGTTTGGGAAGGGAAAGCACGCCAGCTTAACCAAGGCAACATACGACGCTATTGGCAACAAATTTAGGTCGCTGTGGGGAGTGGAAGCTGGCTGGGCACATTCTGTGCTGTTCACTGCGGATTTGAAGGCATTTAGCGAGAGGCTGGTAGCGAAGACTGAAACCAAGGAAGAGAAAGTTGAGATCAAGAACGAAGATGGGGAGCCGATCGTCGAGGATGTTGTGWAGGTGGAAAAGGTCTTGGAAAAGGCTATCAAAAGAGAACACGAGGATGAGGAGACACTCRTGGTTGAGGTCGAAGAGAAGGTGAAGAGGTCCAAGCGGAGACGGAGAAACTGAACACCGCCCACTTCCTGCTGCTTGGAGTCACTGAACACAACATCGATTGTCGAAGCTAGCACAGCCTGATCATGTCTTGCAACGGGAATCAACCATAACATCTCGAAACTCAATGGTCTTCACGTGGTTATGTCTACCCGAAATTCTCGGCTTTCTCCCAGCCGTCTCTTATTTGACAGGCTGTCGAATGATCATTACTGGCCACTTCTACGCTCGTATCTTGCTTCTTCATGCAGGACTTCGTCAACTGGCACTTGCTCGGCAATACCCTCCTGCTCCCCTTGCAGTCCCTTCAAACCACCGAATCCGCCCTCAAAGTCTTCTGCTTAGTCTTTGTTGGCGTGATATCCTTTGCCCAGCTCAGAATCTTCTGTGTCTTTGGTGTCAGCATCCCGCTTGGCGTGTTCGAATTGGGAATCTCCAGAGATCTCTTCGACGCCTTTGGGCTAGTGACGTCCTTGGGGATGGTAGGAGATATCGCCAGCTCGCATAGTTTCTCACTCGCCAATGCCGCCTGCTCGGTGAGACAACCTCCATCCTTCTCGATCGCGCCATCCTTGAGCAGAGCAATCACTCCCAGAAGTTTCTCGCACTCAGGGTGCGTATCTTGGTGCTCCTCTACGAGCTTGTATGCTTCGGCGAGGTAATTCATAGCCTGTCCTGGTGAGGCCATTGTGCTGAGGATGTTGTAGGAATAGACCCGCGTATCGACGTCTGCATGCGAGTTTTGCACGATGGACAGACATAAGCTGCGACACACTTCATTCCGACCCGCATCGCGAGCTTGCATGGCTTGAATCAAAGCTCTCTTGCTGTCCGCGCGGGACAATTCAAGAGAAGTTGCCAGTCGTGTCAGACTTGTTACATACTCGTTATCTCCGGGAGTTGACTGGGCACGCAGTGAGTTCAACGCTCGGCTGACTGCTTCCAGATCCGGACAGGTCTGCTTGTTGTGCTTCTTGAACAGGTCTTGGACGTCTGCAGACGCGGGAAGTGGACTGTTGCTACCGCTACGTTTGGCGGCATTCGCTTTTTCGGAGGCGCCAGCGCTACCTCCGTTTGGAACCTTCGGATGATGGAATAGATGGCCCAAGTGAGTGGAAGATATGCTTCTTCTCAGCTCTGATAGGAGTTTCGGCCGCTGCCTCAAACTTGCCGCGGAAGGTGCTGCTGAAACACTGCTTGAACGCATCCCGTCCTCGCCATAGGTCTCCAGAATGCCCGCTGATGGGATCGTAATGGGCTGTGTTGGTCTTGGGATCGTACATGCTCCATCGCCACTGATAGATCCGGTGGGATCACTGGGATTCACAAGCATTGGCTGCACCTCGATTGTAGGCGACTGCTGGCTGGGTGGTAGCTGGAAAGAAAGGCGTTTCTTCGACGCCAGCGTCATCGGCGCAGGTAGTCTGAGGTCGTCGCTCCTCACTTCCTCTTCGGTGATGGTGATCTCAGGCGTTGAAGGGACCTTTGGCTTCAAAGTCGCAGGTGAGGCCATGATGTGTCGTTTTTGTGGCTTCGGGAGTGGGAACCGGAATATCCGGATTAAGTGTGTTGTGYGATGTAGAGTGATTTGCGTAAGCAATCAGCGTGGTGTCGTGTTCTTGTGTCCTTGTGTTTTAGTGTGACAGATGACAGGTCAGGATTGCTATTTGCTTGTGAAGCGGTGGATCATGCGCGCATTGATCTTTTGCAGACAACTCTCCAGGCCGGAGGCAAGAATTGGAATGTTGCATGAATCGTAGTCCGTGAATGAGAGAGGTGATGATGTTTTGGAAGGGTAGCAATGCTGAGAGTTCTCGTGTTGTCGTTTGCTGGATCCTTTCATTAGTTTGCAACTCTCGCTGATGACTTGAATGAGATGAGGTCGAAAGGCCAGAAATGAACCAGGGCAAGGGATAGAAAAGAGTCTTCGCCAAGCACCGAATGACAAGGTATGTACGACCCAACGGCTCCAGTGATCGAATCAAATCGTCGACAGCGAGACATTGCCAAGCATAAACGTTTCTACAATCGACACTGGTATTTCTYCCTAGCGCACGTTGGAAAGCATGATCTCGAGCGAAAAAGGCAGTCATCTTCGCGGAGACAGCCAATCAGCTCAAAGGCAGCACGAATCATGGCGCAGTGCATCTACACGTACTCCTCAGCCACCGGCATACAGCCTCAATGTCATGCGACGCGTCCAAATTTATCATCATCAACAATGACAAGGCAATAACAGTGAGTGCTYTTGTCATTAGTTCGAATCGTGTCTCAGGAGTCCCACCGAATCATTCCTCAACAGAATTGCGTGAAGGATGGAGGAGCGTCACCATCTCTACGAGTCGTCATGAAATCCGGGGAAAATCCATCTCTTGATCGTGGACCCGCTCGCTGGAGCTCTTGAACAAGTGTGCATAGGTTGATGATATACCCTGGAGGACACCCTCTTATAGCTGGCTATGGGAGATGATCCGATTTGAGATCCTTCCGAACAGATACCGTTACATTGAGGAAAATCGGACGACCTTCCATCTTGGACGCCGAGTCTCAGATGCAGTTCAGTTTTCCGACCACATGCTATGATGCCTACAGCTTGGAAATGGGCGACTCCGTATCTTGACTCCAGCTTTGTGTCTCCGGGAGCGGTTTGATACTCACATTCAGCTTCTAATACCTTAGCTCAACATGTGGACCGCCTGAAATAAATTCGCACCCGGAGTGAGCGACTGGAGGAGATTAACAAACAGATCCGGACTAATCCTGATTCCAGTCTTCCTCTTGCGTGAAGCGAAGTATGGGGGAGAGCGAGGTCTCGAGCAGGTGATCTTCAGTCGAGTGATTCAGGTTCGGTCGTTGGTCCCTTTCACACATCGTGTCTGTCCAAGACCTCCTCAGACTGCTCGACAGACGACAATATCGCGGAAAGTTGTCTTCTCGCCCGCATCGCCTTCTTCCGACTTGTATGTTCAGCTCTACGAGACTTTGATGGGAGGTAATTGAGGTACAGAATCTCTTATGGGTCAGGGTTGGTGCCGAAAGTGGTATGCCTGGGTCTAGAAGGCTACCAGTCTAGCACTGGCCACAACGTCGACGTACCAAACGGTATGCAGTAGGTAGGTGAACTTGGCGCAGGGTGCAAGACCACATTTCTTTAGTCACTGAATCCTACTCTACCTCCATTTTCATCGCTCATGTTTTATTGAGAAGTCTTCGTTCGTTGAGTTGATCTAGCCAACATGCATATTAGGAGGAGACCGAGGAAGAATCCGTGACGGGTGCTTATCGTATGTGCTGTGGGTGAAATGAGCACAGAGGTCTCCCATACCCCAATGAGGACTCTCACCTTACATCGCACACCAAGATCACCGTCGCTGTAATGGCTAGCACATCTATGAGTAACCACACGTCCGGTTGTAACGCTCTTCGCGAATAGGAGATCTACTTCCGATCCGTAGCCAGACCATCGATCTTCTTTTTTTGCGACTTGTAAAGAAATCTGTCGTTTTTTAAAGTGACCTATTGACTGCCGTGTACACAAAATAGCGCAACAGGATGCTCGCCTGCTGCTTCATTACTTCGTCAACCGCAAAATCGCACTTGAATCGTCCGTGATCTCGTCGAAGCACTTCAGGGTATCCTACCGCCCAATCATCAACAACGTCATCACCAAAGAGCCGCCGAGCTGCTGTGCTATCCGTCTAGCAGGGCGGAAATTCGGGCCCACAGCCAGGACTTAGAGATCGTTGTATCCAAGAATCCGTTTGGGAAGTCCCTTGTCCGCAACGGCCCAAGTCCAGGCTCGACCAGCTTCACCAGAGAACAAGCTTTCGGGTGCTGATGACTTCTCAAGCATGCCGTCCTTCTCCATAGACTTCATCTCATGGCCAGTCGTGTAGGTGAGAAAGTGTTCAAAGTCCGCGTCTTCCAGCGCTAGGGCATTGCCAGAAATGCCTACACATAAGTCAGTCAGTCATTCCTTAACGCCGAGCTGAACAAGCACTCACCATGACATATGCAAGGCTCCTTGGTCAGTAATCCCCGCTCCAGCACACATTCCCTTCCCTTTGCAATGGCCTTTGCAATCTTCTCCTTCAACTGTGGAAAATACTCTTGAATGCTCACCAAACTCGCCACAACACCCGGCGCGCCATGACACACTTGCACCAGACGATCCCTCTCAGGCGGCACGCTGGCCGGGAAGTTCCCACCCTCATACTGGTAGGTAAGTATTACGGCCAGCTCCGCCTGCATCTTCTCCGCGTACTTTCTGGGATCCGTAAGGACCACCTGTGTGATGATGCCAATTGCACCGTGCAACGCACCGATATACGTCTTGCCCCTCCACTTCCACGGTCGTGGGGAGTCGAGAATTGCATCGATAACATCGTCCTGAGTGTCTGTGATCAATTGCAGCGTCTTGGGATCATCCACGAAGCTCGCCTTGACCAGGCGAAGTAGATAGAGATATCCAGCTCTGCCGTACAACATCTCATTATCCGTCTCCGGATCAATCACCTCGGCAGAGTAGTCGCAGAGATTCGCAGCCATGTCCACATCCTTGCTGCTCGCAGCTCCAATCGCCAAAAGAGCGAGGATATCGTCTGTAATTCCACATGCGCCGACGCTGGGGCCCGGGTAAGTTGCGATCTCATCTTGGGCGCGTTTGAGGTATGCGGCAGACCACGTGCCGAGCGCGTGGCCTTCGATGATGAGGTCTGGGTACATTTGCTGCAGCACGAGGAAGGTGTAGGCTACGCTAACGGGGCCCTTGAACAGGCCGCCGCCGGGCGCGACATCGGTGGGCGGGTGCTCGGTGACGAGGCGGTTAAGGGAAGCTTCGAGTTGACGGCGTGGATCTGTGGAATGGCCATTATGGTCAGCGGCGAGTCGACAAAAGAAAATGTACAGCTACTGAYCTCGCCGTGCCGGCTCGGCATCGTTCTTGAAATATCGCGGGGGCATCTTTGCTTGCTCAGGTCATTTCGAGAGAGTCTTGTCTTTGTTGTCGCGGTTGTCAGAGACTCGAGGTTGTTTTCTTCAAGTGGGTCTTGCGGCGGTGTTGCAAAACAAGTAGTTGCGGAGATGGCATGGCATGGCGCTCCGCTTCATCTTTTTAGGCATGTGATCCTGGTCAGATTGAAGTTGTGAAGCTTGATGACGTGAATCTACGGCAGGGAACAAGGAATAGCTCCATGCATACAACATCCAACCCAAGGAGAGGACAAGGGTGCTTGGCAAGTGAGCATATGACAACGTATGGATTGCATCATTTGCACGAGATCTCAATGCCTCAATGGCGCACATGTGAAAAGATTGACCATTCACGACGTAGGAGAATTTATGATTCGACATATCGTTCGTTAATGGCTCGCGCCTTTTGAAGACCCGGTCTATGAGCCAAACCAGACGTCGTCTATCCCAGTCAAACGGGTTACACTCTACCTGATGCGGTCCAGCCTTGCACGGTTGACAGCAATTTGGTCGTCCACCTTGTCCGTCTTGTTGATAATACGATCAATGTGTTTGTTCTGCGTGTCGATCTCCTCGCCCATGGCCTTGCCCAGCATGTTAAGCGTTCGAGCGCCCCGATGGATAGCGTCCCTGCCGATAGTCAGTTATCAATCAAAAATCAACTTCGATATTCGCCAACTCACAAGTTGTCGTCAATCTCATTCTCCATTTCCTCATCTTCACTGTCAGCCTCAAATTGGTATTTGGCGCGTTCTGCTAGGTTTCTGTTGGCACCGGGAGGGCCTCCAATAACATTCCCTTTGAGGTCTCGCTGCTGCTTTTGCTGTCGTGCTTGACTGCCATACGCCTGTTCACGAGTATCATCGCGCTGCTGCCTCTCCCGTTGGTGCTTCTCCAGCGCGATGGCGTTGGCCGCCTCCTCGCGTTTCTTCGCAGTGAACGGGTTGGCCACGTGAACAGCAAACATGGATCTGTTCAGAGTCTTCAGCTCACGAGCTTTCTCCTCTGCCAGTCGATTCTGGTTGGAAGCCATGTCGAGGTTTCGTTCCGTGTTGTGGATTCTCTCTCCTTGCGCGCCCAGTCGTGCCAGTGTCTCACGACCCGTGGCTTCGGCTTGTTCTGCAATGCGACGAGCATTACGTGTGGAGCTGACATCCTGCTGCTTGATGAAGCGGATCTCCTGTTTGGAGGCCTGAACGTCCTCCTCTTCCTGCTCCTCCGCTGTCAGCTCCCGAGGCGGGCCGGCACCATAGCCACCGGGCATCTCAGCCGAGTCATAACCGCCCGTGTTGCTGTAGCTTGCATCTCCACCTTGAGCAGGGGGCATGCCCCCATCTTGAGCTGGAGAGCGGGATTGCTGAACTCTACTTGGTGCATCACCAAATAGAGCGTTCCTGCCCGCATCCGTGCTCATCGTGTCCTGGCTGTTGCTTCTTCCAAGGCCACCATATCCAGACGGGCCATACCGTGACTGCTGTGAGGCACCAGTGCCGTATGGATCACTGCCATAACCCCCAGTCTGTCCATACGAGCTGCCCTGCGCAGGGTATCTCGGCTGTCCGCCTCCACAACCTCCTGGCGGCACAGGGCTCTTACCAGATGGATCGGGCTGAGAATTGTAACTGGGAGGAGCACGACCATATCCGGGTGCTGGCTCTCCCTTCTTCTCATTTAGGCTTAGGCTGCCAAATGAGCTCGTCGGTGGTTGTGTAAGGCTGCCCTGGCTCTTCGCATATGGATCATTATTCTGTGCACTTTGAGCGGCGTATGGGTTGGCGTTCCTTGACGCATATGGATCTGATCCGGCCGGCGGAGCAGCAGCATATGGGTTGTTGGATGCGGGTGCAGCAGCAGCAGCAGCAGTCTTCTTGGACCGACCACCAAAAAGCGATGCCTTTTTGGACTCGAGGTCGCCAGAGTCCTTTTCCTTGTCGGATTTCTTGAGACCGAAGGGCATGATTGCGATTTGATTGTGAAAGGCTTGGATATCTGTTGTGAGGAAGTTGTTTGTCTCAAGAGTGCATGTGAAAGAGTGAAAGGCAGTAGGTCGACCCGCGAGGTTGTTGTTTGATGTAAGGGTTCAGGAGGGTGAAGCTCCAAATATGGATGTGGGGGCGCAGCTCTGAGCCACAATCGTCAGCCCCAGGTTTTTCGAATCAAATCTTAATGAATTCAATTAATCGATCGGGAAGGACTTCTATTACCGACCACTTTACGCAGCACAATACTTTGTGCTCCAAGACAGCACTTTGAAAACATGTAATACTATATACAGTACTTTATAGTAAACACACTTCGGCTACAGGTCGAATCGTAAGGTATCTTGTGCCTTCAAGGCCAGCGTGGCCGACAGGAGCGAGCACGTCGCACCAGACCATATCACGAAATTCTATAGCGAGACCAAGAAGCTTTCTTTGATCAAAAGCAACAATTGATCATCATGAGTTGTCCTATGTTCGACTCGATGCATAAGTACAACAAACAGCACATTCGTCGCTGATCCTTCGCTGAACGCTGCTATTGGTACAATCTGCTTTTCTCGCTGCTCCTTTTCACACGCGCAACGCCGTACTCAAGGAAGCCGCGCAAGAGCGACGAATCGCCCCCCACACTCCTTTACGCCTTAGCCACATCGCCCGGGCTCCATCATCACAATTCCATGCTTTCATACCTTCGCACTACCACGCATTCACGTCAAAGTATTCCTCGCCGAAGTACGTGACAACCACAGTCCGATCCGCGAATTTCCTGCCTGCCAACGCTGCCAACGCCTTCGCCGCACTCTTGGGTGATTCGTACTTGAGATAGATCTTACCAATGCCCTGGTTAGGGCGAGAGCCACCAGTGGGACGCGGCATCTTGACCTCAAGTAATGGGCCGTACTTGGAGCATTCCTCCTTGACGTCTTCGAGGATTTCTGTTACAAAGTGTCAGCAAACGCATAATTCATCTGACATTCAAGTCTTACCGTCAGCCTCATCGGCGTCCATCAGCTCCTCCGGTGTGATCATGTTCATCAAGCATAACACACGGCCCAGCTCGCTATCGGCATTTTGTGGAGTTGCGGCCATCATGCCCATGGCGTTGACCGTCATTTCGCCGCTGACCTGCTGAACACCGACACTGGCGAGCCTGACCTTCATTGCCGCGTCACCAAGTTCCATGCCATTCAAGGCCTCGACTGCAATCTTAGTTACAGAAGGGTCCTTGTACTCACAAAAGGCGATGCCGCGGCTCTCCTCGGTGGTCTTGTCCTTCATTACAACAAAGTTCTTCAATTCACCAAAGGAAGTGAGCAACTCCGTGATTTGATCTTCGGCCAAATAGATCGGGATGTTAGTCATGGAGATCTTGTTTTGCGTGTCTGGCACAACGCTAGAGAAGATGCCGGCAACGCTCTCGGTCTCATCTTGGATTGTTGRAACGATGTAATCTTTTGGTCGCTTGATCTCGAGACCCTTGGAGGAACCGTTGGCATCACCGTTCTCCATCTTGATGTCCGAGTCCATGCTGATGCCGTCAAAAGCCATGGCGTTAGTCGCATCCTCTGGGGTCTTGAACTCGAGCAGCGCGTAGCCATTGGCTTGGTTACTCTGAGCGGAGATACAAGGATCGGCTGACTTGGTGACGTTGAGCCCATTCAACTGCAAGTTGAAGAATTCCACGAGGGAATCGTCAGTAGCAGATGCGGGGATGTTGTAGACCATCAGCCGCTTCGACTGGCGTGCGGAAGATGGCTTGAGAGCGGTGTTGTTAGCCTGAGCACCTGGCTGAGCCATCATGTCCCGGATTCTCGACGCGTCCATGGCGGGCTGTCTTGGTGCACCGGGGAGCGGGAACATGCCGGAGAGCTTGGCCTGTTCGGCGGTCACATTCTCGTAGCCCGGAGGCTTGATGTCCCATTGTGTCATACGGCGCTTCTTCTCGGTGATGGGTACAATGTCTGTGAGGTCAGGAGTAGGCTCTTTGGGCTTGCGCTCAGGCGAAGCACTTTTGCGCGCGGCCTGACGTTCTAGCTGGCGCATGTCGTCGCGGTCACGGCCACGTTCATTGCCAGCTCCTCCAGGTCCATCTCTGGGTCCACCACGGTTGTCATCACGTCGTGGCCCACCACCACCCCTGCGTTCAGAAGAGAATAGGTCGTCGCCACGGTCATGACCCCCACGGCGATCTCCACCACCGCGGCGTCTGTCTCCACCGTCATCGTCCCGTCTTGCATCTCGGCGTTGCGAACCGCGGTCTCTACCCCAATCCCGGTCGTCACGTCGGCCTCCACCTCCACCGCCGCCTCCCTGATAACGCTCCTCGCGTTCACGGTCTCGGTACCCTCTTGTCGAGGAGTAGCTGTCTACATCTTGGCCGCCACGTCTGCCCTGACCCTGACCCTGGCGTCTGTCGTGTGGTGAGCGCGAGCGGCGATTGTCTCGGCGGTCTCCTCCATGGTTGCGATGGCGGTCGTCGCGGGAAGACTGCAGTCTCCCGTCAGACATGCTGGCTCTTGCTCTCACGTGTGTTGCACCGAGTGCTCTTACGTAGCTGTCTCTCACGTGGAAGCGTTTGTGCTTTAGGCAGGGCGAGCTTGTTCAAACAAGTGTCGAATGGTGGAATGTCCGAAATTTGGTGCCGCGCTCGATGGCTGATTCGGCGTGCACTGTGATTAGTGAAATTCGGCTGGACCTTAAATGGTCAAGGCCAAGGCGGTGCGAGTGAGCAATGGATGAAAGCGCGGCGAGCATTGATGGATTCCTGCGCTGGAAGCTGAAGCAGAAAGTAAGAACGAGCGTTGCGAATCTGCTAAGTCAGCTCAAACCTTATTTCATAACAACTCAACACCCTTTTCCCACCTCATCCTACAACCTCACCTCTCGAGTAATGCCCAGGTAGGGCGCCTTCAAGCACGTGAAATCTCGAGATAAGGAACAACGGCAAGAATTATGGTCTGATTGGCATAGAGCATTGATTTCTCAGCAACAGTCATCCCATTGCACGCACGGTCCATCTACGCAGCTGAAGACACTGGCTGCAGGAAGATGGTCTTACAAAACTGCCTCGTGGTGAATGTTAGGCCTCTGGGCCGTGGTTAGAGACATCCGATATACCCAGCGTATACTCGCTATTTATGTACTCATGTGGGTGGGTCTATGGCCATATTTCAAGCTTCTACAAATGCTCAGCCCCACTAGCCTGCGGCTGAGATGGAGGACTTTCTTTGTGGAAAAAGGACTGTCCCGTACACCAGCATTGAAAGCATACTGCAGGCGACAGCAGGTATGGCTACAGCGTCTTTTGAGCGTGCGAACTATCCCTATACGCCACTCAATGAAGGCGAAATCCGCATACTTGGGGTGGATCGTACAGGCCGGGGCGATCACAAGATGTTCTCACATGTTCCCCTCCTGTATCTCTCGGATGATGCGCAATCTGACCATTGGGCCCTCTCCTACACCTGGGGCGACACCGCCGCCACCAAAGAGATTCGTATCGATGGTCACACGGCTCATATCTCCCACAGCCTGCACGATGCACTAGCTGCAATTGTCAAAGCCCACATGTGGCAGAACATGCGTTTGAACAAGCCTGGATCGAGATATTTGCTCCTCTGGGCCGATCAGATCTGTATCAACCAGGATGACATCGCCGAAAAGAATCGGCAGGTCGCCATGATGACCCAGATCTATCAGAAAGCGGAGCTCGTATTGGTTTGGCTTCCCAGCGGTCGCAAACATCGAAATTGCGGCACGTCGACCTGGTTGAGATGGTTGTGTGGAGATGGCAAACCCCGAGGTACGTCACGGGTTCGAGAGCCGGAGACTGCAGAGCGCTGGGACCAGATTTTGGACATCGTACAGAACACCTGGTGGGGAAGAGCGTGGATCTATCAAGAGTTTATGCTTGGAAAGAAGGTCACTTTCCTGGTTGATACTCATCTGATTTCTTGGACACAACTTCGAGCGCTTCTGCAATTCTATCAGGCTGAGCTCACGCTGTCAGCGGACGTTGAAAATGGCGAGCATGACACAGCGAAACAGAAGCTCGCCCAGGATTGGCCAAGATCGTTCTTCTTTCGCTGTCACCTCTGCCACCGGGTCAAGGGCATTTGGCTACTACAGCTGCTGTTTCGAGACCCATCAATCTGGTGGACTCTTTTGCTCTGTTTACTCACCCTCTGGTTCCTTCCAGAGGGCATGTGGCGTAAGACGGTCGCATATGTAATTGCGAGCAACACTTGCCATTCGCGGAGATCAATCTTGAACTTTTATTCCAAGATCTCGCGCTGTGAATGCGTTGTTGGCCCAGACGACAACCCAACTGCGTCTTACTGTCCAAGGCTTGCCAGATGGAAGCAGCGGGATTTCTACTATAAATGGCTGCTGTCCATTATGATAGATAGGGTTAGCTGGTGGCAAGTGTATATGATCTTCTTACACGGCTTTGTGGGCATGATTTTGGCGGCATATGGTCATACACAGATGGGAAAATTTCAGGTTCGTTGATTGCGTTGCTAACAGCTTGCTGGGCTCGAAAGCTGATTACATCTAGTTTGGCATTTCGCTCATGGCGGCATCGAACATCTGGATGGCTAAGCTGCCAGAACGTGAATACAACGACAGCACAGCAGAAATTATACGCTTACCCGAGTGTTCCTCATGGGAGAACATAGATGTACAAACTCGACGTTTCTGGAAGCTTGCTTTGTCTATCCTAGACCAGCGCGCAGCCGGACCGGCTTCCTTGACTTTGTCGACCGTCATTGAGCATGCCAGAATCACCAGAAGCTCAGATCCCCGAGATAAGGTGTATGCGTTTCTTGGACTGATGGGCTTTGCTGCCTACCAATTCAACGTGGACTACGCCAAGTCTAACAAGATCGAGGACGTGTTAACCGAAGCCGCAGAACAGATCGTGGCAGTAGATGGACGCCTTGACTTCCTGCGGCTTGCAATCGAGGACCGGGCAAACGGATTCGATGACGGTGAGCTACCCTCATGGGTACCAAATTGGTCAAGACCACGCGTGGTTCCACGAAGTTCCGAGAATCACCACACCTCACTCGAGGACTTAAAGACACAACTTGATGGCTTTCGTAAGGATATGCCCTGGGTCTGTCGCTTCATAGCACATCGGTCCGGGTACACGAATCCTGCCATCACGTTCCGGACTCTCCGCAACGGCCGACGTGTTCTCCAAGTCCAAGCTCTACAAATTGATACGCTTGGTCGGGCTGTGGATCGGTACATTTTTTTTGGGCAGCGATTTGGCCATGCTGACATCTCACCCTCGAATACTCGCGTCTTCGCCGGAGACGAAGTCTGGCTAGTACTCGGCTCTGAAATGCTTCTCATCCTTCGGAACACGCGTTTAATATCCGCTTCAGAGTACGTATTTGGCACCACAAATACCAGAATTGTCGCCGAAAATCTCCCAAGGGCAGCTGGTGCACTTCGAACTGCAACGTACAAGCTAGTGGGTGAAGCAATGACCTTCGCAACACTTGCAGATTTTGCGCAGACCCTWACCGGGGGGCAGGGAGGGAAAGCCCTCCCCCAAGTGATCAGCATTCGCTGACTGGTAGAGCTCCATTGCGTAGATTTACATTGGCAACGAGTCTTCACCAATATCCGGAAGTCAAGCCATGACGGCATTCGCATCAGCACACTAGCAGATCACACTACTTTATTTATGCCACATTCGCCCAAGCACAACATCCGAACGAGCCCGTTGATCGYAAAAGTCTCGGATAGAACGATAGTTGGAGTCAGGATCAGTCTTTCAGATCATAGAGATAGCCATGGCCTCCATCATCGCGATTTATCTCTCGTTTGGATGATGGAGACCTGCAACAGGATCCATAGAGAAAAAAACACCAAGGAGAATGACAGGATTGTCGGACAGAACCAGCATCGCATCGGAAGCAGATTATCTAACCAGAGACGAACTTATCGGCTCTCAAAACTAAAGTGTCATCAACTCTCATACTCAGTCTGTACAGGCAAAAATCCAGCTCAGCTCAGCTCACTACACTCCGTCCACCCGGCCCACGAAATGAATCTGCCGCGTTCGCATTAATGTTCACAGACACAGGCGTGAGGACCGTCCTCGCTTTCTTAGACTCATCCACTTTCTTCGGGACATGTCTCGAAACAACACATCCTTCAGTCTCAGAATTTTGCTCGCAACACCCCCATCGAAAGCCGTCCGCATAGTTAGGATCATCGGCGAAAGAGTCGGGGTCGCCGTGACAATCATCATCATGATCAATCCACATGTCGCTCTTATAATTGACTTCCTTGTTTCCTACCGCATATTATCAACCAACAGAGATTCAACGCATCGTCGAGAATGAGACGACTTACCGTCATGGTAAACACAGGACCCCTTGTCATTACTCTCCACAGAGTACTCTTCTTTGCAATTCTCACATATTTCATACGCTTTCCTCTTCAAGTTCGGCTGAACATCAGAAGATTCGCCGCTGGAAGCTAAAGGCAGTAAAAGCCTTTCCTCAGCGAGAGCTTTGGCAGCTGGAATGGTCGATACGATTTCTAGAAGAAGAGTATACCTCCTATCTGGTGTCGCTTCGTGAATCGCTTGTATAGCAGTGGTAGGATCCTGAACCGGTGATGAGATATCGCGATATTCTTGATGTTCCTCTAAATCCAATTCGGGAGATGAGGATCGCGACTCATCATCGGTGGGGCCATTTTGTGGTGCATCCATCGTGGACATTCTGTCAAGATCGATATGTTGGAGTATATTGTTTATATCTAAAGATCGGACGCCCCACACCCACGCCCAAGACGCGTCCAATTCAAAATCCAGTGGAGAGCATCAAACATACTAGTCAGGGGTACAAAACTCTAACGCGTCCACACGTGAGAGAAGAACACCAAATCAGCACATGAACAAGAAGATTCCATTATCATCATCAAGAAAGACTTGCTGCAAAAGTCCACACACTCTCAAGAAAGATCCCACCCCATCAAATGCGTTCCTGATAATCATACCGCTGTAGCCTCCAACTCTCGCCATCATCTCAAGATTACCATTTAACCGCCTCCGTCGTCCCCAATCGCCTCATTCTGATACATGTGCATTCATTGCCCACCCATGAACGCCACTGGTCTCCATCCTCTTACCGTAGTGCTCAGCATTCTCAATCTGATACATATGCATCCATTACCATGCACAAGACAAGAGGCATGACCAACATACCGAGAAGCATCGTCTCGCCTCTAGCTCTTTGCTCTCTTCGGATCACCTCCATCCTGCTCTTCCGCCGCCCTTTTCCTTTCTTCCTCCCGCCATCCAGACCCATTGGGCACGACCGGCGTCTGGAAATTCAGCGGAGAGGGAAGCATGTTATTGTCGCCTGATCGTCCGAAACCCCATTCAGGGTAGAAGGTGCTTGGCGAGGGAAGAAGGTTATCACTCATGAAGCGACTCGGTAGTGCGGAGATTGGCGTCTCGACATGACTGCTAGCTGCCTCTCGGTTTGCTGCGTGAGGATTCGTGCTCATAGGCGGAGCGGGTCGCGCGAAAGGATTGGGTGGCCCTTGTGCACCTGCTGACAACAATGCGCCTGCGCTGGGTGACGGAGGTGGCAAGTGGACACCGATCGAGGGTTGGCCTTGTGCTTGAACGCCAGCAGGATTACTCGTTTGAGGTTCACTGGTGTCGTCGCCAATGCCAGAACCAGACCCTCCTTCATCGCCAGACTGCTCACTGGGAATCTGCACCTTCAGTCGCGGTCTCTTAGCATCCGGACCGGCGGTGACTCTCGCAGGACCAGCAGCAGGTGTACTCGCGGTACGCTGTGGTGGCGGATTAGGAGAATTGCTTTGATGTCGTGAAGGCGGTGGCCTGATCTGTGTCGATGATCCATTCGCTCGAGCTTGGTTATCGCGCTGCATTTGCGCGACATCTATCGAGGCTGACCGCGGACCACCTCCCTCGAGTTTGATCAACGCCTCTGATCGAGGCATATCACTATTCCCAGTGGCTCCCCAGTGTTGTGCTAGCAGTGAGCGACTGTCATCGATGGGTGTAAAGATACTATGGGATTTGGCATGAGCGGGCATCGGTCTAGGCTGGGGCATCTGCGGGCTTGCGAATTCATTCTGCGGCGGCTGAGGCGATGGTGTCGGTCTCTCTCCTATCCTTGGAGATGGCTGTCCAGGTTGCTGCTGTGGATGGAGATGTTCTTGCGAAGGGTGGCGCTGCATGTTTGCTTGTGGTGGCGGCTGTTGAGGATATCCTTGAGGCATTGATGTCTGGCGGGAATCCTGCATGAAGGCTTGCTGTTGTTGCATTTGCGGATGGCTGGAAGGCGGGTACGGAGGTGGGTAGGAGCCTGGTTGTTGAACAGGTTGCTGTGACGGTGCTTGCATTTGTGCTTGTTGGCTGTAAAAGGGCTGATTCGGCGCGTAAGCATAAGTGGGCTGTGGTTGACCTTGGGGCCCAAGATTCGAACTAGTTCGACGAATGTGTGCTTGGTGGTGTGCTGGATGCTGGGCGTTGCGGGAAGTTGGACGGGACATTCCTGGCGGTAGAGGGGAGGGGGCTCTATTGAACTGCGGCATGCCTCCGTTGTGCATTGGTGGTGAGCCGGAGGGCGTTCCATGACGAGCGACGTGTTGGAATCCTGGATGATGCGACATCTGTCCGCCTACACCCGGGTGCTGCATCATGGGATGGTCTGGTGCTGGTGTTCCTCGTTGGTCATCGCCGCCTGCATCGTCGCCCGCGTCTTCCTCATCGTCGTCGTCTCCGCCACCACCCTTGTCAGCAAAGTCCTGTGGTCCCTTGTGTTCGTGTGCACCGCCATACTACATCTTGTCATTAGCATCTCCCTGCAATATCTTCTCTTGCATGGTCATACATATTGAAAGCGGCCGATGATCTCGTTGATGTCCGACGATGAGTATTCGTACAGCTTCTTGTTGTGGCCGAAGATGACAACTGCGACATCGACAGAGCAGAGCACGGAAAGCTCATGCGCCTTCTTGAACAGACCGCCTTTGCGCTTAAGAAAGGTGACGCTGCGGTTGCGATCGTCGCGAACTGTGTGGTGGTGGTGGATGTCAGCTTCAGTGGGCGCGGAAATGGAGACACAAGCATGCCATGGCTCTAGAGTGAGCACGTACTCGGCTTGATGGCAATCTTGCGGCGACCCATTGTACACGCTGCTCTCGCTCAGTGCTCGGGGTGGAAGCTCGCTCGTATCTCTACGCTATTCTGATCTCCACCGCGTCGCAATGCGTGCCAAAGCGTCGCGCGATGGCCCCAGACCTAGAAACGGATCCTGCTGACGGCAAGGCGTCCGACGTGGCGAAGGAAGTGTTGCGCCGAGCCAGAAGTGGCATGGAATGGCGGTTCGCAAAGATGTCCGTCTAGTCTCGACAATAAAAGACCAAGACCCCGCTGATCGATGGATTGAAGGTCCGATGTGGCTATATTTAGGAAGAGGTCCAACGTCGAAAGGTGAGGATCTTCCCGCTTTCGAGGGGCGGGCGCTAGACAATACAGATGACCACAACAAGTGCGAGGACACAAGGAATTGCCAATTCTCACTCCAACACGATCCATCGCATGACTAGAACACACTTTTACCTACGAAACACGGCTGTACCTGGATCTTCACCTCCAATCTCATGGCTCACAAGTTACAGCTTGCCGTCTGTCGAACAGCCCCTTCGTACGACAAGGCCATGCACAGAAACACAACGCTGTGAAGGATCCGGCCGTTTGTTTCACGTGGTTTTCGCGAGACCACATCCCTTGGCTATAATGTGGCTGTCCGAAGTCCGTCATCGACTGGATAGAATTGCATTTGTGCTGCAGTGGAACAATCCAAGATGGGCAGATTACGTCTACATTCATCCTTCCAATACAGCCGAGTAGACATCTGGTCCGCTCCGGCGATATTGAACACATCACCACGGAGTTTGTTTGTCCAATGATGCGGTGACTGGGACGTTGGTGTTTTGTGCATGACATCTGTCGCAGGATGAAATGTCTCAGACCCCCGTGGTCTGCCGTTGAAGAGAGTGTTATTGGTGCCCTCGGAGTGGTTTGGACAGGTTCACAGTTTGGACTCAATGCATGTATGCGCTCTGTGCGTCCAGTGCGCCGTGTACTGCACTAGAACTATCCGTGCCCAGTGTGGTGGAGAGGTCATTCCGCCTGAAGAGCAGCACTGCAGCGTCTCTTTGCAGCGGAGGTTTTCCAGACCCACAGTTTCCGCCCGAGCATCGATCACTGCAAGACAAACGTGGGAATTTGGTCATGAAGAACGACTTGCAATGCAACGACGCGGTAGAGCTCACTGCAGAGCCCATGTCCAATAACAACATCGACACTGGTAGGTACCAGTTCTTCTATTTCTACAGAGCCATAGATCTAGCTATCTATAACAAATACGTCCCTCAAGACGTATAATGATATTCTGTATTACTTGCGTACCACTCCATCTGAACTGCCGTGATCGTCAACTCAATTTAGCTTTCACCAAATCGCGGTACCACCAAACACCGACGCCAAAAGATTCCCCTCATCCTCCCTCACCGCGACATCAACACACCAACATCACACGAAACATCACCAAATGTCCACCGCCGAAGCACGAAAAGAGCTTCCGGGTCTAGACAGTGCCCCCGACGTCTACGCAACACCAGACTTCAACGACGACGCGACAGAAAGCACAAACGATACATCCCCAGAGAGAGGTTCTGAATCAGATACGAGCCACGAAGATGAGGAGGACGATACCAGCTATGGCGTCAGCAGAAGGCGGCTGTATCCTGATCGAGCAAGGAGTAGATTCGACGCGCAAAGCCGCGGGGTGGAGACCAGTGTAGGGGATATGAGCGATCGGGTGGATGGGAAGCGGAAAGGGTTGAAAGTTAGGAGGTTAAGGAGGGACGAAGTCGAGCAAGAGCCAGAGACATTGGAGGCGAAGATTGCGAGACTAAAGCGAGAGATGGAGGAGTGTAGGTTGGAAGCTCAGGCGGAGGATGAAGCAGCACAAAAACAGGGCGAGGCCGAGAGTGGGATTCAGGATGCGATTGAATCATTAAGCAGGATGATGTCTGGATTGGATATGCCTGCTTCAAAACGACGAGGACATGCACGGAATAAATCTGCATATCACGATGCTCCGTCAATCCCACCCTCCACGACAGAGCAGCAGCAGAACGACCACCAACAATCTCCACCAGGAGACCAAACACTCAGCAACGTCACCGCATTTGACTCCCGTCTAGCAGCGATAGAATCAGCTCTAGGTCTCTCCTCCCTCGACGCAGCGACGGAAATGTCAGCCCTATCATCACCACTACTCCCCACAATCGCACTACTGGATCACCAAGTAGCAACCCTCACTTCTGCAACATCCCTCTCAGCGCTCGAAGCAGCAAGCACAAGAATCCACAAACTCAAAGCCGAAGCCGCGGAACTCTCCGACCTACAAACTCAACCTCCCCAATCAACAGCAACATCCGATGCCGAGGACTCCGCTAGTGAAGCTGAAGTCACGTCTCCTCCAGCAGCTCTCACCTCAGAGGACATGCAGTCCCTACAAGCATTATACGCTATTCTTCCCACCCTGCAATCCCTCTCACCCATGGTCCCAGCTTTGACAAATCGGCTCCGCTCTCTACGAACGATTCACACAGCAGCAGCAAACGCTCACAACGATCTGGATGAATTGGAAGGACGGCAGGTGGAAATGGACAAAGAATTGAAAATGTGGAGGGAAGGATTGGAGAAAGTTGAGGAAGCGGTGGAGACTGCCGGCGAACAGAATGCGAATAATGGCAAGTTTGTGAAGCAGTGGATAGAGGAATTAGACGGGCGGGTCAAGGCGTTGAGAAGATGAGATGAAGATGAAGGTACTGAGGAGATGAGATGAACATGAAGAAGACTGGCACTTTGTGCATGTGTGTCTCGCTATATTCGATGCTGCTCGCAAAGATCATGGGTATCATCATCGCTCGCTCCTTTCTTTCGTTCCAAGTTTCGTACTGCTGATGCTTTCTCCCAATGGCCGTCTTTCGTAGCGTGGTCTGATTGCCCTCCTCCCATGGTGGTCGTTTGCGGTTCGTCCAATATGGCTTGCGTCGTCTGATTTGATAGACGAAGTGAAACTGGAAATATTTCTCCACAAGCATCTTCAAGAAATTCTCATGGCCTCATTCAGACTCCGATTCTCGTCTCGGGTGGATTGTATCTACTCATTTMTGCTTCAGGATTTCTTCACAGAGTCGTCAGTTATCCGAGAATGTTTCTCAATAAAGCCCAGTATCCGTCTGCGCCGAGATGGAGTTGAACAGGAAGAGAGCTTGCGCCTAAAAGCGAGGCATGGAAGTCAGCAAGTTTCTGGTAAAATCGAGAACTAGGTGGAGGTTTTGAGACACGCTCTATACCTTCCACACTTCGGTTTGTATACATACACCTGTAAGAAATTCCTCGCTACAGCATAGTATTAGCAACCATATCTCCTTTACCAACATCTTCGCGTTCTTGTGCACTTACAAACTCAACGTGATGTACCCATCCCGATCGGAATCGTACTTCTTAAACACATCCGTCATTCTCTTCAGGCTTATACACGCCTGCACGAAGAGATCAAACGACAGCACTTTCTCCCTCTCGTGTTCGTCTCCGCGGCCTCGACTGTGCGATTTGGCATATGTGCTGAAGAGTAAAGCGACGAATTGTGGAGAGAGGCGGTATCCGAACGCGACCAGCGCGTCCTCGAATTCTCGCAGGGAAATGTTTCCTGAGCGGTCGACATCAAAGCGGTCGAAGAGGGCACGCCAGGCTGCTAGGAAGCCCCACAACCTTCAAATTACACGTTTGTTAGCATCAACGCGGCAGGAGGAGCAAACTCTAACCCACCCGCAGAATTCGTCAAAGTTAATGGTGCCGCTTCGATCAGTATCGAACATCCGAATCATCATTTTGACGGTGTGCTGGTCGAATGCAGTGTAGTCTCCATTCACGAGAGCACGTTGAAGTTCAGGCTCTTCAAGCTGGCCTTTACGATCTCTGTCGACTTGCAGAAACAATGGCCAGAGGGCATCTCGATCGTTTCCATCTCGAGGTGGAGGAGGAGCAGTTGTAGGAGGTCGTTGGCTGTCCGGGATTGGAGGGCGATTGTGATAGCCTTGCGGAGGTGGACCGTGTCCATAACTAGCAGGAGGCGGAGGAGAAGTGACACCGCCGTAGTTGGTGCTGCTGGCTCTTGGAGGCGGATGTTGACCTCCTGCTCCTCCTCCATATCCTCCTTGCTGTTGATACTGTCCTTGAGCAGGTGGTGGGCCCTGGTTGTAACGCTGAGGCTGGGATTGGCTGTGCTGATCGTATCGTGGAGAGGGTCCCCGTCCATAGTCATTGTAGCCTTGACTTTGTGGTGGAGGTGGGGCTGGGTTGGAGGAGCCGTATGCGCCTGGCGGTGCGGGAGAAGCGTATCCTCCCGGATTTGGCCTGCTGCCGCCGCCGCCGCCGCCGCCGCCGCCGCCATATCGCTCGTCCGGTCTCATGTTCTGCGTTTGTGGAGGGGGTGGTACTGGTTTGTTGTAGTTGGTGGGAGGATCTCGTCGTGGTGGCACGCCGCTTCCTGGATTGGTGTGCAGCATYTGTGCCGCCTGTTCGGGTTCGGCGTGTCTAAGAGGTTTCCGCGTGATCAGTTGCTGACGCATGTGCTGATGTAGTTGCATTGGCATGTGACCACCACATAGAAGAGGGAGGGGAATAATGAAGTCAAGAAAGACTCAACGTACGCTGGCAATGCATCCGGGTTGTAGCCACGGTTGTAGGCCATAGCTCTCGAGCTCGTATCGCCGACGCCGTCTGCGGGCGTACGTCAGGGCAGCAGAGTTGAGTTTGGTGGCAATGATGATCGCCTCTTGACGGCGGATTGCGTAAAAAGCAAGACTGTGCGTCGGAAGCGAAAGATGCTTGCTTGAGTTCACTTTACGGAAAGATTGGCTGATGGCGGGGATTCATGTAAGGCTGAAGAACTATTCCGCGCCGATCTTTTGGATTGGCAAAATGGAGTCATCCAAACATCTCCCGCAGAATCTCCCCATCATGCTTAAGTTATACCCAGATTCCTCCAGGCTTCGAGATGACTTTGACGAGGCCGCCCGGCCTCGAGGGCAAATTTGTCATCCGTCCGATCCGATGCTTGTCCGTATTTGCCTCCGCATCTTCATTGAATTCACCCACCACCAACCACTTCGAGGACCGCGACGTCACCTGCCCTGTTCTTAGCAGGGATTCCACGTAAGCAAACTTGTTCGGTACCTTGCAGGATCCATCCCTCTTCTGCAACACATGTGACATTTCTGGTGCCGATTGGCCCTCTTCCGCCGAAGAATACCTGGCCATTGAGGCAGTGGTGTGTATCGCTCTCCTGCTGCACCTTGATGCACTGCTCTTATTTTTAGTGTCGCCGTGAATGGCTCCACAGCTTTCATAAGAAGCAGACCAGGGTACTCGCTCACACCTATACATGACTGACTCTGTAGCCACAAAGTCCTATTCTCACTCTGACTGGCCCAATCGTTGTCCGAATCATCATCAAGCGTCTTCCATCCACACCTTGATCGAAATTACATCGTCTCAGGCCAAGATCATCAAAATGGAGCTAAAGAAAGTAGGTAGGWCCTAGCGCGACTCCGTCCTTTCCCCTACACTTGACCAAAGATATCTTGGCGACTTACTACGCTCGCTGCCATCAAGCTCATGAGTCCCATTCGGTCAAGGCATGGCATGGTCACATTTCTGACGCGAACGCTCTGCATCAAATACGGGCCACTGCGACATCTTCCGGAGGCCTTTGTGGTTACTGTCTCCTGAGGCCTATCTGAGATCCTATCCTATTACTATTCTCCTGTTTACTGCGTTATGGATACCGCCACCACGGCCAAGCGTACACAGATTTCAATTCTGGACAGGGCCGAGGTCTTACTCCTTCACCTCGCCATTCATCAAGCCCAGTAGCCTGTCGTCACCAAGGTCTTCTGCCATCTGTCTGGGTGTTCTTCCAAGCGTGTTTTCGAGATTTTGATCAGCTCCATGGTTCAGCAGTTCTAATACAACATCTGGCTTGTTCAACGTGACGGCAGTGTGCAACGGGGTGCCAAGTCCACGACGAACGCCAACCACCGACCACGACGGCTCTACACCGTCGAATCTCAGACGATTGGGTTGAGCACCACGCTCTAGGAGTAACGCCACGACTCTATGAGCTTCTGTCTCGCGCTCGACGGCCCAGTGCAGGACGTCGCCTCGAGTGACGTTACCGCCATGCGACAGCAGGATTTCGATGACTTCCTCTGTTCCTCCTAGAACAGCTCTGGAAAGTGCGGTGTCGTATTGGTACCCTGCATTAGGGTCTGCTCCCAGCTCGAGCAATCCTACTACTAAATCCCGATTCTGGACCGCAAATCTAAAGGCAGCCAAGGTCAGCAATTTGAGACATAAAGCGCACCTTTGCCACGTACCCGAGTGCCGATGGCCCGTCTCTCTCCATAGGCTCGTTAATATCCCACCCATGCCACAGAAATGTTTGGAAGATGTTAATCGAGCCAGCGCGGATAGCCTCCATCACAGGCAATCTTGGAATAGCGCTGGCAGCAAGAATGAGCGATACAATATCGGGCCGAGAGTGTGAGATTGCTATCAACAGGGCGGAGATTGTCACCGCTGGTGAGATGTGTCCTTCATTATCGAGCATGTCAGGTAGGGTCTGCCATATCGCAAGTATCGTGAAGACAGCCGACATTGAGCCTCGAGCAGCGGCGTTCTCCAATTCTGTCTCTTGTGGAACGATCTTGTCTCCATCAGCGAGCGAGGAGTGGAAGGACGACATGTAGGATTCGATGGTCACAGAGAGAAAATTTTGAGGTCGTTCATATGTACGAACGACGTCGAGTTAAACTCGGTTTCAGCCGCTCCTCTACTATGTGAGATCACGGACCGTCTGCCCCGGCACTAGTACTCTACTCCATCTATCAATCTAAACAAAATCATATTTCACTAATCTGAATACAGAAACGCATACATTTCAATATAGCAGGTAGAGGCGAGAGAACAACTGGTTATTCTTCAGGTGTGCTACTCATCGTTCCCAGTGCTTACCTTGCTCGCCGTGTAATGTCCGAATATCTTCAATACTGCCCTCGATACGCATTATCAAAGTTACCCCGTCTCAGATCCAATTCTGCTTTCTTGGTTGTATCCTCTTCTTGCGATGCCTCCATCTCATCGCTTCCCAGATCATCACACACACTCTGCTTTTCAAGCCTGGTTCGATACTGAACGAACATCTACCACTGCCATATCAACATGTCAGGAACTTCTCTGGCCAATCCCAAGCCCGAGCTTTCCAACTCGAGATCAGAGATGTGCGGGTGCAAGGACCGTGAACAAAGCGCTCTAAGAGGTTGCTAGAGGACCTTCCGCCTGCTGCYCAAAGGTCAAACAGTCCAACTAAGGATAGCGATGCCACTATTTGGTATCTAGACCCATTGAGGGATCGGCGAGTGCTTGATTTCTTGATGTTCCACTCATATCCAAAGACGACTTACCATTGTTGTATCCATCGCCGATTAAGGAAAGACCTGTTCAAGAGAAGTGGATAGACGGAGAGATCGAGAAGGGATCAAAGATCATACTCCAAGCAAGGACCTGCATGTGTTGTTAATGAGGATCCGGCGTTGGACGAAGTACCGGAACACATACAAGCAGCACTTCATGATCAGGATTTGGACCTCCAGTTTTTGCTCCCGCGAAGCAGTCAAACGTCTTCAAGATGAAGCTGATGATCTCCATGATAGAGTTCGTGGTGCACTTTTCCAGGATCTTGGTCTTGTGTACGAGCTCATCGACATCACCTCTATCAGCAGACGCAGAGACGGACCAAAGGCATCAGCGGCAGCTCATGTAACGTTAAGCCATGGGTGTTTCAGTAGCTGTGAAGCTGAAAGACGCACATCCGGGTCCCAAGTCAGCATTGATCTTAAGAAGTCGAAGAATGGCAGGTTTGTGGCATCAAAGTCTACTCGATCCTCAAGGTTGATACGTGTGATTTCGCCATGGCTCCAGTGTCCTAGACATTTGAGGTCAGTGGACGCGGAAGACCGCTTTCGGCAAACGATTGCTATCGGCAACCTACCATGAGTATCGAACAACTCGCCATGTCGAGAACAGCGTTCAAGGAGCGCACGAGGTGGTAGCCCCATGTACTGGATCATTAAGCGAATGCTATCTCGTTCGCTGGATTGTCTAAAGAGACGCTCGCCAGTCGTGAGCTCCCAGACCTACGATGCCAGCTTCGTAAAGAAGGCAATTTTGTAGAGACTTACTAGTACACCTAGGCTCCAGATATCAACCTTATGGTTCCAGCTGGCACCAAGAATAACTTCCGGGGCACGATATGGCAAAGGTTGTGCCAGTCCTTCATAGGATAACTGTCCATATTCGGCTGCTCCGAGGTCACATAGTATTGGGAATGAAAGCGTCTCCTGCATCATCTCGCGCGAAGTGCAAACTACGGATCCGTCGGTATTCAACCTGCTGAAAGATGGCATGTTCTCTTCTTCCGCAGCGAATGAAGCTAGCACTTCGTCMGCATTGTCTGGGAGCATAAGCTGTACGTTGTCGAGTTTGATGTCTATTGTAAGCGTTAGTACATGTATGTTGAAACAGTGGACAAGCTGGAGGTACCTGTATGTACAACATTGTGGGAGTGGAGGAATTCAACTGCATATAGGAGATACGCGACAATGAAACGCACCTCATCGATGCGCAAACCTCCTCGATGTAGAGCAAATTCGTGTAGGCTTGGTCCAAGTGGCTCGAACACGAAACACTGATGGGTCCGACCATCCAGAGTTAAATCGAAAGTGGTTTCCGGCCGACGGACGCAGTATCTGCCTTGGAGCTCTGTGGTGAGCGAAGAGTCGTGTAGATAATCAAAGACCCTCGCTTCTCTTGTGGCGGTATCGCTAGCGGTTGAGATCTTGAGGACCTTAAAAGCTCCGCTGGAAGAATGTTAGTGGAAAAAGGTAGTCAAGAGTCTACACAGGTCGGTAAACCAGAATCAGGACAAGCACTAGTACCTTTGATCGGTGCAGAGCCACGAGGTGGAACTTCTACCAAAACCGAGCTTTACCTTAACATTGTATACCTGATGGATGACGTCGCCCGATTTGACTGGGAAATAGCTTGAAGGACGATATCCAGACAGAAATTCTTCGTCAACAAGTCCGGTCTTCGCGGGATGTATTGCTCGAGTGCAGAAGGACACGCAAGGCTTTGCTAAGACTTTGGTGGCCGCGCGGCAAAAAGAAGTGTGAGCAAGCGAAACGCGAATCATCTTGACACCAGAGCTCGGGGCAGGCTGTAGTGAAGTATTTACTTATATGGATGTTGATGACTAAGGAAGCAACTATATAGCTGTTCTAAAATGGGTGAATTCTTGTTAAATTTACTTAAGGGAAAATTCCTCGGCTATATAGTCCTGCCTAAGTCACGTGGCTACTTAAGCCTTAGGCATATATACTTAGTTCTTAAGTAGAGACTTTAAGAACATCCTCCCCTACTAAGTCGTTTTGCCCTTAAAACTATAGGAGTTACTTAAGAGACCTAAGGGGTCCCTATAGGTTATTTTATAGGGCCCTATCGCTTAAGTAAAAGGCTTAGACGTAGGGTTCACTTCTACCTTACTATAAGCTATATCCTTTATATAGCTAGCGGCTTAGGGTAGCACGTATATAGCGCATACGATTAGCTACTTCGGCTTAAGTAGGTAGTTATAGCGTAGCGGAGCGGGAGTAGTATACGGGGTGCGGGAGCGTCGAGGCGTAACGCATATCCGGCAGCTTAAGAGCTACTAGGGCATATATTAACTCGCCCTCTTAATCTACTAACCTTCTCCTCCGCATCTACATCTATCTTCCCCTTCTCTAATTAAGTCCCTTAATTAACACTTCCCCTTTCTCTATCTATTATACACGTCTTCTCTTATACTAGCTATATATATTAAGAAGCTATAGGCGACAAGCGTATAACTCGTAGCTAGGCGGAGCGATCTAAGAAGAGCGACGACGGCGATAAGAGCAAGAAGGGTAACGGTTAAGACTCGCTAGTTACTCTAAGCGCGAAATTACTCGGAAAGCGACCTACGGCGAATACTAGCGACATCGTTATAAGCTTAAGGCGCTCTCTACGCTCTCGTAACTTAGGCGC